CCCTATGAGTGTCTGAATGTAGATGTGTTTGTCTGTCTGTGAGTGTGTGAATGTAGATGTGTTTGTCTGTCTGTGAGTGTGTGAATGTAGATGTGTTTGTCCCCTGTGAGTGTCTGAATGTAGATGTGTGTGTACCCCTATGAGTGTCTGAATGTAGATGTGTTTGTCTGTCTGCGAGTGTCTGAATGTAAATATGTTTGTCCCCTGTGGGTGTCTGAATGTAGATGTGTTTGTCCCCTGTGGGTGTCTGAATGTAGATGTGTTTGTCTGTCTGTGAGTGTCTGAATGTAGATGTGTTTGTCTGTCTGCGAGTGTCTGAATGTAAATGTGTTTGTCCCCTGTGGGTGTCTGAATGTAGATGTGTTTGTCCCCTGTGGGTGTCTGAATGTAGATGTGTTTGTCCCCTGTGAGTGTCTGAATGTAGATGTGTTTGTCTGTGAGTGTGTGAATGTAGATGTGTTTGTCTGTCTGTGAGTGTCTGAATGTAGATGTGTTTGTCCCCTGTGAGTGTCTGAATGTAGATGTGTTTGTCCCCTGTGAGTGTCTGAATGTAGATGTGTTTGTCTCTCTGAGTGTCTGAATGTAGATGTGTTTGTCCCCCTGTGAGTGTCTGAATGTAGATGTGTTTGTCTCTCTGTGAGTGTCTGAATGTAGATGTGTTTGTCCCCCTGTGAGTGTCTGAATGTAGATGTGTTTGTCTCTCTGTGAGTGTCTGAATGTAGATGTGTTTGTCCCCCTGTGGGTGTCTGAATGTAGATGTGTTTGTCCCCTGTGAGTGTCTGAATGTAGATGTGTTTGTCCCCTATGAGTGTCTGAATGTAGATGTGTTTGTCTGTCTGTGAGTGTGTGAATGTAGATGTGTTTGTCTGTCTGTGAGTGTGTGAATGTAGATGTGTTTGTCCCCTGTGAGTGTCTGAATGTAGATGTGTGTGTACCCCTATGAGTGTCTGAATGTAGATGTGTTTGTCTGTCTGCGAGTGTCTGAATGTAAATATGTTTGTCCCCTGTGGGTGTCTGAATGTAGATGTGTTTGTCCCCTGTGGGTGTCTGAATGTAGATGTGTTTGTCTGTCTGTGAGTGTCTGAATGTAGATGTGTTTGTCTGTGAGTGTCTGAATGTATATGTGTTTGTCTGTCTCCGAGTGTCTGAATGTAGATGTGTTTGTCCCCTTTGGGTGGCTGAATGTAGATGTGTCTGTCCCCCTGTGAGTGTCCGAATGTAGATGTGTTTGTCTGTCTGTGAGTGTCTGAATGTAGATGTGTTTGTCTGAGTGTCTGAATGTAGATGTGTTTGTCTCTCTGTCAGTGTCTGAATGTAGATGTGTTTGTCTGAGTGTCTGAATGTAGATGTGTTTGTCTGTCTGTGAGTATCTGAATGTAGATGTGTTTGTGTGTCTGTGAGTGTCTGAATGTAGATGTGTTTGTCTGTCTGTGAGTGTCTGAATGTAGATGTTTTTGTCCCCTGTGAGTGTCTGAATGTAGATGTGTTTGTCTGTCTGTGAGTGTCTGAATGTAGATGTGTTTGTCTGTCTGTCAGTGTCTGAATGTAGATGTGTTTGTCTCTCTGTGAGTATCTGAATGTAGATGTGTTTGTCTGTCTGTGAGTGTCTGAATGTGGATGTGTTTGTCTGTCTGTGAGTGTCTGAATGTAGATGTGTTTGTCCCCTGTGAGTGTCTGAATGTAGACGTGTTTGTCCCCCTGTGAGTGTCTGAATGTAGATGTGTTTGTCTGCCTGTGAGTGTCTGAATGTAGATGTGTTTGTCTGTGAGTGTCTGAATGTAGATGTGTTTGTCTGTGAGTGTCTGAATGTAGATGTGTTTGTCTGCCTGTGAGTGTCTGAATGTAGATGTGTTTGTCTGTGAGTGTCTGAATGTAGATGTGTTTGTCCCCCTGTGGGTGTCTGAATGTAGATGTGTTTGTCCCCTGTGAGTGTCTGAATGTAGATGTGTTTGTCTCTCTGAGTGTCTGAATGTAGATGTGTTTGTCTGTCTGTCGGTGTCTGAATGTAGACGTGTTTGTCTCTCTGTGAGTGTCTGAATGTAGATGTGTTTGTCTATCTGTGGGTGTCTGAATGTAGATGTGTTTGTCTCTCTGTGAGTGTCTGAATGTACATGTGTTTGTCTCTGTGAGTGTCTGAATGTAGATGTGTTTGTCTGTTGGTATCTGAATGTAGATGTGTTGGTCTCTCTGTGAGTGTCTGAATGTAGATGTGTTTGTCTGTCTGTGAGTGTCTGAATGTAGATGTGTTTGTCTCTCTGTGAGTATCTGAATGTAGATGTGTTTGTCCCCTGTGAGTATCTGAATGTAGATGTGTTTGTTTCTCTGTGAGTGTCTGAATGTAGATGTGTTTGTCTGTCTGAGTGTCTGAATGTAGATGTGTTTGTCTGTCTGTGGGTGTCTGAATGTAGATGTGTTTGTCTCTCTGTGAGTGTCTGAATGTAGATGTGTTTCTCCCCGGTGAGTGTCTGAATGTAGATTTGTTTGTCTGCCTGTGAGTGTCTGAATGTAGATGTGTTTGTCTGTGAGTGTCTGAATGTAGATGTGTTTGTCCCCCTGTGAGTGTCTGAATGTAGATGTGTTTGTCTGTCTGTGAGTGTCTGAATGTAGATGTGTTTGTCTGCCTGTGAGTGTCTGAATGTAGATGTGTTTGTCTGTGAGTGTCTGAATGTAGATGTGTTTGTCCCCCTGTGGGTGTCTGAATGTAGATGTGTTTGTCCCCTGTGAGTGTCTGAATGTAGATGTGTTTGTCTCTCTGAGTGTCTGAATGTAGATGTGTTTGTCTGTCGGTGTCTGAATGTAGACGTGTTTGTCTCTCTGTGAGTGTCTGAATGTAGATGTGTTTGTCTATCTGTGGGTGTCTGAATGTAGATGTGTTTGTCTCTCTGTGAGTGTCTGAATGTACATGTGTTTGTCTCTGTGAGTGTCTGAATGTAGATGTGTTTGTCTGTTGGTGTCGGAATGTAGATGTGTTGGTCTCTCTGTGAGTGTCTGAATGTAGATGTGTTTGTCTGTCTGTGAGTGTCTGAATGTAGATGTGTTTGTCTCTCTGTGAGTATCTGAATGTAGATGTGTTTGTCGCCTGTGAGTATCTGAATGTAGATGTGTTTGTTTCTCTGTGAGTGTCTGAATGTAGATGTGTTTGTCTGTCTGTGAGTGTCTGAATGTAGATGTGTTTGTCTGTCTGTGGGTGTCTGAATGTAGATGTGTTTGTCTCTCTGTGAGTGTCTGAATGTAGATGTGTTTCTCCCCTGTGAGTGTCTGAATGTAGATGTGTTTGTCCCCTGTGAGTGTCTGAATGTAGATGTGTTTGTCTGTCTGTGAGTGTCTGAATGTAGATGTGTTTGTCCATTGTGAGTGTTTGAACGTAGATGTGTTTGTCCCCTGTGAGTGTCTGAATGTAGATGTGTTTGTCTGTCTGTGAGTGTCTGAATGTAGATGTGTTTGTCCCCTGTGAGTGTATGAATGTAGATGTGTTTGTCCCCTGTGAGTGTTTGAATGTAGATGTGTTTGTCTGTCTCGATGCTGAAAAGTCGCCTGAAAATGACTCAACTGGGATCACGTACACACAGCAGCAGCATCACCCCCTGCTGTAAACAACCTGGCAGGAGCCTCCTGAAATAAACATTGGGACTCATTGAGGCATTCCTGGATAAACTCATGTATGTTGTGCCAGCTACCAGCATGTTATATACGAGTTGACGATCTGTATTGTTGTGTGGTGTGTGTGCGTGGTGTGTGTGCGTGGTGTGTTTGCGTGGTGTGTGTGCGTGGTGTGTGTGCGTGGCGTGTGTGCGTGGCGTGTGTGCGTGGCGTGTGTGCGTGGCGTGTGTGCGGTGTGTGTGCGTGGTGTGTGTGTGCGTGGTGTGTGTGTGCGTGGTGTGTGCGTGGTGTGTGTGCGTGGTGTGTGTGCGTGCGTGGTGTGTGTGCGTGTGGTATGTGTGCATGGTGTTTGTGTGCATGGTGTGTGTGTGGTGTGTGCGTGGTGTGTGTGTGGTGTGTGCGTGGTGTGTGTGCATGTGGTGTGTGCGTGTGGTGTGTGCGTGGTGTGTGCGTGGTGTGTGTGTGCGTGGTGTGTGCATGGTGTGCATGTGGTGTGTGCGTGGTGTGTGCGTGGTGTGTGCGCGGTGTGTGCGTGGTGTGTGCGTGTTGTGTGTGTGTGTGTGCGTGTTGTGTGTGTGCGTGGTGCGTGTGGTGCGTGTGCGTGGTGTGTGTGGTGTGTGTGCGTGGTGTGTGTGTGTGCGTGGTGTGTGTGTGCGTGGTGTGTGCGTGGTGTGTGTGCGTGGTGTGTGTGCGTGCGTGGTGTGCGTGCGTGTGGTATGTGTGCATGGTGTTTGTGTGCATGGTGTGTGTGTGGTGTGTGCGTGGTGTGTGTGTGGTGTGTGCGTGGTGTGTGTGCATGTGGTGTGTGCGTGTGGTGTGTGCGTGGTGTGTGTGCGTGGTGTGTGTGCGTGCGTGGTGTGTGTGCGTGTGGTATGTGTGCATGGTGTTTGTGTGCATGGTGTGTGTGTGGTGTGTGCGTGGTGTGTGTGTGGTGTGTGCGTGGTGTGTGTGCATGTGGTGTGTGCGTGTGGTGTGTGCGTGGTGTGTGCGTGGTGTGTGTGTGCGTGGTGTGTGCATGGTGTGCATGTGGTGTGTGCGTGTGGTGTGTGCGTGGTGTGTGCGTGGTGTGTGTGCGTGGTGTGTGCGCGGTGTGTGCGTGGTGTGTGCGTGTTGTGTGTGTGTGTGTGCGTGTTGTGTGTGTGCGTGGTGCGTGTGGTGCGTGTGCGTGGTGTGTGTGGTGTGTGCGTGTGGTGTGTGCGTGGTGTGTGCGTGTGGTGCGTGTGCGTGGTGTGTGTGCGTGTGGTGTGTGCGTGGTGTGTGCGCGGTGTGTGTGTGTTGTGTGCGTGTGGTGTGTGCGTGGTGTGTGCGTGGTGTGTGCGTGTGGTGTGTGCGTGGTGTGTGCGTGGTGTGTGTGCGTGTGGTGTGTGCGTGGTGTGTGCGTGGTGTGTGTGTGCGGCCAGGCCCTGTCCTGCGTGTGCCAGCTGTGCGGTGCCCACTTCAGCCGCCTGCACTCGTGTCTCTACTGCGTCTTCTTCGGCTGCTTCGCTCGGCGCCACATTCACGAGCACGCCAAGGCCAAGCGCCACCCGCTCGGTACGCTCGCTCCAATCCCGCTCACCCACTCACCCTGCTCACCAGCTCATTGGCTCACCCATTCACCCTGCTCACCAGCTCATTGGCTCACCCCGCTCACCCTGCTCACCAGCTCATTGGCTCACCCCACTCACCCTGCTCACCAGCTCATTGGCTCACCCACTCACCCTGCTCACCAGCTCATTGGCTCACCCATTCACCCTGCTCACCAGCTCATTGGCTCACCCCGCTCACCCTGCTCACCAGCTCATTGGCTCACCCCGCTCACCCTGCTCACCAGCTCATTGGCTCACCCACTCACCCTGCTCACCAGCTCATTGGCTCACCCCGCTCACCCACTCACCCTGCTCACCAGCTCATTGGCTCACCCCGCTCACCCACTCACCCTGCTCACCCTGCTCACCAGCTCATTGGCTCACCCCGCTCACCCTGCTCACCAGCTCATTGGCTCACCCCGCTCACCCACTCACCTCACTCAACACCGGAAGGTCCTAGATGCCACCATGCTCCACCACCACGCTCCACCACGTTCCACCACCACGCTCCACCACGTTCCACCACCACGTTCCACCACCACGTTCCACCACCACCACGCACCACCACCACACTCTTCCACCACTACGGTCCACCACTACGGTCCACCACCATGATCCACCACCACGCTCCACCACCACGCTCCACCACCACCATGCTCTTACAGCACCACGCTCCACCACCACCACCCACTCTGTGGGTGTCCGCAGGGCACACAGGGGCAGGGAGTGGCATGCATGCCAGGGCAGGTGCAGTGTGGGCACCACACTCTATAAACTATTTTTTATCTTACCAGGTAAGGCCCAATGAGCTATATGGCTCTTTTTCAGGAGCGACCTGGCTATCACAAATGATAGCCCAACGAAGTGACTTGTTATCACGTGGACATTTATAGCACCAGCAAAATGCTCTAAACGCGTGATGTGTATTATAAATGTGGAGGGAAAACCCGAGGAGCCGGAGAAAAATCCACGCAACCACGGGGAGAGAGACGCAGGCATCAGGGTCGAACCCACGACCTCCCGCATACCAGGCGAGGGAGATAATATCTCGCCAAGCTCGAGACTGAATGTGGATGCGCTGTTTAGCATGCGAAGCCCACACTCCACTGTCGTGCATAAATATGAACAGAACACGCAGTGCAGGGCATGACAGAGACGAACAGTACTGCACAACGTAGCCGCATGGCTCGCAACACGTTACTCGCAACGTGTTACCAGCAAAAACTTTCTAGCAACACGTTACATAGGGTAAACAAAAGCTCCAAGCCTCCTCGCCCCTCCTGAAGAGTGCAATTCAAAATCATTGAAGCCCAATCCGTTCCCACTCTTCTATTGACATGTGTTGACATGTGTTGACATGTGTTGACATGTGTTGACATGTGTTCCTGCAAGGTATATTTAATAGCCGTTCTCCCCACTTCACGATGACGGTCCGGTTTTAGACTCTTCACGTTCACGACGTTTATAGAACGTCACCACAAAGGATTGATTTTACGACGGCAGAAACTTGATTTGCGAACACGTTCTAGTCTGGGTTCTAGTCTGGGTTCTAGTCTGGGTTCTAGTCTGGGTTCTCGTCTGGGTTCTAGTCTGGGTTCTCGTCTGGGTTCTAGTCTGGGTTCTCGTCTGGGTTCTAGTCTGGGTTCTCGTCTGGGTTCTAGTCTGGGCTCCTGTCTGGGTTCTAGTCTGGGTTCTAGTCTGGGTTCTAGTCTGGGTTCTAGTCTGGGCTCCTGTCTGGGTTCTCGTCTGGGTTCTAGTCTGGGTTCTAGTCTGAGTTCTAGTCTGGGTTCTAGTCTGGGTTCTCGCCTGGGTTCTAGTTTGGGTTCTAGTCTGAGTTCTAGTCTGAGTTCTAGTCTGGGTTCTAGTCTGGGTTCTAGTCTGGGTTCTAGTCTGGGTTCTAGTCTGGGTTCTAGCTTGGGTTCTAGTTTGGGTTCTAGTCTGGATTCTAGTCTTAGTTCTAGTCTGGGTTCTAGTCTGGGTTTGAGTCTGGGTTTGAGTCTGGGTTCTAGTCTGGGTTCTAGTCTGGGTTCTCGTCTGGGTTCTAGTCTGGGTTCTAGTCTGGGTTCTAGTCTGGGTTCTAGTCTGGGTGGCAGTCTGGGTTCTAGTCTGGGTTTGGGACGTGACTTGGCATGGAGCGTGTGCTATTCTCCGGTGTGTTTGTGTGGATGATGTTTACACCAATGAGGTCCTTGAGATCTTCTGATCTTCTCCTGAGTATTCCGAGGCCAAGGCTCCATTCCTGGGGTTGATGGGGGGCTTTTGCCGGTGCAGCTCCCAGATCATGGAACGCGTCGCCTCTGACAATAAGACAATCGGAATCTTTAGAGCTATTTAAATCTCGCCCTGCAAACTCGCGTCTTTAAAATCGCCCTTTCCTCCATAGTTTTGATGGTTTACACCGTTGGTTCCGTCTTATTTCCCCGCTTTTCATACACGGTTGGTCCTTCGGGATCCTTGGATGAAAAGGCGCTTTACAAATGTAAAATATCATTGTGAAACCTTGTTAGATGCGGCCGATGAAGGGAAACGCATCGGCAAGTGATCTTTCCGCCGTTTCTGCCGTCTGTGGGAAAACGGGATTCGGGTTCGACGACAACGACGACGACGTTTCCAGCAACACGTCGTGACGCCATCAAAAAGCGGGGGGGGGGGGGGCCGGCCGGCCGCCCCCCTGTATTCATTTATTTTTCATTCATTCATTTGGGATATCGGCGAATGCCACTTTGGCCACAAGCGTGATGTTGGTTGCAACGATTGCAAAAGAGAATGGCTGTGGGTGCCAGTCATTCTCTAACATCACTTGCCCCCCCAAAAAACAATCTGTTGAGGCTATATTGGGGATCTTTGTCTTTGGGGGAGGAAAGAGGGCGAGGAGCAGTGGGGGGGATGGGTGGGGAGGTTCAACCCACAAAGTCTCGAGTCAAGTTGATTCTGTGCGTCCAGGTTATCGAACTCGAGAGAGACCGGGATGAGTCTCATTTGCCGGGATGACCAAAAATGACGAAAGCAAACCAAGTAAAGTACAGCGCGGCAATCGAGCGATGAGGAGTTGACGCAGAAACAACTGTGTTGTGACGTGAGAAATCGAGAACGTTGCAGCAACCAACATAAATCCGCGTCCAATAATCAATTCCCCCGCAGCGTACGTCATCTGGGGCAGGTTAGTTTTAGACCGGTCGAAGGGCGGTTGCAATTAAGTTGGAGAAAAGTGAAACTAAAACTACAACTTAAACTCTTGAACTATTTTTTATTCTACCAGGTAAGGCCCACTGAGCTACGTAGCTATTTTTTTAGAAGTAACCTGGCCACAAATTTCTAGCAGCCAAACACTCTAAACACGTGATGTCGATTCTAAATGTGAGCACGGCGTGGGCGAGTCCTCCACACGGGAGGAGGAATTGGCCGGGGCTCAAGAGATGCTGCTGCTTCTGCCGTGGCGGCGAGATGTTAACTACCTCGCCTGGTATACGGGAGGTTGTGGGTTCGATTAAGACCCTGATGCCTGCTCTATATTTGGAGTTTGTGTGTCTCTCTCCCCGTGGTCACGTGGATTTTTTTCCGGGTCCTCTGGTCTTTCCTTCCACATTTATAAATATGGCTGAAATATAAATTTTCACATGATAAGCGACTTAATTGGCATATCGTTTGTGGCCAGGTCGCTTCTGAAAAATAGATGTATAGTTCGGTGGGCCTTACCCAGTAAAATAAAAAATAGTTTTTGGTTTTTTACTTCATTATATTTCATGTCACCATGTTAACCTCTCGGCGGCACTTCCTGCTACTTTTTGCATCGCCTGTAGGCGGAGGTTGTCGATGTCACACCGCATACCGAAAGGCACAGGATCAGAGGAGATTTTCACAATTGTGGCAATCGCCTGATGATACCAAGCGGATGGATGCCTTCCTGGAGCCTCGTTCGTATCTTGAACAACTGTTAACTTCAGTACAATGAGGATGCGTACCCAGCCGTCGTAATTTACCATTTCATACTATAAACACTTCATTACTTTTAAATTTTTGATTTAAAGCTTTCGTGACTGCAGTGATTCATATTCTTGGTTCTTTCGGTAAAGTCACGTTGAAGGGAAACAATGAAATATATATACAACAATAAAATTCTCACGACGTTTCGACTGCATTACTTACCGTGCATATTGTACACAATAAGCCACTTTGTTGAGATATTATTTGTGGTAGCTGGGTCACTTCTGAAGAAGAAGGTAACGGCTCAGTGGGCCTTGTATATTTGTTGAAAGTGATTTGTTTACTTTTCGATTTAAAGCTTTCGTGACTGCAAGGATTCATCTTCTTTGGTTCTTTCGGTAAAGTCACGTAGAATGAGAATGAAATAATAAATTGATAAAATAAAATAACACAATAATATTCTCACGACGTTTCGGAGTCACTCCAGCTGGAGTCACTTCAGCGCTGTCCTCCAGACAGTCTCGTCCCTTCACCTGATGAAGGCCGCTTGTGTTGTGGCCGAAACGTCGTGAGAATATTATTGTGTTATTTTATTTTATAAATTTATCATTTTATTCTCATTCTACATGACTTTACCGAAAGAACCAAAGAAGATGATTTGTTTACCTTGGCTATAATTTGCACACCTGTCATGTGTTGGTATTCTTTGTTCTAACGTTCTGATCCGCCCCGACTAGACGCCTGTGAATAAGAGCTTAATAGCTCATCGGATTCCTCCAGAATTAATAAATATTCTGATCAAAATAAAAAAAACAGACATCAAAGAAAGATTGTGATGCACAATGTTCAATAATCTATAACGTATTGTCATTTTTATATCGTACTGTAAATTACTGAAAGTAACGGAAATACATTTATTTATGGCAGTGTATTTATTATTTTACTTCATTTTTGGCTTTCTCTTTAAAGTATAAATCCAAAGGTCGTTTTAAAGAATCTTCCTTTATGGAATATTCGCATATCGAGGTAACTACTGTACCAGCGAATCGCCGCGGCTGATTGTTCGATGTCCAAACAAATTGTGATTGTGAATGTCGGCCGGCGGGTCGGCGTGTCCCCCCCGATGGCTGTGCTGCAGCAATCGACTTGTACCACGGCACCATCTACTGCTTCCAGTGCGGAGACTACGTGTACGATCGCGACGCCGAGCAGATCGCCAGGGAGGAGCAGCGCAAGGCCTGGAAACTGCAGGGTGCGTTCACGCAACGCGCACACACGCACACACGCACACACGCACACACGCACCACAAAGACAAAGATGTCCCGTATAGCCTTGACTCTTGGGGCAAGTGCTGCTTGTGAGTAGCACCTGAAGGCCGGCACGGCACACGAGGGGGTGGGTGGCTAACGTCACGCGCGGCTGCCTTTGTCTCCCCAGTGGCGATGTTTACACATTGCACCAGGTACTCATTTTAATAACTTCACGTGAAATAGCCATACTAGGCAAGGCCCAGGACCGATTCAGATAATCGTCACTGGTGTTGGTGGTTGTGAGCAGGAATCGAACTTGGGTCGCCAGGTTTGTAGCGCAGCGCGCTAGCCGCTACTCTACTGCTCCCGACACACAAACAAACAAAGATCCCCCGTGTAGCCTTAACAGACTGTTGAGGCAAGTGCTGTTAGCGAGCACCTATGAAGGTCGGCAGGGCACACAAGGGGGTGGGTGGCTAGCACCATTCCCTTGTCTCCCTAGTGGCGATGTTTACGCACCGCACCAGGTACTCATTTGATGCTGAGTCGACCTAGGGGAGGCCCAGGACCGGTTCAGATAATCGTCACTGGTGTTTGCCGTGAGCGGAATTGAACCCGGGTCGGCAGGTTCGTTAGTGCAGCGCGCTAACCGCTACACTACCGCTCCCCACACACACACACACGTGCACCCACACACGTGCACACACACACGTGCACACACACGTGCACACACACGTGCACACACACACACGTGCACACGCGTGTAGGTGGCAGCAACACAGTTCATCATTATGGTTTGGGTGAGGCCACGTAAATGATCCGACCGGATTTGTGTTGTCGTTAGGAACCCTCCACCACCTGACACGGCCGAACAAACCGAAATTATCCCGCGGTGTGTATGAGCGTTTTGACTCCGCTCGCTCACCGTTAAACAAATGTAGCAGTGGGATATTGTGAACCGCATTCTTGGCTGCGAAAACCTTCATGTCAGGATGTGTTTTCTCATTACCGGCCCGCACGATGCATTTACTTTTGTGAATATTTTATTCACCATAAAATATTCACAAAAGTTTTTGGGTTAGATCGCGTTATTTATAAATGTGTCGTAACCCTCCACCACCCGACACGGCCAATCAGCAAAAAAGTGTCACGTTGACAAAAGACAAATAGTTCACTACTTTAGCCCACCGGTATGTTGAAGAGTGAATCCACAACATTTCCAGCTTGAGTACTCCGTGTTAAACTTCTATTTTTTATTATTCCACGTATTTACCCAGGAGGGCCTAGTTGTGATTATCAAGTCTCCTCGTTTAGTAGGGGTGCGATGTTGCTGCTGCTCCTCTGTGTGTGATTCCAATCGAGTCATAATAATTTGCGGTCATTTTTCAAGTATTGGAAGGTTTTTGGCCAACAGGGGTCTCACGTCCTAAACTGCATCCCAAGTGATTGGTCGTGTGGCACATTGAGAGTTGACCGTGTTTCTGTTTTTTTTGTTTTCTTCGGCATCAATGCAGCTCTTGTGTTTATACATATACAGAGATGTTAACTACCTCGCCTGGTATACAGGAGGTCGTGGGTTCGATCCCGACCCTGACGATGCCTACTGCTGCTGCTGCTGTAGATTTATAATTCACGTGTCACGTGGATTTTTCTTCCCCGGGTCTTCTGGTTTTTCCTTCCACATTTAGAATCGACGTCCGTTCGGAGTATTTGGCTACTGCTATAAATTTCCACGTGATAAGCCACTTCATTTAGCATTCACTTGTGATAGCCAGGTCGCTTATGAAAAAAGAGCCATATAGTTCAGTGGGGCCTTACCTGCTAAAATAAAAATAGCTTCGTTTTTAGATTTGGGCTCGGACGGCAGAGCGAGCGGCTCTCGTTCGGAAAAGGTCGAGAGTTCAAATCCACGGTCAGCGGAGTTGACTCCGCTGGTCGATGAAATGAGCAGCACTTCATGACGAATTCGACAGCGCTTCTCGTACGCATTGACCCTCGGCCATAGCAATGTGGTATTTCCACCACTGACTCAAGACGGTAAGCAGGAGACGGAGCACCAGTGCCTCAGCCGGCACGGAGATCACCGCCTGCCGCTCCCGCTTTTGTGTTGCGGTTTGGAGCGCTGCTCCACCAATGTGGCGCTCTGACATCGCCCTCACCCCCTCCCACTTCCCGTTGCGTGTTGTCCGCGTGGTCAGGACTGGGCGACCGCTACACCAGCTGGGAGCCAACGCGGCGGGAGCTCGAGCTGCTGCGGCAGAACCCCAAGAGACGCAAGATTGCGCCCAACTGCACCATCGGTGAGCGTTTTAGGCGCAGGCGCTGCCGACGGCCGCGGCGCCGGCCGGCGTGGGAAGGGCCGAGTCGCTAAATCCGGCTTGGAGGGGTCGAGGAGGAGGCCATCAGAGAAGCCTGATGTTTCTTTTCCTTAACAAAGCCTCATCGACGCCGGATAACGACCACGATGCCTCCCGAAGTAAGGGCGAATTCAGCCTTGGTTGGAGTCCTGCCGCTGTCGTATTGGCAAGTCCATTCCGTGCTGTGCTCGGTAGAATTTTAATTGAAAGCGGGTTGGGAATGATTCACAATCTTTGTTTAGACTGCAGGAGGAATCCGATGAGCTATAAAGCTCTTTGTCACCGATGTCCAGTACATTTGTTCCCGGTGGCCCAAGTTCACTTCCTGCTCACGGCAAACAACCGTGGCAAATATCTTGTCAACCGGTTCTGGCCCTCTGCTAGATCGGCTCAGCCTCAAATGAGTACCCGGTGCGATGTGTAAAATATCGGCACTGGGCGTGGTGCTGGCCACCCACCCCCTCGTGTGACGTGCCCGCCTTCATAGGTGCTACTCGCTAATAATAATAATAATTTCGTTTTATTCAGCGTCATTAATTCTAACGAGCTTCTTTGCCCGTCCTAGGACGGAAGCTGTAATATTTATGAAAAAATTGAGCAGAGTATAATTGTTCACTGTAGCACTGTATTAATGGCAGTGATTCTTGCACAAAACTACGTCATAAAACACCTCACTTGATGTCACTGTAGCACTGTATATAAGTGACCATCAATTTGTTCAAATTCACTGCTCTGATTCTTTATTCTCCTCTGCTTTCGGTCACTGGGGTTGAAATAAATTGGAAATCGATACAATATCTGGAAAATCACTGTGAAATGTCTATTTTACCCTAATGTAGAAGCAATAATTAGACTTAGCTTTTGTCCCAAGTGCTGAAGAAAAAAATGAAGACACCAAATCCACTTTGTTGCTGCGTATAATTATTTATTAGATTCACTTTCAATAAAGAAACGTCAAACTTAAAGCGAATTTTGCAAAAAAAATATTTCCACTCGACCTTCTCCTGCATGTGTGAGTATAAAACTCCACCCACTCATGAATATTAATGACGTGGGGGGGGTGCGATATGTGGAGTGACGTCACGCGCGGGATACACAAACAGACATTCTTGGCCCATTATAGTCGTAATAGCATCCCACAACGCTGTACATTAATTATACATACAGCGCGCGTGCGGAGAGTGACTTTCACGAGCTGATGTCGGTGTTTCCTCCGTGGTGCTTGGTAGAGAAACAGTTGGCACGGTAGGGGGCACGGTAGGGGGCACGGTAGGGGGCACAGCCGGTGGTGCATCGACCGGTCATCTCAGTCAGCCAACCCATGGCACCTGCTGCGTCTGTCCCGTGACCTCCTGTCGGCAGCGAGAGTCTTCGACACTTCACGCGATAGCCTCAACGTGCACCTGGCCTGGCACAGACGCCGTGGTGACCTCGCCGTCGCTTACTGGCAGATGGCGTTTGTTGGTATCGGCAGCGCCTGCCCCAACAGTCCTTGAAGGCTGTACGGGGGATGGATGTTTCCGTGTCTGCAGGCCTGCGCGGCCTGGTGAACCTGGGCAACACGTGCTTCATGAACTGCATCGTGCAGGCCCTGACGCACACGCCGCTGCTGCGAGACTTCTTCTTGTCGGACCGCCACCGCTGTGAGATGGAGAGCCCCGAGTCCTGCCTGGTGTGCGAGATGAGCCGCCTCTTCCAGGAGGTCAGTGTCTCCCCCCACGCGTTCCCCCCCCCACGCGTCTCCCCCCACGCGTCTCCCCCCACGCGTCTCCCCCCACGCGTCTCCCCCCACGCGTCTCCCCCCACGCGTCTCGTCTCCCCCACATGTCCCCCAGCGTGCCCCTTCCGTCCCGTATTGCGGTCTACCCCCGCCCCCCACAGTTCTACTCGGGGTTCCGCTCGCCGCACATCCCCTACCGCCTGCTGCACCTGGTGTGGACGCACGCACGCCACCTGGCCGGCTACGAGCAGCAGGACGCTCACGAGTTCCTCATCGCCGCGCTCGACGTGCTGCACCGACACTGCAAAGGTGGCCGCATATGTTGACGTGTTGACGTGTTTAGCCTCTCCCGTGCCAATCGGTCGCGGTGACCGTACCGTGCCGTGACCGTGCCGTGCCGTGACCGTGCGGCGCGCTCGCCTCTCTGCAGGGGACGACAACGGAAAGAAAGCCAACAACCCCAACCACTGCAACTGCATCATCGATCAGATCTTCACGGGCGGCCTGCAGTCGGACGTCACCTGCCAAGTCTGCCAGTGAGTGCGACCAGAGGCTATGCACGCACACACGCGGACACACATCTGTGTGCGTAGGAGGTGTTCGCTGAAAGCACTTGCCCCAAACGTCTACCGAGGCTACGCGGGGGGGGTGATCTTTGTCGTGTGTGTGTGTGAGTGTAACAGAACCCGATAACAACGAACGGGAAAACACAAAGAAGAGCGAACAGCACGGATAGAATGGGAGAGTGTGAAGGGGACAGGGCACAGAGGAAGAGCAAATTGAAGAAGATGGGGAAATGAGGAAATCAAAGTGTGTTTATTAACTCGGTGGACCGAGTTGGATTCCCGCTCACGGCCACCATCCCCGACAAACGTGCACTCGCGCACGTCCAACTTCTTTGGCACCGTACGTGAGCCGACCGTGCTGAGCGGAGGTTGTGCGGTGGGACGTCTGCGTGCGTCTCCCAGGGGCGTGTCCACCACCATCGACCCCTTCTGGGACATCTCGCTGGACCTGCCGGGCTCCTCGACGCCGTTCTGGCCGCTCAGCCCCGGCTCGGAGGGCAGTCTGCTGCTCGCCAACGGCGGGGAGGGCCACGCGGCCGCGGGCCCCACCTCGCTCACCGACTGCCTGCGCAGGTACCGGCCCGCCGGCCTGCCGACTGGTGCACGGTGTGCCGCCGCCCCCCCGATCACGACGGCGACAACGTTGGTGACCGCCGCCCTCCTCCTCTGCTCTCGTTTCGAAGAGTGCCACCCCCCCAGTGGCAGCAGCTGCCCCTGTGTGTGTCCGGGGAAGCGCCACTGTGGCGAGGAGATGTTAACTACCTCACCCGGTATACAGGAGGTCATGGGTTCGATCCTGATGCCTGCTGCTATATATTAGGAGTTTGCGTGTCTCTCCCCGTGATAAGCCACTTCGTTGAGCTATCATTTGTGGCCAGGTCGTTTCTCAAAAAGAGCTACATTCCTCAGTGGATCTTACCTTAGTAAAATAAAAAATAGTTTAGTTTTAGTTTGGCCTATACTGGTTATGTTGTGCGCGGTGTGGTGTGTGCTTAGATATGGGAAGAAACCAGAGAACCCAGAAGAAACTAATGCAGCACGGGGAGAGAGAGTGAGAGAGGACGTACAAACTCCACCCACGAGTCAGGGGATCTATTTGTTAGATCCCCTGACTCGTGGGTGGTAGGCTTTCGCGACCAATATTATGTCTATTCACCGCGTAATGCACCACGAGCCTCCGCCTGACGTCACCGCGTGGCTCACGAGCGCCGTCCATGGCTCCTAGATTTTGATGGCCGCTCGTGGGTTTTGACCGTGGCTCGTGGGTGTTGACCGTGGCTGGTGGGTTTTGACCGTGGCTCGTGGGTTTTGACCGTGGCTCGTGGGTTTTGACCGTGGCTGGTGAGTTTTGACCGTGGCTGGTGGGTTTTGACCGTGGCTGGTGGGTTTTGACCGTGGCTGGTGGGTTTTGACTGTGGCTGGTGAGTTTTGACCGTGGCTGGTGAGTTTTGACCGTGGCTGGTGGGTTTTGACCGTGGCTGGTGGGTTTTGACCGTGGCTGGTGGGTTTTGACCGTGGCTGGTGAGTTTTGACCGTGGCTGGTGAGTTTTGACCGTGGCTGGTGAGTTTTGACCGTGGCTCGTGGGTTTTGACCGTGGCTGGTGGGTTTTGACCGTGGCTCGTGGGTTTTGACCATGGCTGGTGGGTTTTGACCGTGGCTCGTGGGTTTTGACCGTGGCTCGTGGGTTTTGACCGTGGCTCGTGGGTTTTGACCGTGGCTCGTGGGTTTTGACCGTGGCTCGTGGGTTTTGACCGTGGCTGGTGGGTGTTGACCGTGGCTCGTGGGTTTTGACCGTGGCTCGTGGGTTTTGACCGTGGCTCGTGGGTTTTGACCGTCGCTGGTGGGTTTTGACTGTAGCTCGTGGGTGTTGACCGTGGCTCATGGGTGTTGACCATGGCTGGTGGGTTTTGACTGTGGCTGGTGGGTTTTGACTGTGGCTGGTGGGTTTTGACCGTGGCTGGTGGGTTTTGACCGTGGCTGGTGGGTTTTGACCGTGGCTCGTGGGTTTTGACCGTGGCTGGTGGGTGTTGACCGTGGCTCGTGGGTTTTGACCGTGGCTCATGGGTTTTGACCGCGGCTCGTGGGTTTTGACCGCGGCTGGTGGGTTTTGACCGTGGCTGGTGGGTGTTGACCGTGGCTCGTGGGTTTTGACCGTGGCTCGTGGGTTTTGACCGCGGCTCGTGGGTTTTGACCGCGGCTGGTGGGTTTTGACCGTGGCTCGTGGGTTTTAACCGTGGCTCGTGGGTTTTGACCGTGGCTCGTGGGTGTTGACCGTGGCTCGTGGGGTTCGCGCGGCCGGAGAGCGCAGGTTCACACGGCCCGAGTACCTGGGCAGCAGCGCGAAGATCAAGTGCAGCGGCTGCCGGAGTTACCAGGAGTCTACCAAGCAGCTGACGATGAAGAAGCTGCCCATCGTGGCCTGCTTTCACCTCAAGGTTCCGCTGCCGTGGCGTAGCTCTCCTTGCAACCCCACTCACCCCCGACAGCGCCAGCAGTAGGGGCAGCAGTAGGGGCAGCAGCAGGGGCAGCAGCACGGGCAGCAGCACGGGCAGCAGCAGTGGTGGCACGGCACCCACTCGCTGGGCAGCGGTTGTTTAGCGATCGCAGCTTCAAAGTGATCGCCGTGCACTTGCATCAGAACGCACGAGCATGAGACACGTGTCTTTGCCGTGTCTGTCCCACCACGGAGCAAACAAGCACGTAAATAAATATATAAATGGCACATCCCGTCAGCCACACGGCCTTCTGCGAGTACATCATTTTAAAGCAAGCAAGCCTGACTGCTGATGAGATACTGAATGTTGAAACCGGTCCAGAGTTGGCTCGTTGTTGAACCGACGTGTTCAACTAATGTGATCCTGAGTCACTGTGTGTGTGTGTCTGTGTTTGTGTGCAGCGATTTGAGCACTCGGCAAAGCTGCGCAAAAAAATCACCACCTACGTCTCTTTTCCCCTGGAGCTCGATATGACGCCGTTCATGGCATCAAGGTGTCTACACGCACGCACGCACTGCGTTGAACACACCCAAACTCACCGCACGCGTGTAAACATCGCCACTAGGGAGACAGGCGGCTGGGCGTGGTGCTGGCCGCTCACCTCCGCGTGTACCTTACCGGCCTTCATAGGTGCTACTTGCTCACAGCACTTGCCTCCTCCAGTTAAAGGCTACATGGGGGATGTTTGTGCGGTGAGCCGTTGGCACAGTGGTTCACGCACTGTGCTGCTCACTTGGCGACCAGAGTCGATACCCGCACAGGGTCCCCTAGGTCTACTAGGGGTCCCCTGGGTCTACGAGGGGTCCCCTTGGTCTACGAGGGGTCCCCTGGGTCTACGAGGGGTCCCCTGGGTCTACGAGGGATCCCCTAGGCCTACGAGGGATCCCCTGGGTCTACGAGGGGTCCCCTAGGGTCTACGAGGGATCCCCTAGGCCTACGAGGGATCCCCTGGGTCTACGAGGGGTCCCCTAGGTCTACGAGGGGTCCGCTAGGTCTACGAGGGGTCCCCTAGGTCTACGAGGGGTCCGCTAGGTCTACGAGGGGTCCCTCTGGGTCTACGAGGGATCCCCTAGGCCTACGAGGGATCCCCTGGGTCTACGAGGGATCCCCTGGGTCAACGAGGGATCCCCTGGGTCTACGAGGGATCCCCTGGGTCTACGAGGGGTCCCCTAGGGTCTACCAGGGGTCCCCTAGGTCTACGAGGGGTCCCCTGGGTCTACGAGGGATCCCCTAGGGTCTACCAGGGGTCCCCTAGGTCTACGAGGGGTCCCCTGGGTCTACGAGGGATCCCCTGGGTCTACGAGGGGTCCCCTAGGTCTACGAGGGGTCCCCTGGGTCTACGAGGGGTCCGCTGGGTCTACGAGGGGTCCGCTAGGTCTACGAGGGATCCCCTGGGTCTACGAGGGATCCCCTGGGTCTACGAGGGGTCCCCTGGGTCTACGAGGGATCCCCTGGGTCTACGAGGGGTCCCCTAGGTCTACGAGGGGTCCGCTAGGTCTACGAGGGGTCCCTCTGGGTCTACGAGGGATCCCCTGGGTCTACAAGGGATCCCCTGGGTCTACGAGGGGTCCCCTAGGGTCTACCAGGGGTCCCCTAGGTCTACGAGGGGTCCCCTGGGTCTACGAGGGATCCCCTGGGTCTACGAGGGATCCCCTAGGTCGACAAGATGATAACTCCCTCGCCTGGCATGCAGGAGGTCATGGCTTTTATCACGACCCTGATGCCTGCTGTATATTTGGAGTTTGCATGTCTCTCTCTGCATGGTCAAGTGGATTTTTCTCCGGGTTTAAAATCAACAGGCGATTAGAGTATTTCGCTGAAATTGATGTCCACACGATAAGCCACTTTGCTGAGCTATCATTTGTTGGCAGGTCGCTTCTGAAAAATAAATATATTGCTCAGTGGGCCTGACCTGGTAAAATAAAAAATTGTTTAGTTTCAGTTTTTTTAATGAGTAGGTTCCCATTTCGAACTCTCCGTCCGGTGTGTAAACGCGAACCGCTGGGCATAGGCCTGACCGTACCATTCGCGGTCGGCGCTCGCTAGCGGCAGGGCACTGCTGCCCCAGCGTGCCTGTGCGGGCTACACGGTGGTGGGTTGGGAGGGATCTTTGTGCCGTGCGACCTCGTGACCCCGCTCCCTGTGCGCGCGTGCGTGGGCACAGCAAGGAGAGCCGCGTGAACGGGCAGCACCAAGTGGGAGGAGACGCCCTGAGCAGCGAGAACAAGTAGGTGGCGGCGTCCTCCCGCCCGTCGCTCGCGCTCTCCACGACCTCCGCTCTGCGCGGCCGTAACTTAAGCACGCCGGTGGTGTGACGCTGGTTGTCCCCACAGCGAGAAGGGCCTGGACTCGATTCCCCGACTTGAGAGGGAGAGGCCTGCCTTTGAGTGTGCATGGGTTTGTTCTCTCTCCCCCTGTGTTCTGCATGAGTTTCATCCCGGGCTCTCTGATTGGTCCAAACCATAAAAATTACCCATTTGGAATCACACACAGCAGCAGCAACATCGCCTCCTCTCCCCCCTGTAATCTTGGCAGGACCCTCCTGAGAGGGTCTTGAGACTCGGTGAGGCTTGTCCAGGTTGAACAAATGGAATCATAATAATAAGACGATTTCAAGGGCTACAACTTAAACTATTTTTAATGTTACCAGGTAAGTCACGACTGAGCTATGTAGCTCTTTTTCAGAAGCGATCTGGCCACAAATTATAACGAAGTGGCTTATCATCACGTGGAAATATACAGCAGCCAAAGAGTCTAAACGCGTTACGTTGATTATAAATGCGGAGGGAAAACCCGGAGGACCCGGAGAAAAATCTACGCGCCCACGGGGAGAGAGCACGCCAACTCCAATTATATATAGGTATTGTGAGGGTCGGGATTCAACCCAGGACCTCCTGCATACCAGGCGAGGTAGATAACATCTCCTAGCCATTGCGGCGGTTTAAGTACTTTCGATTTACGCTCTGATTTTCAAGAACGCATCCTGGGCGTACACCGGGGTATGCCTGTAACTGCAAGTCACTCAGTTGAGGTTACTCGTATTAACTTGAGACTCGATTAAGCATTCCTGGTTAGATTATAATTAAATGAAATAAACTGTGGCAATACTAGTGATGCAGAGAACAAAACCCATTCCGTGGATGTTTTTTGTAAACTGAGAGTAACGTATATCAATTTCGTTCTGTTAATTTGTCAACTTAAACGTGTCCCACTGTAAAAGTTGGATTCCATGCACGCGTGCGTGTGCGTCTGTCTGAGTGTGGGTGTCTGCGGATGGAGCGGTAGTGTCGCGGTTTGCGTGCTGTGCTACGAACCCGGCGACACGAGTTCGATTCCCGCTCACAGCCAATACCAGTGACGATTATCTGAACCGGTACTGGGCCTCCCCTAGGTGTACTCAGCCTCAAATAAGTACTTGGTGCGGTGTGTAAACATCGCCACTAGGGAGAGAGGCGGCCGGGTATGGTGCTGTCCACCCACCCCTCGTGTGTCGTGCTGGCTTTCATAGGGGCTACTCGCTAACAGCACTTGCCCTAACAGTATGTTAAGGCTATATACGGAATCATTATCTTTGGTTCTGCCTGCGTGTGTCTGTGCATGCGTGTGTGTCTGTGCATGTGTGTGTGTATGCATGCATGCGTGTGTGCGCCTGTGTGTCTGCGCGCGTGTGTGTGTGCGCGCGTGTCCGTGTGTGTGTGCCCAGGTACTCGCTGTTTGCGGTGGTGAACCACCAGGGCACGCTGGAGAGCGGCCACTACACCAGCTTCATCCGGCAGCACAAAGACCAGTGGTTCAAGTGCGATGACGCAATCATCACGCACGCCGGCGCGCGGGACGTCCTCGACAGTGAAGGGTGCGTGGACGCCACGCTCCTCTCCTGCCTCCTACTTCCTTACACCTACCTTCTCCCTCCTAACACGGAACGTGCACCGTTATAACACGGAACGTGCACCGTTATGGTGCAGTTTCTGAGCGGTAGACGCTGAACTACTTTTTGGAGCTGCGCGGCTGAGCGGGTAGTGATACAGTACGCGGATCGATACAGTAACGTGGCAGCGTGCACTCAGTTATTTGTCCCGCCATCTGTGTGGTGTGCTTAGTAGTAGTAGTACAAAGTAGCTCACCAAAATTACCGTTGCATTATTTATGAGTAAATAGTTTTCGCTTACCGTGTTTTTCGCTTAACGCAACACTTTTCAGGAACACATTCCGCGTTAAGCTATTCAAACTATGTTTTATTTGACCAGGTAAGGCCTCACTGATCTCTGTAGCTCTTTATCAGAAGCGACCTGGCTATCACAAATGATAGCTCAACAAAGTGGCTTATCACGTGGAAATTTATAGCAGCCAAATACTCTAAACGCGTGACGTTGATTTTAAATGTGGAGGGAAAAACTGGAGGATTCGGAGAAAAAACCATGGGGAGAATGAACATGCAAACTTAAAATATACAACAGACATCGTCAGGGTCGAGATTGAACCCACGACCTCCTGCATACCAGGCGAGGGAATTAACATTTCGCCACCACAGCGCCCTTAAACGAGAACTTTCTGCAACAATAAAGTAACTCGTAAAGGAGACTGTTGGGGTTTGAGACAATTCTAACCACATTTCTGCCACCTCCCTCACCGTTGTGCCACAGGTATCTACTGTTCTACCACAAGCAGTTCCTGGAATACGAGTGAATGGTCTTGGAACGTAAAAAATAGCCCCTCCGCGGCTCGACCTGACTGCGTGATACGAGGAAACGGAATACAAAGTGGAGTGGAAAAAACAAAACAAACTAATAACTGCATCTACCTGAAGTAACCGCGAACTATGAGAGAGTACTGGAGATACTTGAGAAAAACCCTGACCCTGGACGGCTGGACGGGGGGACGGGAGCTGACGGCTGCTACCATTGTATTACATTGAAATGGTTGGGCTGCATTCCCTCAAACGAACGAATGTTTGTGATGCACTGATGCTCTCTCGCCCGCCGCCGCCGCCACTGCTGCGGCTGTGGCTCCAGGCCAGCGAGCAGAGCTTGCCTCTAGGCGGCCACTCAGACCTTTGCTTGGGCTCCTCCGTATTAAAAGAGAGAGAAAAACTTTAAAAAAATATAACAAAAAAAAACTTGTGACTCACTACACATCCAGTAATTGATTATTGTGCCAGTTTACAAAGCTACCAAAATGAGGTGCAAATGAATCCTTTGTGCAAGATATGCTCTAGTTTTTCTGGGTTCCTTGCGTTGTTGGAAATATTTGCATAAAGGTTTATTTTGTTACGTCATGGAGAGTGGCTGCGCCGACAAAGTGACGGTGTTTGTGACGGTGTTTGCTGTGTTTAATTTGTGAGTGAAGGTGTTTGGCGACCAGACGCCGAGAGACACCGGCCCTGTCTGCCACAAGCGATCCTGGTGGTGGTGGTTTTACATAGCCCTACTAGGCCCTACTAGGCCCTACTAGGCCCTACATGGCCCTACTAGGCCCTACTAGGCCCTACATGGCCCTACTAGGCCATACTTGGGCCTACTAGGCCCTACATGGCCCTACTAGGTCCTACTAGGACCTACATGCATGGCCCAACTAGGCCCTACATGGCCCTACTAGTCCCTACTAGGTCCTACTAGGCCCTATATGGCCCTACTAGGTCCTACTAGGACCTACATGGCCCTACTAGGCCCTACATGGCCCTACTAGGCCCTACTAGGTCCTACTTGGCCCTACATGGCCCTACTAGGCCCTACATGGGCCTACTAGGCCCTACATGCTCCTACTAGGCCCTACTAGGCCCTACATGGCCCTACTAGGCCATACTTGGGCCTACTAGGTCCTACTAGGCCCTACTTGGCCCTACTTGGCCCTACTAGGCCCTACTTGGGTCTACTAGGTCCTGTTAGGCCCTACTAGGCCCTACTTGGGCCTACTAGGCCCTACTTGGGCCTACTAGATCCTGCTAGGCCCGGGCGCCACCTCGGGTGGCAAGGCCGGTGTTGAAATCGCCATCACGGCAGAGATTTAACCACCACCACGCCGGGAGCGTGCCCACGGATCTGTTTCTGTTGCTAGTCCATCACGAGACGGAAGTTTAGAAAAAAACAAATCATGTTGTTGGTGCTGAAAGCACGCGTCTTACCACTAATTCGTAACAATGCAATCGTGTAAATTTAGTTCTGTGAAATCGATGCACAATTTTTATTTGCCATAGACGAGTAAGATAACTGATTTGGCAGCTTTAAAGATGTTTAAAAAAAACACTTGATTTTGGGTGTTGCCTGGTGAATGTGTGTGGTGGGGGTTTTTTTTTCTTTCTCTGTGGACTAAATATTTTTGAGGTGACAAATTGCGTTGCATGTCCTCAACTGGTTTTACAAGTACGGCCGTGATACCGTTCAGACGGCTTCTCAGTGGCAATGAAACGTGATGTAATGCAACCTTTGTGTTCAGTAGCGACTAAAATACACCGCGGTCAACACGATAATGTCACGTTGTAGCAGTCACACTCTGAGCAAGGCATATTTTGAACTCATTTTGCAGTATTGGGATCTCCATGCATAGCTTATGTACAATTTTTTTTTTACCTGTAGGTGAATGTTACAGGCATGTGATGAGTCCTCAATTTAACTAAATCCTTATGCTCACGACGTACGTATCTTGCATGTAAGCATAAGTTATATTTGTTTATTTGTACAAATGTAGAAGGTGTTTATTTACATTGATGCAAGCGGTGTGGCGGAACACGGGTAAAAGTAACACCGTAGAGATTGGATGGTAAATGATGGTGGTGGTCATTAGATGAGGCTATAGACACGAGGCTGTAGACACGAGGCAGTACAAATTACTTCTACAAACGAGACAGTACAATTGAGATGGACTGTACAGATGAGACGGTACAAACAAAACCGCTCGAGAGAAATCGATTCGCGATCATGATTCGCTAAGTCGCAGGACAAGCCAGCTGCTGCGACTGAGACGATGCAAACAAAGCAGTTGCTTCAGGTGAGACAACAATCAGGACGGCGCAGACAAGACGGGACTCGTGAGATGGGGACAGACAGTACTAACAATACGGACTGCAAGTGAGACAGTAAAAGCAAAATGGACAAGATTTGTTTTTCAGGATGAGAGGTGCGGGGGAAGGACAACAAACTAAACACAGAAAGCAGTTATAAAGAAATTAGTTTTCAATTTTGATTTTAAAGTGCTTCGCTCCTAGTGGCTTTCAAACATCAGATAGAAGAGCGTTCCAGACGGCCGCAGAAGCACCGCGTCTGCATTCGTGACAATTGGTGGCACTGTAGGTGCCCATCCACCGTTGTCTCCAGAGGGGCCACCCTCGCCACACGAGGTTGGCACCGATTATCGCAAGCCCACCCAGACAGTAGTGTCTTATAATTTCACATTTAAAATCCCCGATTGTCATTGACAAAATATTGCCTATTGAGTGAAAGCATCATCGCCGGCCACAATCCCCCAAATATTTTTTTAAACGCAATTACTGCTTAAATTTTTTTTCACGCAATGACTAAAAATAACCCAAGTTGTATTTTCTTTTTACGAAAGGACGCTGGGTGTGTTTTTGATAGGTGTGTGTGAGCCAGACGTTGGATGTGTGAGCCAGCGTACTGGCCCAGATTCCTTATGTGACTCATCCCTCCAGCTCCTGAATGATCGCTCCACCAGTGAATTCCACCACTGTGAAGGACAACGCTTAGAAGTTTCTTGACTTAGTTGATCACGGCCGATAAACCCTTCGACTTAGGGGGGGTGGAGAGGGGGCGCGCGCAAATAAAACTGTGGTTGGCTGTAATCCCGCGTCTTGTGTTGGTGGCATTCGATCCATTTTTGGGACCTCCCCCACATTTAGTTTTAGCCGGTATCAAGATGAAGTTGGCTTTCTTGTGCTCCTCTGCACCGTAGCGTTGCAGTCGAGGGTTTTTTTTACGTTTAAAAGGCCAAAAACAATTATTGACACCTGCCAATATTGCACTGTATGGAACGCCGTGTTGGTGCAGTGTGTAAGCAGGGACGGGATAGCGTGGCTCCGGTGCCACCGTACGGGGCAGCGCGGTCTGCACGTGGCGGTCGTGGGTGGATGCCACGCGGGGATTTCTGCCCCCCGTGTCCCCCCAAAAGACACATTTTGTCACCTCAGAAATGTGATTTTCTTTCTGTCTTCTGTTGATAGTGAAAACTCGGCAAAGCGGCACCACGTTGTGCAACGGTGAAAGGGAAATGGGCCACAAACATATCCTTTGCACATTTTTTTGCTGTATTTCTAAGAAATGTTATTTTTGTATTAGTTATTTTTTTTAGTTTTTTGTTCTAACGTGCCAAGGTATTGCCATCTCGTGTGCACAGCTGCTCTCGATGGGTTACATTTCTTAATTGATGGTTGTTATTTTTTATCTCTACGTTTGTTGTAGGTGGCGTGCGTTGTGTTTTTGGTGTTCCGTGAGAAACTCTCTCCGCTCCGTCGGGGCTGCGTTTTGCGGTAATTGCGTTGCATATCAGGCACAATGGCCGTGTCACCGGCCTTGTCATTGGCCGTGTCACCGGCCTTGTCACTGGCCGTGTCACCGGCCATGTCACTGGCCGTGTCAGGCGCACTGACCGTGTCACCGGCCGTGTCACCGGGGTGTCACTGGGTGTGTCACTGGGTGTGTCACTGGCCGTGTCACCGGCCTTGTCATTGGCCGTGTCAGGCGCACTGGCCGTGTCACTGGCCATGTCACTGGGTGTGTCACTGGGTGTGTCACCGGCCATGTCACCGGCCATGTCACTGGCCGTGTCACTGGCCTTGTTACTGGCCATGTCACTGGGTGTGTAACTGGGTGTGTCACCGGCCATGTCACTGGCCGTGTCACCGGCCGTGTCACTGGCCGTGTCACTGGGTGTGTCACTGGCCATGTCACTGGGTGTGTCACTGGGTGTGTCACTGTCCGTGTCACTGGCCGTGTCACTGGCCGTGTCACTGGGTGTGTCACTGGGTGTGTCACTGGCCTTGTCACTGGGTGTGTCACTGGGTGTGTCACTGTCCGTGTCACTGGCCGTGTCACTGGGTGTGTCACTGGGTGTGTCACTGGGTGTGTCACTGGCCGTGTCACTGGGTGTGTCACTGGCCGTGTCACTGACCGTGTCACTGGGTGTGTCACTGGCCGTGTCACTGGGTGTGTCACTGGCCGTGTCACTGGGTGTGTCACTGGCCGTGTCAGTGGCCGTGTCACTGGCCGTGTCACTGGCCGTGTCACTGGGTGTGTCACTGGCCGTGTCACTGGGTGTGTCACTGGCCGTGTCACTGGGTGTGTCAGGCGCACTGGCCATGTCACTGGCCATGTCACTGGGTGTGTCACTGGGTGTGTCACTGGCCGTGTCACTGGCCGTGTCACTGGGTGTGTCACTGGCCGTGTCACTGGGTGTGTCAGGCGCACTGGCCATGTCACTGGGTGTGTCACTGGCCGTGTCGAAGTCCATCTTGCACTGAGGAGTGCGCGCAGCCGCTTGGTCTGTGCCCATCTAACAGTCTGTGATTTAAACAACAAAAATACACGGAACTAAATAAATTCCATCTGACCAAATTCCTCTTTCTTCCGTCGCCATGTGTGTTGTTGTTGCAAAAGCTGCTGATGTCGAGGAGTAGTAAGGGTGGCACAGCGGTAACACTCGAGCGGCACAGCAAGAAAGATTTCCTGGGTTCGATTCGCGACCTGGGCGCCGTTCTGTGTGGAGTCTGTTCGTTCCCTCCCTCGTGCTCTGCCTGGGCGTTTTCAGATTTCTTCCCAGAGCTAAACTATAAAACAAACCCGTGTCATTTGGTATTGGATAAAATAATATTTTGTAAAAAAAAAAGTGCCTCAAAATTACTCATTTGGGATTACAACAAACGCCATTCGCTACTAAGTGGCGGTGACGTCACCACGGCGCTTGTGCCAGGCTAGGTGCACGTTGAGGCCACGTGAAGTGTCGAACGTCCGCTGACAGAAGGTCACGTGGCAGACCCAGGAGGTGCCACTGACTGAGATGAGTGGTCGATGCACCACCACCCGTGCCCCCTACTGCGTTAACTGGCATGACTGGCCGATGCACCACCACCCGTGCCCCCTACTGCGTTAACTGAGATGAGTGGTCGATGCACCACCACCCGTGCCCCCTACTGCGTTAACTGAGATGAGTGGTCGATGCACCACCACCCGTGCCCCCTACTGCGTTAATTGACATGACTGGCCGATGCACTACCACCCGTGCCCCCTACTGCGTTAACTGACATGACTGGCGGATGCACCACCACCCGTGCCCCCTACTGCGTTAATTGACATGACTGGTCGATGCACCACCCGTGCCCCCTACTGCGTTAACTGACATGACTGGCCGATGCACCACCACCCGTGCCCCCTACTGCGTTAACTGACATGACCGGCCGATGCACCACCACCCGTGCCCCCTACTGCGCCAACTCCCCACGACCACTGCCTCCACCTGCACGGGCCTGGGCCGTGCCCCCCTCTCAGCAGTGACGTGGGGGGGTCACTGCTGAGCAACGCAGCAGCGTCACTGCTCGGAATCGTGGGTGAGGGGGGGGTGTGACGCGGCGGGGTGGCCCAGGGTTTAAGGGGCGAGCCGCGACCCCCACCGCCTTCAGGCGTTGCTGCATTCGGTGTCTCTGCCTGGATCCTCACTTGCGCTCTCCCCGCCGCTGGGTAAGAGACAGAGAGAGACAAAGAAGGACACCGAGAGACAGAGAGAGACAAAGAAGGACACAGAGAGAGACAAAGAGGGAGACGGAGAGAGACAAATAGGGAGAGAGACAAAGAGGGAGACAGAAAGACAGACAGAAAGAGACAAAGAGGGAGACAGGGAGAGAGACAGAGAGACAGGGAGACAGAGAGAGAGACAGAGACAGAAAGGGAGACAGAGAGAAAGACAGAGAGGGACACAGAGACAGAGAGGGAGACAGACAGAAAGGGAGACAGAGAGACAGAAAGAGATAAAGAGGGAGACAGGGAGAGAGACAGAGAGAGACAGCGAGACAGAGAGACAGAGACACAGGGAGACAGAGACAGAAAGGGAGACAGAGACAGGGAGACAGAAAGGGAGACAGAGACACAGAGACAGAGAGACAGGGAGACAGAGAGACAGAAAGAGATAAAGAGGGAGACAGGGAGAGAGACAGAGAGAGACAGCGAGACAGAGACACAGGGAGACAGAGACAGAAAGGGAGACAGAGAGACAGAGACAGGGAGACAGAAAGGGAGACAGAGACAGAGACAGAGAGACAGGGAGACAGAAAGGGAGACAGAGACACAGAGACAGGGAGACAGAAAGGGAGACAGAGACACAGAGACAGGGAGACAGAAAGGGAGACAGAGACACAGAGACAGGGAGACAGAAAGGGAGACAGAGACACAGAGACAGGGAGACAGAAAGGGAGACAGAGACAGAGAGACAGGGAGACAGAAAGGGAGACAGAGACACAGAGACAGGGAGACAGAAAGGGAGACAGAGACACAGAGACAGAGAGACAGAAAGGGAGACAGAGACAGAGAGAGACAGGGAGACAGAAAGGGAGACAGAGACACAGAGACAGAGAGACAGGGAGACAGAAAGGGAGACAGAGAGAGAGACAGAGAGCTGCCTCTGTGCACCGGTGCTTGGTTGTGGTAGTGTGTGGGGAGCGGTGGCGCAGTGGTTAGCGCGCTGCGCTTAGAACCCTGCCCACTCGAGTTCGATTCCCGCTCACGGCCATCAACATCAGTGACGATTATATTCTTAGTTCTTTCGGTACCGAAAGAACTAAGAATATGAATTACTGCAGTCACGAAAGCTTTAAATCAAAATTTGTCAGTGACGATTATCTCAGCCTCAAACGAATACCTGGTGATGTGCGTAAAAAACATCACCACTAGGGAGACAAAGGCGGCCGGGCGTGATGCTGGCCACCAACCCCCTCGTGTGCCGTACCGCTATCAGCACTTGCCCCTACAGTCTGTTAAGGCCACATGGGGGATCTTTGTCTTTTGATGGGGAGCGATTGGTGGCGCTGCGCTACGGGCCCAGAAACCCAAATTCAGTTCCCGCTCACGGCCAGCGAACAGTGACGATTCGGTCTCAAACGAGTACCCGATGCGATCTGCGAACAGCAGCATTGGGGCGAGGCGGCCGGGCGTGGTGGTGATGATGCGCGCTCACAGCACTCGCCCCAACAAACTGCGCTCTGTGTCGACAGTATTTTATTTGAGCAGGTAAGGCCCACTGAGATGTGGAGCTCTTTTTGCCAGACGCGACGGCGATCACAAATGATGATAATAATAATCCCAGCGAAGCGGCTTCTTGTGTCGGTCCGAAATGTGGAGGGGAAAACCCCGGAGAGCATTCCACGCGACCACGGGGACGGAACCCACGACCTCCTGCAGACCCGGCGAGGGAGATAACACCTCGCCACCTCCATGCGGAGGCCGTCTGGCGTTCCCGACGATGACCTAATGACCTCCCCCCTCTGCCCCCAGGTATCCGCCTCCTCCTGCTCCTCACACACGACAGGGGCGGATATCCGCTCTTGCACTCGTTGAGTGGTGAGTTCATCCCAGTTGGTGGCGGTTTACACCACGCATAGGAACCGACGTTAGGGCCAGAGCCGAAACGTCGTAGGTCAGGGTGGGTGGGTGACTCAGGTGGCCCCTGCCACCCACGCTAAGGGCGCTGACATCTTCTCCCTGGCAGGGTCGACGTTGGCATCGCCACCCATCCACAGCACGCGTTGTGAGTTGGTGGATTGTGTGTATGTACGTGTGTGTGTATGTACGTGTGTAAGTTGAACCTCTTTCGCACCGTACGTTGACAACCGTGCTAATCGGAGGTGCGGCGTAAGGACTGCAAACTAAACACAAACCACAACTATTACACGCCTCAAAGACAAACACCCTATTATAGCTTTATTAGACTTGGGACAAGTGCTTTAAGCAACCATACAAAGACACCCCATATAGCCTCAACAAGACTGTAGGGGCAAGTGCTGTAAGCGACCGTATAAAGACAAAGGTACCCTCATATATAGCCTCATCAAACTGTAGGGGCAAGTGCTGTTAGCACACACGCCAAGCTGGGCATGAGCCCAAGCGCGCGCTGCTGCTCGTGATGAACTCGCCCTTGATGCTGCTGCTAATGATGATGACGATTTCGCTGATTATGATAATGACGATGACGTAGCTGATGACGCTGCGTGTTTTCTCCATCCAATGCGGCGGTCGCGTTGAGTCGCGTGACTCGCAGCGCGCGCGCCCAGGCGGGGGAATTCCCTCGCGCGGTGACGTCACTTCTCGGTCGCGCGCGGTGACGTCACTTCGCTCTTCCTCCTCCTCCTCCTCGTCCATCGTTCCTCTTCAGTCGACTCGAACTGCCGCGCGCAAGGTGAAGTTTTCTCTCTCTCTCTCTCTGCCTCTCTGTCCATGTGTGTCCGTGTGTTTGCGCGTCTTTATTTTGTGTGTGCGTGTGTCGCTGTGTAGTCGGAGTTTGCGTTGGGCCCTCCGGGGTTTCCCCTCCACATTTGTAAACATGCGTTTCGATTATGTTGCTGCTATAAATGTCCACCCTGATAAGCCACTTCGTTGGGCTGTCGTCTGTGTCCAGATCGCTTCAGAAACATAGTTAATAGTTCAGTGGGCTTTGCCTGGTAAACAAAATAGTTTAGTGTAGTGTTAGTGTCTGTGTGTGCCTGTCTTTGTGTGTCTGTGTGTTTCTCTGTGTCTATGTGTGTGTATCCGTATGTGTGTCTCTGTCTTTGTGTGTATCTGTGTGTGTCTATGTGTGTGTGTCTCTGTCTTTGTGTGTGTGTCTCTGCCTTTGTGTGTATCTGTGTGTGTCTCTGTCTTTGTGTGTGTGTCTCTGCCTTTGTGTGTATTTGTGTGTGTCTATGTGTGGGGAGCGGTAGTGTAGCGGTTAGCGCGCTGCGCTATGAACCTGGCGACCTGGGTTCGATTCCCCCAACACCAGTGACGAATATCTGAACCGGTCCCGGGCCTCCCCTAGGTCGACTCAGCCTCTAAATGAGTACCTGGTGCGGTGTGTAAACATCGCCACAAGGGAGACAAAGGCGGTCGGGCGTGGTGCTGGCCACCCACCCCCTGGTGTACCGTTCCGGCCTTCATAGGTGCTCGCTAACAGCACTTGCCCCTACAGTCTGTTAAGGCTATATGGGGGATATTTGTATCTGTGTGTGTCTCTGTCTTTGTGTGTATCTGTGTGTATCTGTGTGTATGTATGTATGTGTCTCTGTTTTTGTGTGTATCTGTGTGTGTATCTGTGTGTGTGTCTATGTGTGTGTCTATGTGTATATATGTGTGTGTCTCTGTCTTTGTGTGTATCTGTGTGTCTATTGTCATCCTACAGCCTGCTAGAGGCTACACGGGGGACCTTCGTCTGCGGCACGAACCCGGAAAGCCGGTCCTGGACTTCCCCTATGTCAATTCTGCCTTAAACGAGTACCTGGTGTGATGTGTGAACATCGCCACTGGGGAGACAAAGGCGGCCGGGCGTGGTGTTGTAGCCGAGAGGTTGAGATACTTGGAACCGCAAAGTATTCGGGGGTTGTTACTTCTTTTTTTACAATTAAAATATATTGTTTTATGAGTAGCGCAGCTTGAACTATTCAAACTTCAAACAAACAAATGTAGGTGGTACGGTTAACCAGGGCTGGGAATTGAAGCCGATACCTTCACGATAACCCCGTGCCTTCTCTCCTTCCACTACAGCATCTCCCGCACATTGAGCTTTGTGCTGGACAGCCTCTGGACAGCCTCTGGACGACAGCTCTCTGGACAGCCTCTGGACAGCCTCTGGACGACAGCTCTCTGGACAGCCTGTGGACGACAGCTCTCTGGACAGCTTTCCCACCGAGCAGGGCGCGTATCCCGCAACCCGCTGTGAGACCGCGACGTCAGCCACTCCGTGCTTGGAACGGAGCACCGGCCCCGCGTATTGCCGATTGCAGTTTGCCCGAGGACTTGGAGGAAATGGATTTTCAGAGGTAAAGGTCACACACCCGGCAGTGACGCGGCGTGAGCGCGAGGAACGAGTCCGTGTGTACGTATGCATGTACGTAGCCAAACCGTGGTCATCGGAGGTGGGGGGGGGACAAAAAACTAAACACAACAAGTGTAACCTTGCCGCGTGATGCCAGTAGCAGCAGTACGTTCAGCGGGGGCGCCGCGGTGGCGAGATGTTAACTTCCTCGCCTGGTATGCAGGAGGTCATGGGTTCAAGCCTGACCCTGACGATGCCTGCTGCTGTATATTCTTAGTTTGCGTGTTCTCCCCGTGGTCGGGTGGATTTTTCTCTGGGCCCTCCAGTTTTTCCCTCGACATATAGAATCAACGTCACGCGTTTTAGAGTATTTGGCTAATGCTATAAATTTCCACATGACGATAAGCCACTTTGTCGAGCTATCATTTGTCGCCAGGTCACTTCTAAAAAAAGATCTATATAGCTCAGTGGGCGTTGCCTTTTTAAAGTACAAAACAATTAAAATATCTGGCTTCCGGTTGCGGAAAATTACCTCTTGGCGGTGAAATTATTTGAACATTCGTGCTGCTCTGTGGGCCTCTCAGATGGAAGGTCCCTTCGTTGTCTTTGCAGGAATCTGAAACAACAGAAGACGATGGAAGTGATGAACGACGACAGGCGGCGCTTTGTCAGGTCTGCGGGCAAGTTCATCATGGTGGTCTACACCTATGGCCGGCAAGAAGTTCAGAAGGGGAGGCTGAACAAACAAGACTTCCGTTCGTATCTCAATGAGGTGAGTAACATAGAGGAATAGGGGCGGCACGGTGGAGAGATGTTATCTCCCTCGCCTGGTATGCAGGAGGTTGTGGGTTCAACCCTAATGATGCCTTTTGTATATTTGGAGTTTGCGTGTCTCTCTCCCCCTGTTCGCGTGGATTTTTCTCTGGGCTATCCTTTTTTTTCCTCCACACTGAGAATCAACCTGCGTTTAAAGATTATTTGGCTGATTAAAATTTATCACACGATGATAAGCCACTTCCTTAAGCTGTCAATCGTGGCCAGGTCGCTTCTGAAAAATAACGAATAGTTCGGTGGACTTTACCTGTAAAATAAAAATAGTAAGTAAAAAAAAGTGTGTTTTAAGAGGTTATTAACCTTTATCCAATAAGAAACCAGCAGTGATGTCACAGCATAGGGCAGTGCATTGGCTATGTCCCTCCTGCCGGGGACTCAGTTCTCCCATTGCCTACGTGCAGTTCCACAAACCCCAAACGTAGATTATTTTTGAGGGGTTTACTCCGTCAAAGCAATTATAGATAGTAGAGTGTGAAGTGCATAACTGTGTGCCGTGCGTGTGTGTATCAGATTGTTCACTGCATCTTCTTCCTGGGACAACTGCAGCAGCCGAGCGTGGACCCAGAGCGCATGTTCCCCAACCAGCGGGCTCTGTCCGCGATGCGCTCACTCACGGCCTTCACCATGTTCCGCTCGCGCACTCCCAAGAGGATGCCGGGCTCCGTGCTCCTCCAGATGGTGAGAAACGGTCCCCTCTGGGAAAAGGAGTTGTCGCTATTACAGCAAGAGACACACCTAGTGTCCCCTACACTTGGTGGGGTCCAGATGTTATCTCCCTCACCTGGTTTGCAGGAGGTCGTGGATTCGATCCCGACCCTGACGCCTGCTGCTATATATTTGGAATTTGCATGTCTCTCCCCCCGTGATCGCGTGGATTTTTCTCCAAGCCCTCTGGTTTTTCCTCCACATTTAGAAACAACCTAAGCCACTTCCTTGAGCTATCATTTCATTTGTGGTCAGGTCGCTTCTGAAAAAGAGTTAAATATCTCAGTGGGCTTTGCCTGGTAAAATAAACGATTGGCACATAAAGCCACAAGGCAGGATGTTAAGCTGATTGTATTAAGAACCCTTCACGGCATTGATTAGATGATCTTTGAAGGATATCTGGCTGATATGACCCAAAACAGTTTTGATATTAGCCAAAGTCATTTCCTAGGGGTCACCTGTGATTATTTCACCCAAATACTGAATTTTGTGTTGCGGAGCTGAAGCTGCCCTATCTGGGCCTAGCGACGCCGAGTAACGCAGCGTGGCTCCTGTGCCCTGCCAGGTGGAGCAAATCGAGGGCTCCCACAGCAAGCAGGAGATCCTCAAGACACTGGCCTTGCTTGCCACCAACATGCTGGTCAATGATGCGGGCGGCGGTGGCGGTGAAGATGACAGTGATGGTGGCGATGACGGCAGCGGCGGTGTCGCTGTCCTCAACGTCTTGAGGGCGCCTCTATAGGGAACCTTCGGCACAATGCCGCTCGCGCCACGCGGGTGCTGGGCCGCCTCTTCCACCTGAACCCCCTCGTGGTCAGCGCCATGTACGGCACCCGGGGGGAGTCGTGTTTCCTGGTGTTCCACCGGGGTATCCGCTGCACGTGCTACACCTATCACGTGGAAGGCGGCTGCGTGCACTTCCGCCCAGATGCTACGATGGCTGCTGCACGTTATTGGACGGGGTTCACGCGCGGCGCGTTGTCGTGCGGGTGGCCAGTGCCGGGCATGACAAGAGATGATTGGGCGGCTTGCGAGGCGTTAAGTAAGCTGCTGGCGCTGCCCGACTGCCAAATCGGCGTGACACGTCTGGGGAAGCCGGCGTCCAGGCAGGGAGAGACGGAGCTATCTCTCAACGCTCTCGTAGGCAATAGTGTCAGTGACAACGAATCTCTGGTGCCCTTCGACCCATCCGCTCCGCTCTAGCCAGCGGTGTCACTCGCAAACGGAATCCGAATCTTTATTTATCCTGGAGAAATCCGATGAGCTTCATTGTCCATTGGATTTCTGAAGGATGAGCTTCATAGCTCGTTGGATTTCTCCGGGAAAAATTAAGATTCTACTTTCACTTAACATTGTTTTTTAAGCTTTGCGTTATATGTCACGTAAATAATTTAATTGTACCTGATATGATATGTGATACTAAAACAATGTTGTTTTATATATAGCGTGATGATGCGGATGATATTTAAAGATATGTCCGTCTATTCATTCTATTCATGCAATCGCAGACAGGCCATGAGGCAGCCAGCCATAAGTCTGCGCTGTCTACTGCCCAAGCTCTGCGGTTCTTAGTAAACATATTCAGATGTTTTCAGCCACTTGATGTTATACATTATGTATAAACACAAGGCCTGAATGCACACGTTGGATATGTAAGGTGCTGGTTGTGTCAATGCATTTTATATGTTTTAATGCATTTTGACCGTCAGTGCTCATCTTTCGATTTAAAGCTTTCGTGACTGCAAGGATTCATCTTCTTTGGTTCTTTCGGTAAAGTCACGTAGAATGAGAATAAAATAATAAATTGATAAAATAAACTAACAATAAAATGCTCACGACGTTTCGGCCACAACACAAGCGGCCTTCATCAGGTGAAGGGACGAGACTGTCTGGAGGACAGCGCTGGAGCGAACAAAGCCAAGCTCAGACCGCGACCTTTAAGCTGTGTGAGGAGAAACAGTGCCTTGACAAAGGAATTAGCATAGAATTTAGCATTGAAATAGCTGAGTGATTAGCTTGTGACTGGTCAAAGAAATGGCTATGTTAAAGTCAAAGCATACACATCCACAGAGGCACCCCTTGACAAAGGAATTAGCATAGAATTTAGCATTGAAATAGCTTGTGACTGGTCACAGAAATGGCTATGTTAAAGTCAAAGCATACACATTCACCGAGGCACCTAGTACAAATCAAACAGGAGAATTCAACATTGAAATAACTGAGGGATTAGCTTGTGACTGGTTATAGAAATAGTTATGTTAAAGTCAAAGCCTACACATCTACAGAGGCACCTAGTACAAATCAAACAGGATAATTTAGCATTGAAATAACTGAGTGATTAGCTTGTGACTGGTCACAGAAATGGCTATGTTAGAGTCAAAGCCTACACATCTGAGCTATTAACAGTAACTGGGTATACACTACACTATATAATGAATACTATAGAGTAAACCAATAAAAAACTAAAATATAAATTACCTCAATGTTATCAATAAACTCTATATATTCTCCAATCAGCTAAGCTACCAACAATAAGTCGTTATATATCACAATGCTATATGGCGAAAAAATGGGTGGATTCTTACCCTCAACTTTAGCACCACGGATAGCTACGAGCCCCGTTAGCTATTTCTTTGACCAGTCACAAGCTAATCACTCAGCTATTTCAATGCTAAATTCTATGCTAATTCCTTTGTTAAGGGGTGCCTCTGTGGATGTGTATGCTTTGACTCTAACATAGCCATTTCTGTGACCAGTCACAAGCTAATCACTCAGCTATTTCAATGCTAAATTCTATGCTAATTCCTTTGTCAAGGCGCTCTGTTTCTTCTCACACAGCTTAAAGGTCGCGGTCTGAGCTTGGCTGTGTTCGCTCCAGCGCTGTCCTCCAGACAGTCTCGTCCCTTCACCTGATGAAGGCCGCTTGTGTTGTGGCCGAACCGTCGTGAGAATTTTATTGTGTTATTTTATTTTATCAATTTATTATTTTATTCTCATTCTACGTGACTTTACCAAAAGAACCAAAGAAGACACATTTTTTTGTTATGGATATTGGTCGCGAAAAGCGACGTGTCAAATATTAAAATATTGCTCGGTGGGTGGTTCGTGCTTAAGTTTCAAATGCCGCGTTTATATTATTTTTATTTGTAAGGTTGTAGCTATTAAAGGTTCTCCCCCCCCCCCCCCCCCTGTCTCCCCCCAGTATGTGAGTTACCGCTCCCCGTCGCCCTTCATACCTTCCCATAGAACCACCCCCCATCAGCGACCCATCGTTCACCGGACTCGCGTTGCAATAAAAATACGGGAACAAATGTTCGTGCGATGCATCCTGCGATTGAGTTTGTCAACTCTCTTAAACTCTTGCCTCGCGAAGTGTTCACGCCGCTTCTCTCGTCTGTTAATTTTGCAGATCGCCGCGTTCACGCGTGGCGTTCACACGCTTTTTCGCTTAACGCCTTTTTCGTTATTTTATGGTACGCGCAGTGTGCCCACGTGACACTATACTCGCGTTATAGCGAGTGAGCACTACTCGCTATAACGCGAGTATAGTAGCGCTACTATACTCGCGAGTATAAGAGTGCTACTAAAGTATAGGAGTGCTACTATAGCGCTATTATCCACGCGTTATAGCGAGTACAGCAGCGCGTGACGGACTACTTGCTGAGCGGCGTGTTTGGTGATGCTGGGAGCTGGTACTGTTGTAGTGGTACCGAGTCACGTAGGTCTTTTTCAGAAACCGGCCTGGCCACAAATGATAGCTCAACGAAATGGCTTACCATCATGTGGAAATGTATTGCGGCCAAATACTTCATAAAACGCATGTTTATAAATTCCGAGGGTAGAACCGGAGGACCAAGAGAAAGATCCGCGTGACAACGGGGAAAGAGGCACGCAAACGTCAAATAAACAGCGGCAGGCGTCGTCAGGGTCGGGATCGAACTAGAGGCCGACCGTAAACTGAATTTCTGGTTTCGGCCGAAAACGAAACTAGGCCGAAAGTTATATAAAAAAATCACTTTCTGCCGAAACCGAAACTATGCCGAAAGAGGACATTTGGTCAACTTTCGGCACCGAAGCCGCGCGCCTGCACACCGGGCGAGGTCGTCAACATCTCGCCCGGGCTCTGCCGCCACGGCTACTGCACGGGGCGATGGCCCAGCGTGAAGCGTCACAGCCGGAGTGGCCATCTGACGTGCACCCGGCGGACGGGGCGATGTGGAGTGTTATCGATGGCAGGGGAGCGAGGGGCGAGACACTTTGACGATCGCTTGCTGAGGATGAAGATCGCGCGCGCCGGCGTCAGCGATGACGCGCCTGGTCCAAATATGTATCCCACAATTCCGCGCGGCGGGAAAGTGAAACAACATCGCGCGTTCGTTTTAAAGTCCCGCAGGCAAATCTTAGTCCGCTGAGACGAGGTAGAAAAAAAAATTTAGCCGAACGCCGAAATAAAAACGGAGCGTTATGGGTGTGGCTTTATTTGAGAATGAATCGCAGTTTTCGCGACCGGCGGTCCCATAGCGTAGAGCGCTATCGGCCGCGACTATAAGGGAATGAAGCTGCATGCTCAACTCATACGTACCTGGCAGGGGAGGTACCATGATCAAGTAGGTGGTTCTCCCAGGGCGAGGCTCATCCCATTGCACTGCGGGAGGGTTGACCCCTGCGATTTTCTCAAATGGGGGAAATTCAACTGTACAATTTCTGGTAGTGGGGGACTGCGGACTCGCTATCCCCCTCCCGTCTGTGAACGAACGACAGCTTTGTTTTATTAAAGCTACCCAAACAAAAACAAGTTCAGGATATAAAAAAACAACGTGTTAGTGTTGCCGTGTGTCAAAGAATTTAACAAAGCTGTTCGCGAGCATATTCTTAGCTCTTTCGGTAAGAATATGAATTACTGCAGCCACGAATGCTTTAAATCAAAATTTGTTCGCGAGCACTTATGAAAGGTAACTGTGGAACACGAAGAGGGGGGGGGGGGAAGTGGGCTAACACCACGCCCGGCCGCCTTTGTCTCCCCCAGTGCCAATGGCTGACACGGCACCACGAGATAATTTTAGGCCGAGTCTACTTAGAGGAGGCCCACGACCGGTTCGGATAATCGTCGCTTTGGTGTTGGTGGCCGTGAGCGGGGAATCCAACTCGGATTTGTGAACGCAGGGCCGCTAACCATTCCCCTACGAACCTCTATCCCAGGTCACACAAACGCATTGATATTTGACTCGTTCTAACCCCACCGTTTCCAATGACCATCAATGAGCTGTAATTAATCCCTCTCCAAACGTGTTCATCTCTTCAAGACGACTTTCATTTGCAGAATTGTTTTGTGTTTAATTTATATATTTACAAATTTAACTTTCACTATCGGAACTGCACTGTTGCTGCTTTTAAATGTAAACACACTTCAATTGTATAGAACACCATTATCGTAATTTGTTGTTTTTATACCTAAATTATGTAATTGACGCACGGCATCATGGGAGTCGCCTTTAGCTCCACCCTCCAATGACGCCATCGATCGAGCACTCGCAGCGTAGAGTGAAATAAATAAATAAAATTGATAAATGTTGCGCAATTAATTACGAAAAAGTGAAGTTTATAAAGCATAGAGTTCCACGTTCTACAGAGCTTATAATAACCCCAATATAAGCATATCCATGACGTTCCAATGGCCTCGTCGTTCAGATACTTTAGCGGGAGAAACCGTGTGACGTCACTACTCCCTAATAGTTGAGTGGTGAGCGGTTGGGACTGCGAGACATGGGGCCTAGGGTTCAAAACCCGCGTCATTTCTATGCAACATATTAATTTATTTCTTTATTTAAAGCTTTCGTGACTGCAGTAATTCATAGAGCTCCTTAGGTAAAGTCACGTTGAAGGGAAAAATAAAATATATAAACCAATAAAAATTCTCACGACGTTTCGACCATAACACAAACGGCCGTCATCAGGTGTGTCGAAAGAGCTAAGGTGTGACACACCTGATGACGACCGTTTGTGTTATGGTCGAAACGTCGTGAGAATTTTTATTGTTTTATATATATTTTACTATTTTGTTTCCCTTCAACGTGACTTTACCGAAAGAGCTAAGAATATATTAATTTATATTCATTTAACACTTTAAGCAATCACTGATGAGATTAATAGCACCTAGAAACCGGTATTACGGATAATAATCTCAGCTCGAGGTGGTGGAGACTATTAACATACAATACACAGCTCGATGAAACTATTTAAAACTTTCAAATTACAAACGTTTGAAGTGTAATTAATGTTTTTTAAAGTATATATTTACGTTTGTTTTAAAGTATTATTTTGGAATGCTTTGATATCTGCCGAACGAGTCGCCATCGCCAAATTAAATTATTTCCGAGCCCATTGGGCTTTTGATAGAAAATACTGCCTTGTGATTCTGAGTCTCTGGTCTACAACACCAATGGGAGATTAGCAAACCAGTTGTGCAACCAATCCCAACACGTATGACAAATCAATAATGATCAATAACGATCATGCCGCACGTCCCCGCTCTGAGGCCATCAGGAGCCGATATAAATTCTGAATCAAAAACCCCAGACCTGGAGTCAACCCGCGTTCTCTGGCCTCCATCGCTGCGAGGCCAGAGAGTGCAGGGTGGATGCTCAGTCACAGGTAACACAATAAGATCGTAAAATGGATTTTATTATCTTGACTCATGTTATTATCATCATTAGACCTCCTTTGCCAGTACCAAAATATACATAAGTGTTTCCCCCCTTTTTTCTGGCAACAAAACTGAAACCTTTTAACAAGGAATCATGTCTGCATTGACCACAATACCTGCAGTCAAAAATGCAAACAAAAAACATACTATGATAATATATGCATTGTCCTTGAAACTGATTGGTCCACACCAAGGGACGGCTTTCTTTTGAGCCTCGACCTAATTAGTGCTCGACCAAATGTTTGCATTTTGACTGCAGGTATTGTGGTTAATGCAGTAACATGAATCCTTGTAAAAAGGTTTCAGTTTTGTTGCCAGAAAAAAGGGGAAAAACCTTATTATTACATTTTGGTACTGGCAAAAGAGGTCTAATGATGTAGATGCTCACCCCGTGCCCTCATTACTTTGATAGTGCATTGTCCTTGAGCTGTGTGACGCCTTTTGGCGTCATCTGGTCGAGCACCAATTGGGTCGAGGCTCAAAAGAAAGCCGTCCCTTGGTGTGGACCAACCAGTCTCAAGGACAATGCATATATTATCATAGTATGTTTTTTGTTGCATTTTGACTGCAGGTATTGTGGTTAATGCAGACATGATTCCTTGTAAAAAGGTTTCAGTTTTGTTGCCAGAAAAAAGGGGGAAAACCCTATTATTATATTATTATCTTACAATCAATACATTTGGAAACCGGGAAAGGAAAGTGTGTCGCGTATTTTAAAATCGGGGCTAAAGATGTTTTTTTATAATAAAAATTTAATCTGTGTATACCGTTCTTATTGTCTTGGAGTAACTTAAAATGTAATTGTCACGTTTTTACTTGCGCAGCAACTCTGCGACCATTTTATCGTCGAAGGTCGCGCTATGTTTAGGTGAAGGTTTGACTTCATTTCACCTGAACGGGCTGCCAACACGTGGCACCATCAATGGCCGTGTCCTGAAGCGGGAAACCCGAGTTCGAACCCCAGCGGCCACGATCTGAGATGCTGCTGCTGAGTTCGAATTTGCTTTAAATGAGTACCCGTGCGATCATTAGACCTCCTTTTGCCAGTACCGGCTTTCTTTTGAGCCTCGACCCAATTGGTGCTCGATTAATTGGGTCGAGGCTCAAAAAGAAAGCTGTCCCTTGGTGTGGACCAATCAGTTTCAAGGACAATGCATATATTATCATAGTATGTTTTTGTTTGCATTTTGACTGCAGGTATTGTGATTAATGCAAACATGACTCCTTGTAAAAAGGTTTCAGTTTTGTTGCTAGAAAAAAAGGGGAAAACCCTATTATTACCCGTGCGATGTTTAGACTTCAGCGTTGCGGAGACAAAGGCGGCCGGGCGTGGTGCTGGCCACACATTCCCCCCCCCTCCCCCGTCTTCACATGCTGCCGACCTTAATAGGCGCTCGCTAACAGCACTTGCCCCCGACAGTCTGTAAAAAAGAGCTATACGGGGGGGGGGTCTTTGTAGCACTGACGAGCCGAGATTTTCTTTGCGTAGAATTCCGCTCTCCACGAACCCTCTGATCGGGAACCACGCGTAGCGTCACTTTCAATCGATTATCGTGATCTGTGACGTCAACACGCACACCTGCGTGCGGACGTCACGTGATTCTCAGCATTGAGTAGGGTGCGTGCCGACGTCACGCAAATGCGTCACGATGTTTCACGATGCTCCGGGCATTCCTCGACTTGACGATTCTTAAAAAGGAAATTCGTAAATCGGAACGGCTTTAACCATGTAACTTTAAAAGAGAATCGGGGGTGTATTTCGGACGGCCATCTCTACTCCTACCAATATACACCTGTGTTTTTACAATACAAAAATATGAACATTAACACGATTTGAAGCTTTCGTGACTGCAGGAATTACTCGTTGGTTCTTTCGGTTAAGTCTCGTAGAAACAGAATAATAGAGTATGACGTTTTGATTGCAACACAAGCAACCGTCATCAGGTAGAACAATTTGAGAGAGACAAAACACAGACACGGAGACACAAGCAGAGAGAAACAGACAGACACACAACAGACACACAGACCCACAATGCCTCTGTGTCGAGGCCTTAAATAGAGAGGTTTGGTGGGCAGAGAGAGAGGTGGGTCTACTGGGGCAGCTGCTGGAGCAGAGAAATTAGCATGGCAATGAATCCGCCCCAAAGCGACCGAGGGAAAGAAGATCGAATGGCCCTATGAGAGACTGGTAAATTTTAGAGAGAAATAGTTTGAGAAAACAAAATTGAGCAAATATTTTGGAAATGTAATGCAACACATTCAGCTACCACACAGTTAACGCACAGCCTGGTTGATTATGATCTCCAAAGATTGCTAAAATTAAAAGTGTGAAATTTCACAGATTTTCTAAACAAAACATTTGCTAAATTTTGTTTTCTCAAACTATTTCTCTCTAAAATTTACCAGTCTCTCATAGGGCCATTCGATCTTCTTTCCCTCGGTCGCTTCGGGGCGGATTCATTGCCATGCTAATTTATCTGCTCCAGCAGCTGCCCCAGCAGACCCACCTCTCTCTCTGCCCACCCCCCCCTCTCTATTTAAGGCCTCGACACAGAGGCATTGTGGGTCTGTGTGTCTATGCTGTGTGTCTCCGTGTCTGTGTTTTGTCTCTCTCTCAAATTGTTCTACCTGATGACAGTTACTTGTGTTGCAATCAAAACGTGGTACTCTATTATTTAATTAATTTTCTTTCTACGTGACTTCACCGAAAGAACCAAAGAGTAACATTAACACGATTTAACAATTTGATAAAACTAACGCTAATCTTTTAGGGGAACATGCTAAAAGATTTGCTGCGCCTTGGATTGAGTGGAGAGGCGATGTGGAGGTGCTGCTGCTGCAGGGACGCCGTGACGCTGTCGCGGGTGGAAGATGACGTGGCCTCCCACGTGATTTGTCTCACGGCGTGTGGCCGCAGTGAAATTTAGTTGACATTCGATTAAGTTCATCGAAAAGTGTCCCGTAATTTGTTAGTTGCGTTTTACGTGAAATTTCGTAAACCGAACGTTTTTGCAAGGAGGGGATTAATCTGTATTAATCCGGATTAATCTGTATTAATCCGGATTAATCTGTATATGTCCAACACAAGTTTTCCTGGCTGGCTATTGGGACCGACAGTCGCGTCCAAAGGAATGTGTGGACTGCTCGTTCATGTCAAAGTTGGGGAACAAATTTTTGTTTTAAAGGATCTATTTGAGTGGGTTGCTGCCCCGATGCCCCATGCAGAGCAGCCACACCGTTACTGGGTTCACACAACACTGCATCAACTGCTGCCCCCCCAGGCAGTGTTTATAAATGGCAAACACGCTGGCAACGATTTTCAAATTGAGTCCTGAACAATACTTTTATTGAAAAAAACCCATCCTTTACAGTTACACATTTGTTTGCCACCAGTCTGGGGGTTGGCATCTTGTTTCTCAGGTGGCAGGAATTGATTTGTGCATAGATCTGCTACAAATATTGTATTGAATTATATTTCACTGCAGTTTTTATAAGACTTAGGCTGACTTACAAACAATCTTCAACGTGTGAATGCAGCAACTAGACGCCATGTTCGGTTTGCTACTAAATGGAGCATGGTGAGGTCGGGATGTTAACGCCCTCGCCTGGCATGCTGGAGGTCGTGGGTTCCATCCCAACCCTGACGCCTGCTGCTGTATATTCGGAGTTGGCATGTCTCTCTCCCCGTGGTCGCTTGCATTTTTCTTCAGGTCCTCCAGTTTGTTTCCTCCATTTTGAGAATCCACATGAATGTTCACTATTTGGCTGCTATATACGTCCATGTGATAAGCTGCCACTTACTTGAGCTATGATTGGTGGCCAGGTCGCTTTTGAAAAAAAGCTACATAGCTCGGTGGGCCTTGCCTGGTAAAATAAAAAGGCTTTAGTTCTTTTAGCGTTCCAGGAAGTGACCACAACAATCGCTGGAAAGCCTGGATCGTTGTGCGTTTGTCACCTCCTATGCAGATCTCTTCGCCCGACATGCGTCAGCTAGGGCCATGATGTGAGCAAAGGTCCGTCGCCACCTTTTTAGCGAGCATGACAAGGTACACCACAAATGGGGGTGCCGGTTTTGTGTCACGGACGAAGTCCTAAATCATGAGATCACTCAAGAGTTCATTCTCGTCCAAGTCCTCTTCTGCCACTTCTCCATCCGGCTTCTCGGGAGTCTGCTGGGCCAGTGCGAGGACGTAGCGCATGTTGTACATGTTCCAGTCGCACCTGCAAGACAAAGATCCCCCCTTGTAGGCTTAACAGACTTTTGGGGAAAGTGCTGTTAGTGAGCATATAAGCTCAGCACGGCGCACAATGGGGTGGGTTGCCAGCAACATGCCTGGCTGCCTTTGTCTCCCTGGTGGTGATGTTTACACACTGCTGAAGCCCATGATCGGTTCAGATAATCGTCATTGGTGTTGGCTGAGCAGGAATAGAACTCAGGTCGTTGGGTTCATGGTGCAGTGTGCTGCTAACAGCTCCATGACCACTTCCCATAAACACAGACATTTGCACGGAATCCCACCACCTCCCAAGGGTGTGTCGACCAACAAAATCGCCTGTGGGGCAAGTCTGCAGCTTTCTGGAGAGGTTCTTGGTTTAGAAACCGGTGGGCAGCCCTGTACATAATGCATATGCATTATGTAGCCAACCGTGCTAATTGGAGTTGAGGGTTAAAGACGACAAACTAAACGCCAAAAGCAATTCTAAAGAAATGAGGGTTAAATCTACATTTTACAATTGCATGGTTCCAATGGCTTCCTAATTTTGGAAGAAATAATTTTCCAGATGGCCACAGAAGTGCATCTGAAAGCACGCAATGCGGTGACGACCGCAGTTAGTGCGCTGGTTTATGCTCCTCGAAGAGTAGTGTAAAGTATTGCTGTTCATTTGTGGTAAACACTTTGTGTGTGTAATGTACGTGACTAAGATTTTACGACTGCAGGTGTATTAACCATGAAATGCAGGACAAGGTGTCTCATTCACGGTGGACCATTTAAAGATCCCATCATGTCACTTGATAGCAGTAGGCCAGGGGTGGTAGGAATCGTGCGTTTGGGCCGTGTGTGTCCAGGCGCTGTGAGGGAATCTCACAGCTTGGCGACTTCGTCATGGCGCTTCTGGGTGCTGCGCTGGAGGTTCCGGATCAGCGGCAGGATGGACGCGGAGCTGCCAGCGGAGGGAACAAGACGCCACGGCAATGTGCCATTGAGTGAGGGCATCCAGATGGTACCAGAGCAGCCATCCACATTGTGAGCGGGCATCTGCGTTGCAAGGTGACTAGCTACCCTGCATTGCTTCTAAGTAATAATCGCAAGCATACAAGAGGCACACTCTTCAAAGCAATGGTGAGGGACTTTGGCTGAAAGCAGATACTCTAGAAAATGGATACAATGGTAAGGTTGATTTAATAACGCTGATACATCTCCACATTGCTCGTTTACCGAGGAGAGGCCTCGCCAGAGGCTCCATTTGAGGAGGCTCCTGCCCAGTGGTTCCCAGTAGGGGGGGTGCAATGTTGTTCCTGCTGTGTGGCATCCCAAAAGATTATGGAGGTAATGTTTCAGCATTGGCATGTTTGGGTCAATACCCAGTTGCATCCCATGTGTTCTTAGCTGCAGAACAAAAACATTCTGAAAGTGGGGAAGACCAATTCAACACTTGATACCACAGGATGTCAGACCTAACCTGAGGAGCTCATCATTGTTTTTGTTGAATGTTCCATGGTACAAACCAACAAGTTTTAGTAAATAGGCATTCTCAATGGCCGCCCCTCGTCTCTGGAATATCACCACAAATTGATTTACAGTCACCACCTTCACTCAAGCATCTGACATCACTTCAAGTGCATTCCTGACAATCTGCCACTGCTGAAGCAAGTAGATGATCTACTAATCGTTTATTATTGTTCGGTATAGGAGTCCTGTTCTGTTGTAATGTGTGCAATGTCATGGTGATTGTTATGGTTACTTGTGTTACTTCCAATTTGTTTTCACAGGAAAACTATTTTACCCAAGGCATTTCTATTCCTTGTTTTAGAATATTGTATCGAATTTTATTCTTCTCTAAATGCACTATTTTGTAATATGTTTCTGTAATCTTAATGTTTACTTTAGTTAACTAATTCATTAAGTAATATAGTGTAAATTTTTTAAATTTGACTTTCATTGCTGTATTTATTGTATTTATAATTTTTTGTGCGACCGGTAGCAAACGCTGTTTATTTTGTTGTCAAAACCAGATTCAAGAGCTTCTTAGCTCACAGGACAATTCTAAAGAAACTGTTTAACACTGCTGGCTCATCCGTTCATACACTAGAGACGAGCGGGAGCAGGAATCCACAAACTCCACAAAAGTGATTGCTGCCACCCTGGGGCCTGCCATGGAGGGGTGTCCTCTCACCGAGCCTTGAGTGAAGGCCCGTGCAGCAGCAGCAGCTGGTGTGCCCACAGGAGGTAGAAGTGGAGGTGGCAAGAGGACTCCAGCATAGCAGCAACAAAATCCAAGGTCTTGAGCACGTAGACTTCTGCTAGGGACCTGCTTACAATCTCGACTGGAGAGAAATGGGAGAGCGTGCAGGCATGGTGTTACAATGCACAAAAACCTGGTGGTCTAGCATCAGACTGCTGGAACTCCACTAGCCAGCTGGGAGTGCAGGGACCCTGCACACTCCAGGGGAGCGCGGGGGACCCGGCCGCTCCCGCCGCGGGTGAGCGTGGGGACCCATCATGCTGTGGGTGCGAGGAGCGGTCACTCACTGTGCGAGTGGGGGATGCTCTCCAGCACCTCCTGGATGACCTGCTTCTCATTGAGGCGGAAGCTGAGGATGAGCGCGGTGGAGAAGCTCCCGGCAGAGAGCGCCTTGCGGACGGACTGCGGCGTCACGTCCACGTCCAGGTCGAAGGGGTCAAACACGAGCCCCCTGTCGAGGGAGTAGACCAGCAGCCCCTCTGTCGTCGTGGCAGCCCATCCCTGCCCTGAGCAGCCCATGGCAATCACAATGGCACAGCACAACAATGCTCAATCTAAATTGGAAACTCATTTTTCAAACTGCTTTTATGGTTTATGAGTTAGTTGTCCTTCCACCGCACCTCCGATTTTAGTAAGTAGGCAGTGAAAGTCCTAGACACCCAGAACATGCAAGCATTGCTTGTTGCCAGGTTATCTCAACTCTTTAGGTCATCAAGTGCATTGCAGGAGGCTGGCTGCCAGGAGCTCGTGAGACAGGACCCAGTGTTGTAGGCGAAGTGGCTGAGAATATTCTTTAGTGGGTACAATTGCACACATTTATGGAATTGCAGAGTAGTAAAGTTTTTGTCCAATTATATTCCATAAGTACCATCAGTCAACATACCAAGAACGCTGCGCTGAACAGATTGCCCACAAGGCTGGCTGTGCCACCACCTTTACAGCACAATGGGTACAAATGCATTATAATTGCGATTACATGGGATGGCCAGTTTACGTCTGAAGACTTTTGTTGGGAGTCCCACGTTTGGAATGCTTGGCCAGCATCAAAGTAGGCACCATGTGTTTGTGTGGTTTCAAAAAGAGGGAAAAGTTGTGTTGGACCTGTGGGGGCGAACTGCAGGGATGTCACGCGCACCTCCGGCTTGAAGTTCCGGCTGCTCATGTCTCCTGGGGGTACGAGGGACAAAGAGGACGCGTCAAAAGGCACGACACGCACATAGCCAGGGCCGTCCAAGACTATAACTGTGGACGTGCCCATGCCCCACTAACACCAGCGTCGGGGTCACTCGGTGCTCTGCTACACGCACGGCTGAGTTTCCAGTCGGCTCGACTGGCATGCTGGCATCACGACCATGCTTTTAAGGGTCAACGTGAGGTCATCACCAAAATACGCACACGTAGATGTATCAGCTTGTTCACGGTTCACAACTCGGAATTGGGAATTCTGATATTGGAGGAACCTGACGGGCTATGAAGCTCTTTCACAGGAACTTTTTTTTTGTGGTTGGCCCACGTTAACGAGATGTGAAAAAGAGCTTCACAGCTCATCGGGCTCCCCCAATATAAATAAATATTCCGATCCTGTTTAGAATTTGGTCAAAAATTGTGTGGCGTAACCCTCCACCACCATACGAATTAAACCATGACGCGGCTATGCTGGGCCGCGTTGTACGGTGCAGCAAAACGGCACAAGCTTGCACCTTGAAACCACGCATCTCGACGTTAGCATAACAAAGAAAACGGGTAAAAGCAAAACCGGAAGTTCTAGAAACGTTGTGAACAGGACGCCTACTGGAGGACCGCTCAAAACACGCGGACTCGCAGGAGGGAGGAGGAGGAGGTGCATTGTTAAAGTTACCTCGTCGAACGCCGGGAAGGCTGATGGCTGTTCCCTCCTCATCCCCCACGCCCTCATCGATCAGCGCCAGGCTTCCAAACTCCGTCATCTTTCGTCGGTCCAGGAATTGCTGTACACCAACACACAAGTCGTTACATCAGGATGCCCAGTCACATTGATAACATCCCTCATTGGTGCTCTGCCATTGATTTTATTTCCCATTCAAACAAAACTTTTTTTTTGACCAGCTAACGCCCAACTGAGCTATGTAGCTCAACCAAGTGGCTGATCATCGTGTGGAAATTTCTAGCAGCCAAATACTCAACATAAGTCGATTATAAATGTAGACGTAAAGATCCACGCAACCACAGGGAGAACATGCACTACAAATATACAGGCGTGAGGGGGCTCAAACCCACGACCTGCATACCAGGTGAGGGAGTTAACATTTCTCCACCATGCAGAACAGGTGCAAAACGTACAAACTCCATCCACCCAAAAAGGCACCGTGATTAGGGGATCGAACCCAGGGCTTTCTTGCTGCAAGGCAGCATGAGCATTACCACTGCAACGCCAACACGACACCATAAAGCGCGTGTGCAACCGGGAGCATGCGACGATGGCTCTCACCTCCATGGCATCCAGGGAGTGGTTGCAGGAGATCTCAAACTTCTTGATGAGGATTTGTTCCTGGATGTTGTAGATGCAGACAAACTTGGAGCGTCCTCCAGCCAGGATGCTCTCCCCGTCGGCCGAGTAGCACAGCGTGGTGAAAGACCTGGAGTGAAAGAAACGCCGCACTGAGGTGGGACGTACCTGCAACGGTGGGCGTAGCTGGAGCTGTGGCAGCGTCCCCTGGCCCTTAACCCGCGTCATTGACACGTTACAAAGGGGCAACCCCCCCCCCCCGGTGGCAGCCGTCCCTGTGTGGCTGGTGTATCGGCGCCTGGCCTGCTCAAGTCTGCTGAAGCGATGTTAACTACTTTGCCTGGTATACAGGAGGTAGTGGGTTCGATCCCCATCCCGACGCCTCTATATTTGGAGTTTGCATGTTCTCTCCGTGGTCGCGTGGATTTTTCTCCAGGTACTCCGGTTTCTCCCTCCACATTTAGAATCGGCGTCCGTCTAGAGTATTTGCCTGCTATACATTTCCACGCGACGACAAGCCATTTCGTTGAGCTCTCATTTGTGATGGCTGGGTCGCTTCTGAAAAAGAGCTACACAGTAGCTCAGGTGGGCCTGCCTTACCTGGTAAAAGAACGTAATAAAAAAAACAAGTTTTATTTGCAACTCACTTCCCCTTGGCGGTGTGCTTAGCGGTGACGAGGTCGAGGTCCCGCCGCCCCATGGCCAGGTCGTGGCGCCCCTCGATGGAGCCGGTCTGCGTGGCCTGGTGCGGGTCCCAAAACGAGATGTGGCCGTCCAGCGTGGCGACGGCGATCTGCTTGCCGTCTGGCCGGAACACCACGGCCAGGGCTGCGGTGGCAGGCACAGCAGCACGCAGCTAAACGTCAAGCGCCTGCCGGCTGCCACTGACACACCTCCAATTAGCACGGTTGGCTACGTACGGTGTGAAAGATGTTCGACATACACACGTACACGCAGCAGCAGCAAGACCACCAGCCACAGGGTCGAGCCGGAAAAATCGTGGCCTTTTCGTCAGTGGCTAGGAGATGTTATCTCCCTCGCCTGGTACACAGGCGGTCGTGGATTTGATCCTGACCATGACCATGCGAGGAGCGGTGAGCGGGGGCATTGAGGGCAATAGTGAGTGGAGCGGTGAGGGGAGTATTGAGCGGGGCGGTGAGTGGAGCAGTGAGTGAGGGGAAGCGGTGAGGGGAGTTGAGAGGGGAACAGTGAGTGGAAGGTGAACAGGAGCAGCGAGCGGGGGCGGTGAGTGGAGCGTTAAGGCGAGTAGGGGCGGTGAGTGGAGCGTTAAGGCGAGTAGGGGCGGTGAGGTGAGCGGTACCGTCCGAGTTGAGCTGGATGGTCTCCCGGTTGCCCTTGCTCTCGAACACGTCCCAGACGCGCACCGTGCGATCCCACGAGCAGCTCGCCAGCAGGGCCTGCCCGGGGCTGAAGCTGAGGCCACTCACCGGCCCCTCGTGACCAGCCAGCACCTGCGCGCACAAAGACAAAGACCCCCCGTGTAGCCTCGACAGACCGCCGGGGCAAGTGCCGCGCGTTAACGGTGGCTCCTGCGTACCGGGCACCCACGGTGGCAGGGAGTGGTGAGCGGAGACAAACCTCCAGCAGACGTCCGGTCTGCATGGACCACACGTAGACCTCGAAGTGGTCGGAGGAGCCAGCGCACACCACCTCCCCGCTCGAGTCCACCGCCACGCTGCAGAACTGCGCCGGACGCGGTGACGTGAACGTCCGGAAGTTGCGGTACCTGTGGGACGCCGGGTCGGCGAGGTGTTAACTACCTCGCTTGGTATGCAGGAGGTCGTGGGCTCCATCCCAACACTGATGATGCCTGTTGTATATCTGGAGTCTGGTATTCTCTCTCCCTTTCTCTCCCCGTGGTGGTTGTGTGGATTTTTCTCCGGGTCCTCCGGTTTTTCCCCTCCACATTTCGAATTGATGTGCGTTGAGCATATTTGGCTGCTGATAGAAATGTCCACGTTATGATGAACCATTTCGTTGAGCTATCATTTGTGGCCAGGTCTGAAAAAAGAGCTAAACGGCTCAGTGGGTTTTCGCTGGTAAAATACAAATTTAGTTTAGTTTAGGTCTCGCGTCCGGCCATGGGAATGTGGAACTTCCGCCACCTGTGCAGGTCGAAGGCTCGGACGGTGCCATCCAGGGAGGCGGAGAGCACCACGAAGCCGGTGCTGGTGAAGGTGATGCCCGTGATGGAGCTACTGTGGTCGCTGAAGGTGACGAAGCAGAAGCCGCTGCTCGTGTTCCACAGCTTCACCTGCAGCACACAACACCACCGACCACACGCCCTCACGTTATTATCATATTATTATGGGATTTTATAATAATGATCATTATGGTGGCTAGGAGATGTTAACTACTTCACCTGGTATACAGGAGGTCATGGGTTTAATCCTGACGCCTGTTGCATATTTAGAGTTTGCGTTTCTCTCCCCTCCCGCGGACGTGTGGATTTTTCTCCGGGTCTTCTGGTTTTTCCCTCCACATTTAGAATCAACATCACGCGTTCAGAGTATTTGGCTGCTAAAATATTTCACGTGATAGCCACTTCTCGTTGAGCTGTCATTTGTGGCCAAGTCGCTTCTAAAAAGAGCTATGTAGCTCAGTGGGGGCCTTACCTGGTGAAATAAAATCGTAAAATAAAACAAGTTTCAATTATTCTTCTTGTTTGCCAAGGAAAATCTCACTCCGAGTCTCAAGACGTATTTTCAGGAGGGGACCGCCCAACGTTCACAATGGGGGCGATGGTGCCCCTGCTGCTGTGTTGTCTTGCTGTGGTCTGGGATAGCTCTTGCTGTTGTTTTGCTGCCTTGCCCAAGTCTAAATACAGATCCTGATTCTGACTCTATGGCGTCGTCTTTGTTTAGGCTCTCGTGGAAGGAAAATAGATTAGCCAAAATCGCTGATTTCCGTCGTTTTGATATTCGTCGTTGCACCTTTCTCAGGAACGCCCTCCCCCCCTCCACCACCCCTCTCCCCCCAACCACCCTCCTCCCCCACCCTCCGTCACCCCCCCTGAACCTAACCCGGCGCCACTGCGGCAAACCAAGCGGAGCGGAAGTCACCTTGCCGTCATCCCCGCCTGTCGCCATGTGCTGCCCATCGGGCGAGTAGCTCACGCAAGCCATGCTGTTGTAGTGGCCCTGCTGCTTCATGACGTACGACTCGCTCTGCCATTCCCACACCAACAGCTGCCCGTAGCCTGCACAGCAAAACAACGACAAACATCCCCACCAACCCCGTACAGCCTTGAACATGGTGGAGAAACGTACATATGTTGAACCTCTATTCTATTTCGGATTTATATAGTGTGCCCTTTTCAAGGAACTTTACAATACGTAGCCAACTGTGCTAATAATAAAAGGACGACAAACTAAACACAAAAAGCCGTGCTCAAGAAATGTTAACTACCTCGCCTGGTATACAGGAGGTCGTGGGTTTGATCCCGACCTTGACGATGGATTTTTCTCCTGGGTCGTGAATTTTTCTCTGAGCCCTCCGGCTTTTCCCTCCACATTTAGAATAGAGTTCACGCGTTTAGAGTATTTGGCTGCTAAAATGTTCACATGATAAGCAACTTCGTTGAGCTATCATTTGTGGCCAGGTTGCTTCTGAAAAGAGCTGTATAGCTGAGTGGGCCTTACCTGGTAAAATAAAACAATAGTTCAGTTTTAACAGAATTTGGGTGGCAAGTGCTGTTAGCGAGGAACACCTATGAAGGCTGGCACAGTGGCACACAAGGGGGTGGGTGGCCAGCACCATGCAAAATGGTGACACACAAAGTGGAATGACGTAGTAGGCAGCAGGGGCATGCTGCAACAAGGGTTGAGGAACGAGTGACAGCAGCAGAGGGGCACGTGGGGATCACGGGAGGGCGACGGGAGGGACGGGAAGCAGTGGAGGGGTGATGGAGAAGAGGCGAGGCCTTAACAGAGAAACAGGAAGTTAAGGAGGGGGACTGCGTAATGTACTGGGGCAGTGCTGAGTCTATGGGTAGTATTGAGTCTATGAGCAGTGCTGAGTCTATAGTGCAGTACTGAGTCTATGGTGCAGTGCTGAGTCTATGGGTAGTATTGAGTCTATGGGCAGTGTTGAGTCTATGAGCAGTGCTGAGTCTATGTGCAGTACTGAGTCTATGGGCAGTGTTGAGTCTATGAGCAGTGCTGAGTCTATGGGCAGTACTGAGTCTATGTGCAGTACTGAGTCTATGGTGCAGTGTTGAGTCTATGGGCAGTACTGAGTCTATGGGCAGTGCTGAGTCTATGGGTAGCAGTGCTGAGTCTATGGTGCAGTTTTGAGTCTATGGGCAGTGCTGAGTCTATGGTGCAGTGTTGAGTCTGGTGCAGTGCTGAGTCTATGAGCAGTGCTGAGTCTACGGTGCAGTGCTGAGTCTATGAGCAGTACTGAGTCTATGGGCAGTACTGAGTCTATGGGCAGTACTGAGTCTATGGGCAGTGCTGAGTCCATGGGCAGTGCCGAGTCTATGAGTAGCAGTGCTGAGTCTATAGGAAGTGTTGAGTCTATGGGTAGCAGTGCCGAGTCTATGGTGCAGTGTTGAGTCTACGGTGCAGTGCTGAATCTATGGGCAGTACTGAGTCTATGGGCAGTACTGAGTCTATGGTGCAGTACTGAGTCTATGGGTTGCAGTGCTGAGTCTATGGTGCAGTGTTGAGTCTACAGTGCAGTGCTGAGTCTATGGGCAGTACTGAGTCTATGACAGTGCTGAGTCTATGGTGCAGTACTGAGTCTATGGTGCAGTGTTGAGTCTATGGTGCAGTGCTGAGTCTATGGTGCAGTGCTGAGTCTATGGAGCAGTGCTGAGTCTATGGGTAGCAGTGCTGAGTCTGTGGGTAGCAGTGCTGAGTCTGTGGGTAGCAGTGCTGCTCAATGTGCAGAGGAAGTTGATTCCAGTGGAGGGTTGCAAGGAGGGAGAAGGACCGAACAGGGAGGAGGAGGGACGGAGAGAAGATTGGGAACGAAGAGGACGAGAGGAGGAGGAGGAGGGACGGAGAGAAGATTGGGAACGAAGAGGAGAGGAGGAGGTCTACGAAGGCCAAGGACGGCGAACACCAACTCACCTGTGCAGCCAAAAGCGATCCAGTCGCCCGTGTTGTTGATGCAAACCGACGAGATCGATTGGTCCGAAATGCTGCAGGAAAAGGGAGAGAATTTGCTTTGGAAGGGCTCACGCTGCGGCCATCCCAAAAACGTTTCTCAACTCAACACCGATTCATCTGGCATGCACGCAACGCGCGCGATGGTCGCGCGAGCACGCAGCTTCGCTGCGCGCCGGCGTTCGTGGCACAGACAACATTCACCCAACTGGGACGCGAGGGTTGGCGGATCACGGAAATTTGTGAGACTCCCAACCCTGCCGGGGCGGCAAGGGAAACTAAACTCTACACAGTGTAACGGGTAGTAGGAGGCTTTCACGACCAATATCATCAATAAGGTTTTTTTGGGTTAGATCGCGTAAATATGTCGGTAAAACCCGCCACCAGCCAACTAGTAAGGGTTGTCACGTAAAGCGAACGTGCCAATTCGGCACTAGTACAGCACACCGGTGTTGGAGAGCCAAGCCACAACATTTACAACTTTTAATTTTACAGCATCGCCTACCCCTACTGTGAATGTATTTGGCAGGACCCTCCAGAAAGAAAAGTCTTGAGACTATTTTTTTTATTTTCCCAGGTAAGGCCCACTGAGCCGTGTAGCTCTTTTGCAAAAATTACCTGGCCACAAATGTAGAGGGAAAAACCAGAGGACCCGGAGAAAAATCCACCACCAGGTGATCTTAAAAATGTGGAGAGGCCGATGGGTCACCTGAGAGAGTGGATGAGGTTGAAGTCCGGCAGCTCGTGGATGTGGAACACTCCGGAGGCGAAGGCCGAGACAAGGATCTGCGTGGCCTTGTGGTAGTCGGCGGCGGTGAGGTATTTGAAGTCTCCGTCTTTGTTGAAGAAGTGCCTGCAGGGACGAGGAGGAGGTGCCACCACTTCAGCAGTGCTGACGGACACACTCCACTAAAATAACTCAACTACCTCACCTAACTCAACTCGCCTCAACTAAACTAGCCAACTAAACTAACGCAACTAAACATTTATTTCTACCAGGTGAGGCCCACTGATCCATACAGATCTTTTTCAGAAGCGACCTGGCCATCACAAATGATGGTTCAACGAAGCGGCTTATCGTCGTGTAGAAATGTATAGCAGCCGAGTACTCTAAACGTGCGATGTCGATTCTAAACGTGGAGGGGAAAAAACGCGACCACCACGGCAAGAGATAGACGCAAACTCCACATATACAGCAGGCGTCAGGGTCGTGATCGAACCCACGACCACCTGCATAGCAGGCGAGGAGGTAGTTAACGTCTCACCACTGCACACCTGGACCACAGAGTCTGCTCTCTGTGGAGGCAACACGCAGACTCAAAGTGGCAACACTCGTGCCTCACAGCAAGAGGGGCCTGGGTTTAATTCCCGACTCGGCTCACTTTCTGGTGCACAAGCACGATTAGAAGGCGATCTGTGAAACTGCTTCCGTCCTCGACCGTTGCTCCGCACCGCGCAGTGCCGGCACGCAACAATGACGGACGACGGCCGCGTTCGCCTCTTTTCAACCTCAAGAAATCGTCGGACTCTACACACACAACCCACGTGGTTGGACAGATCTTTCTCGTTTGCAGTACCACACCTCTGGAACAACCTCCCTGAAGCCATCGGCACACTCTGACTCCATCACCACCACACTCACAACTCGACACGACAGCTTGTCACACTTGCACACAACTCACAGCCACAACTTGCGCGTCACTCGCCACTCACTTGGACTTCTGCTTGTAGTGGACCTTGTATTGGGCAACTTCCGTCTCCACTTTCCCGTGAATCACTTCGCCGGCCTTCTCCCCCTCGCCGTGGCCGCAGGGGACCTCCCGCTCCTCCTCCGCCGCCTCCTCCGGGGCCTTCGCGGCCCGAGGCCTGAGGCCCGTCAGTGGAGTGTCGCACTCCCACACGCACAGCGCGGCATCCCGACTCAGCGTGTAAATCTGAGAAAGCGCCAACACACGAACACATGGACACGTGAACACACCAACACACGAACACACGAACACACGGACACGTGAACACACCAACACACGAACACGCGCGCTCTCTCTCTCTCTCAACAGTTTATCCAGCAAAGCCTCGCCTAGTAGGGCGCAGCGGTGGCGAGATGTTACCTTCCCCGCCTGGTGTATCAGAGGTCGTGGGTTCGATCCCGATCTTGACGCCTGCTGAATATTTGGAGTTTGCGGTGCTCTCCTCGTGGTCGCGTGAATTTTTCTCCAGGTCCTCCGGTTTTTCCCTCCACGTTTATAATCAACGCGCATTTAGAGTGTTTAACACGTAGGCTTTCGTGACCAATATTATTCATAATAAAGGTTTTTGGGTTAGATCGCGTTATTTATAAATGTGTCGTAACCCTCCACCACCCGACACGGCCAATCAGCAAAAAAAAAAGTGTCGCGTTGACAAAAGACAAATAATTCACTACTTTAGCCCACCGGTGTGTTGAAGAGTGAATCCACATTTACAGTTTGAGTACGACGTTTCGCTGGTAAATACATCCAGCATCATCGGGCAATTCGCCAGAATGGTAAAGCCCTCGCTTGCTCCCGGTTTTATATAGAGCAGCTACAGGCTTAGTGCGGCCTGGAAGCGTATTATTAAATAATACACATTACATTTTGATTTAAAGCTTTCGTGACTGCCGTGATTCATGTTCTTGGATCTTTCGGTGGAGTCGCGTTGGGGGGGAAGCAATAAAATAATAGAATATCTATGTTTGTTGTTTTGTTGTTTCCCTTCGGCGTGGCTTTGCCGAGGAAGCTAAGAATATGAATGCACATTACAATTCCTTATAGGGGAAACACATACTAATTAACGGATTACTAACATAGCATATAATGACTAACACACATTACAACTAATTACTAATCTACAACTCATTACTAATCATAACCAATGACTGATTACTAATCGATTATATAATTACAATACCCCCCCTCCGCCTCTAATCACTGCACCTGATATGAGTTAAGTGATGACGTCACCCTGCTGCTCTATATAAAACCGGGAGCAAGCGAGGGCTTTACCATTCTGGCGAATTGCCCGATGATGCTGGATGTATTTACCAGCGAAACGTCGTACTCAAACTGTAAATGTGGATTCACTCTTCAACACACCGGTGGGCTAAAGTAGTGAATTATTTGTCTTTTGTCAACGCGACACTTTTTTTTTTGCTGATTGGCCGTGTCGGGTGGTGGAGGGTTACGACACATTTATAAATAACGCGATCTAACCCAAAAACCTTTATTATGAAGGGCATTTAGAGTATTTGACTGCTATAAATTTCCATGTGGTAAGCCATTTCGTTGAGCTATAATTTGTGATAGCCCAGTCACTTCTATATAGTCTCAAGATTTTATTTTAGGAGGGTCCTAACAAATATATAATCACATTGTAATCCCAATTCAGTAATTTGCAGGTATTTTTTCAGCGTTAGGATGTTGCTACATTGTATGTGGTTTTGTTTTTTGTAGCTATGGGAGGAAACCGCTGAATCCGGAAGGAGCCCATTCACAACCCGGGGTAGAACACCCAAACTCCACGCAGAAAGATGCCCGGGGTTCAGATTGAACCCAGGTGGGGGGGGCTCCTTTCCACGAGACACCGCCGGCGCCCACACGTCACTGTCACGGCCGAGCCGATAGACAACGGCACGAGGAGCGGCACAGCGGTGCACCGAGTGCAGGCCGAGGGCCTGCCACCACCCACCAGGCTTACCGCCCGCCCACGAGCTGTCCGTCAGCCGCACCACCCCACCCCCCGCACCTGGGGGGTGCCCTCCCCCCTCTCTGCCCGCCGCAAGCGAGCCAAGGGAGGCGCGCACGTACGTCGAGGGAGTTCTGCCTGAAGAAGCACGCGACGATGGCGTCCCTGTGGCCCCCGAGGGCGTAGAAGACCAGGTTCTGCCAGCGCTCGGCTCCGAACACCCACGTGGACATGTCCTTGCTGCCCACCGAGAAGCACCTGGGGGCGGGGAGGGGTGGAGACGCGCGTGGGCGCAGTCGAGCTGCTGTCACAAAGACAAAGAGAGGCTCTCGCGACCGAAACCACGCGAGATCGCGCGCCAGATCTCACTCGCTGGCGCGGAAAGTCGCCCACCGCGTCCGCCTTCTAGCGCTACTACTACCACCACTACCACTACGACCGTGGTTATCCTTTCCGTGACGTTCACTCGTCGATTCCTACACCAACGTCGAGGGCTCGGTCTACCAGACACTCCGACTGTTTCATCTCGCCCGTGCTGTTTTCAATCATCGCGCTGCAGGTCGCATAACGCGCACCGTTAGAACGCGGTTTCTGAGCAATCGACAACAAACTACTTTCTTGAGCTGCGTGGCCGAGCGGTACAGTGATATAGTACGCGGAATGATACAGTAACGCGGTGGCGTACCCTCAGTAATTTGTCCCGCCATCTCACTGTGCGTGCTGCGTAGTAGTACATCGTATCTAGGCCAGACTTTATCTGGCTTAGATACGATGCGGCACTTTTCAGGAACGCATCTACTACCGCGTTAAACGAGGACTTCCTGTACTTCTGTGTTCCCACGTCAATCCTTCCCACCCTCACCAACCGGCACCGACCAGCTTGATGAGGTACGGTCAAAATCACCCCACGTCTCGAACGCGTGAGGTCCTCTTCCAACAGTGGATGACAAAAGGGGGCGGTACAAATAAAGGATGCGGTTGGACTGATGCTGCCAAGCTATAAGCAAGGTTTACTCCACGTGTTAAATTATACAGGGATCCCACTATTTACGAACGTTCGGTTTTACGAGATTTTGTGTGAACGCAATTGACAAATTACGGACACTTTTCGATTAACGAAATCGAATATTTCCACGTTCACGAAATTTCACTCCAGCCACGCGCCGTGAGATCATCAAACGAGAAGCCACACGGGAGGCTGCGTCGCCATGCGTCCACAACAGCATGACTGGCTACGTAAGGTGTGAAAAAATGTCAACATACCTCCCAAATAGCACAATTAGCTACGTACCATGCAAAATAAGTTTAATGTGCAGATATTTCGTTGAGTTCCCTGAAAAGGTTAATTATTTTCATTTTAAATTAATTCTTAATAGATACATTTTATTTAAAGCTTTCGTGACTGCAAGGATTCATATTCTTGGTTCTTTCGGTAAAGTCATGTAAATAGTTTTAATGTTTTTGTTCTTTATCCTTATTGTATTGTTAAAAGTGATATAGGTGGTGTATATTTTTAAGTTAAAGAGTTGGAATAATGACGGTCAAATCACAATCCCTAATCTTGAGTGTTAGGGAACAGTCGTTCCCGATTTACGAAATTTAGTTTTTACGCCTCCCTTCTGTAAATCGAGGGATGCCCGGAATGTGAAGAAAAAAATCCGGTACGGAAGCATTACCGAGACACACACACAGGTGTGTGATATCTCCCTCCGCCATGTGTGCAGCTCAGCTCTGAAGACGTGCGTGCATGAGGGGTGGTGGTGTGGTTGCACCCGGGAGGGATGCCATCCGAGCCGCCTAGACAATCGGGAGTCTGGGAGTCCATACACTCCGCTCACGTTTAAATTATCCGTTGCAAATGCACCTGATCAGAATCATATTCAGAATTTTTATTCATCCTGGAGCAGCGTTCTTCACTCATTTTCAGAGGCGGGGTCACTTTCGTTGATAAGACATCGTCAGTGTGAGGGCCACCACACATTTGAAACCATTGGGGGTTTGACAGCAGCACGATGATGATGATGGGGGATGTTTTCACATTTTGTGTATTGTTGGGAGGCTGCGCTAAAGGCCACCAGGGGCCGCCAGTGGCCCACGGGGCCTTCAATGAACAACGCTGTCCTGGAGGAATCCGATGAGATATGAAGCTCTTTTTCACAGCTGTCCAGTAGATCTCCAGGCAGTACCCAGCATCGTGCGGAGCGGACACGGAAGCACACGCACGTCAGCGATGGGCGGTGCGCGCAACGCCGGGCCGTGAGAGCTCACCTGGAATCGTCCGTCCAGTCGATGCAGGTGGTCTCGTCGTACGGCCCAAAGAAGGTTTTGTCCAGCACGAACGGGTTGAACTCCCGCACGAGGCCGGGAGCGTGATAAAGCATTGCCACCTTGTCTTTGGTCACGACAAACTTCCTGCAAAATCGGCAAGAGTCACAAAATATTTATTTTTTATTTTACTAGGCAAGGCCCACTGAGCTATATAGCTCTTTATCAAAAGTGACCTGGCCACAAATTACAGCCCAACGAAGTGGCTTATCTCGTGGAAATTAATAGCAACCAAATACTCTACGACCACAGGGAGAGAGAGGGACACAAACTCCAGCGGCCGGGCACTGGTGGCCGTGCCGTAACATTGCCGGTAACCCAGCACAGCGGAAGCGGAGGCGAGGGTTGGTGGATCACGCAAACGCGCGCGAGCGCTCGTGAATCTCCCAAACCCGCAGGGGGCTGCGAGGTCGCCAGGGTGTGATGGCAGTCCAGCAAGCGGGTTCGTTTCCATCTGCGTTGGGACTGTTACTACCACGCCTCCCAATGCTCATAAGCATGGGTTTTCTCAGGGTACTCCTGTGTTGTCTCCCACGTGTATAAACACTCGTTAACCGAGTCGGGCAAACATCACAACATAGGTCCACAGAGCTTGGGCAATAGTTGGCACCGGCTCTGGCTACCCTTCATGCTCGTGTTCTTGTTTTCAGCGGCTCCGTGCAAAAAAACTATACGTTTTACAGAATTCCACTGCATTTTGAGATGCAATTTGGATGAACGATGCTTTATACAAGTAAAACACTGTTGCTATTATTGTAATTAATATTATTGTCAGAAGAATCAGAAGCCCGCAGAGCTAAGAAGCTCTTGTTTAAAGGGCAACTGGGCCAGCAGACAACATTAAAGCATTCCACAATTACAGATTAAAAAAACAGTAGTAATAAAAGCAATCAGGTTGTAAAATTACATTGACACTTAAACTTTATCTATTTCAAGAAAGTGGGTTTAATTGAGGACAGAGTGGCAGGATGGAGATGCCAAGAGACGAGACGAGGGTGGTGGTTACAATCACTTTGGGGCAGCAGCTTCGTTTAATACTTTCGATCGAAATTGCGTGTGAAATCTGGGAATTGTTAATAATCAGATGCGCGTCGCAGATTTGAAGGATTGTCCAATAGTAATAATAACAGGTCAGACAAATAAAGCACAGCTCCTTGGGAAAATCGCCTTTTTGTTTGTTGTTTTAACTTGCCGACCGCCCCTACTGGACAATGCTGAAAAAAGAGCTTCATAGCTCATCGGATTCTTCCAGTTTAAATAAATATTCTGAAATGAAGATTCTAATTCTGAAAGGAAAACAGCCCCGGGTTTGAAAACGCTTTCTTATAACCCTGCGACCTCCCAAGAGGGGGGTGAGCTTGCCTGACGAGGTGGAGTGGGGGGGGGTGTTGGTGGCAACTCACCGCCCGTCCGGAGAGAACTTGATGCTGTGCACCGGCTTGTGGAAGTGGAAGTGGTGCAGCACCGATTTGCCGATCATGCTCACGAGCACCGCGGCACCCTCTGCAACAGAGAACCCCCCCCCACGGCATCAACGTTCGCTCTCAAGAGGCAACGATCAGCTCAGAAAAAGCATACGTGGTGGTGTACGTCATCAGATTTTATTTCGATTCAGTCCCGATGACGTATATACGCATAAGTCATCGAAACGACAACGGAAGAAAAACTAAAATAAAAAAACTTTATCGGTACCGAGGCTCCCCCCAAGGCCACGCGGGAAGGCGTGTGGCACAGCTTGGCGCCGGCTGTCGTAGAGTGCGGCGGTCGTGTCGCTGCGATTCTCTGCGGTGAGTAACGACGTCTTTCAAACAACAGCGCTACTTACTAGGCCTCTCTAAAAAAAAAAATGCTACAATGGGCCGCTTGCGCGTTTCCCGAGATTCAGAGGTGAACGGGACACCCACCCTGCAATCGCCTCGGAACGGCAAAGGGTTAATAGCTCGGGGCAAGCAGCTTCTAATCACACGAATGGAGGATGTTAACGAGCACGGCTCGCAAAGCGGGGATGCCGTGGGAAGGCCGCACCTTCGTCAATGAGGATGGCCAGGCTCATGTCTCGAGAGAGGCCCACACAGCTGATATTGACCCTTGTCGCCACAGGCAGGGTCTCCGACTTGTTACTGTTGCGTACACACACAAAGACAAAGATCCCCCGTGTAGCGTTAACAGCCTGTTGGGGCAAGTGCTGATAGTGAGCACCTATGAAGACTGGTACAGGGGCACACAAGGGGTGGTGGCCAGTACCACCCCCCCCAAAAACCTTTGTCTCCCCACTGGCGATGTTTACGCACTGCACCAGGTACTCATTTGAGGCCGAGTCGACCAAGGAGAGGCCCAGGACCAGTTCTCATAATCGTCACCGGTGTTGGTGATCACGAGTTGGAATCAAACTCAGGTTGCTGGGTTTGTAGCGCAGAGCGCCAACCATTGCACTACCGCTTTCCACCACCGTTGTGTAGAAACACACAAACACATTCATCATTTTAAATAATGCGTAGGAAACACATAGCGCAAGGTGGTCTCCACCCATTGCCTGAAATGAAGCAATGTGGAACTCCATGAAGACTGCAACGCTCGAAAATATAACACTGTAAATGTAACAATGATAGGTGAGCTTTGCTAAACACTTTAGGTTATAAATTCATCAGCACTGGTTCAACACGAGACAACGCATGACCCAATGCGGCATTCAGTGTCTCGTCAGCAGTCAGGGTATCGCTTAAACTAATGCTGGAGAACTTGCAGACCGCTTGTAAACAAAAGCCCTCTCTCGTAACACGGAGAGCGGGCATCGCTGCCCACGTGGCGCCACTCACTTTTTGAGGTCGAAGAGCGTGATCCGGTTCCCCACGGGGCTGACCACGCTGTTGCCATCGGGAGAGAAGGCGAGGTTTCCGCGACGGTACACGGTGCCCAGCAGGTTCGAAAACTGCGGAGCAAAGGCACCAATCATAGCGGGCACTCGCGCGCATTGCCGCACGCATCAGGGTGTCGCGGTGGCGAGATTTCATCGCTCTCGCCTGGTATGCAGGAGGTAGGTCGTGGGCTCCATCCCGACCCTCACAATGCCTGTATATTTGGAGTTTGCGTGTTCGTTCCCTCCGTGATCGCGTTGATTTTTCTCCGAATTCTCCGGGGTTTCCCTCTACATTTGGAATCAACGTGCGTTTGGCGTATTTGGCTGCTATAGATTTCCACATGATAAGCAACTTGGCTGAGCTATCATTTGTGGGCAGGTTACTTCTGAAAAAAAGAGCTATATCGCTCAGTGGGCCTTAGCTGGTAAAATAAAACAATTTAGTTTAATCTAGCCGTGTTGTATGTATGTTGAACTTCTGTCGCACCGAAAGTAGCCAACCGTGCTAATTGGAGGTGCGGGGGAAAGACAACAAACTAAACACAAAAAGCAGTTCTAAAGAAATGAGTTTTCAATTTAGTGGTTTCTTAATATCGGAAGAGCAATTTAAAGCTTTCGTGACTGCAAGGATTCATCTTCTTTGGTTCTTTCGGTAAAGTCACGTAGAATGAGAATAAAATAATAAATTGATGTTATTTTATCAATTTATTATTTTAGTTTCATTCTACGTGACTTTACCGAAAGAACCAAAGAAGATCGGAAGAGCATTTCAATCACACATCCACCACATAATCGTGGCAGAATGATTGATGAAGCATTCCATGATTGAGACATTTCAATGCGTGTGTGTAAACAATAATCGGTGCATTTCGTCTTGATGGTCACGCAGCATCAACTATGGACCATACATTAAACCACTGTGCTCTGCGCTCCTTCAACGGAGGAGGAACAGCAAGACAACGCTCTCTCTCTCTCTGCTGAAGCCCTCTGGTCGAGGCTAGCAGCAGACCTCGACATTGGCATTTGGCTCCTGACCATACCGAGATTTCGATTTAAAGCTTTCGTGACTGCAGGGATTAATCTTCTTGGTTCTTTCTGTAAAGTCACGTAGAATGGAAATTTTTATTATTTTATTTCCATTCTACGTGACTTTACCGAAAGAACCAAGAAGACATACCGAGATTCGCAAGAAAATGAGAGAGCTGATGTCGCGCCAATGATTGGTGCTGCTTTGAAAGTTAGGCAGAGAGAGGCGCATTAGAGAACATGCAGACCTGACAAGTCATGTTGACGGGTTTGAACAGGACAACACTGCTGACAGGGTCGTTGGCTGGCGGCCAAGACGAACGACGGAGTCGCAGCTCAAGGAGGCAACACTCCGAGGATAATTCACGCGACGGTGGAGCAATGAAGTCGCTGTTGTAACATGCAAGGTGGACTTTTAAGTCACAAGAGCGTGAGAAATGGTTGCTGTACTTTCACGTCGTTGCTCTTTCTAGTTTTAGCGACCCGGGTTACTATTTAAAATTAGACGATTATCCTGGCGTCTTTTAAGTTCTCACCTGGTTACTGAAAGTGAACTTGAATCTACTGCTGTTGATTATGACGGTGGTGATAATTACAAGGCTACAACTCTCAAGTCACAATCACACAGTGCGGTCCGTATGGACGTCAAAATCAGAATATATACTGCAGGAGGAGAATCCGATGAGCTATAAAGCTCCTTTTCACATACGTCCAGTAGGGGCGGGTCAGAACGTTAAAACAGTACAAAAACACGACAGGAGATGGAAGTATAGTAAAGGTAATCAAATCACTTGAAAGCGTTCAGATAAAACGAAATTTGTTTTTTATCTTACCAGGTAAAGCTCACCGAGCTATTATTTTTCAGAAGTGACCTGGCCGCAAATGATAGCTCAAGAAAGTGGCTTATCATCACATGGACATTTTATATCAGCCAAATTATCTAAATGCAGCTGCCCCTCTGCAGAGACCGGCTGAGTGTGCCTCCAAATCCTCTCTCGTGAGACGGGGCGAAGAGGAGAAGACGGCAGAGGAGAGAGCCTGACAAGAAGGAGGATGAGACGGACCGACAGAGAAATGGAGACCTCGCTCCGTGCACGGTGCCACAGTGCGAACGACGCCCGGTTGGAACACCGCTCGCGATGGAACGAACCCTGAAGTTGAACTTCATGGCGGCGGAGCGCTGCGCGGAACCCGAGCCGCGAACGGGAGCCGGGGGGGAGCCGTGAAGACGTGGAGCTACGCGGAGTCGCGCGGGACACGTGGAGCCGCGGTGTGGAGTCGCGGTGTGGAGCACGCGGCCGCACGGGACTAACACGTGCTTCCGGGTTAACGCGCCCGCGACGGGGGTAAACCCGCGGCGATAACTTCCGGTTCACCCCGCCCTCTCCAACCCCCACCGCACATCCCCCCCCCCCCGTTCCGCCCCCGCCGCCTCGGGCGGTTCCGCTTCCGCCTTCGTGCGTGGCGACCCCTGACCCCGCGCGTCTCCTTCCGCCTGTGTGCGTGTCGCGCGCTCACAGCGCCACAGAGCGGAGCGGTCTCGGGACACGCGCAAAGCCACCGAGAGATGTCTGCTTCTGCTGCTGCTGGGTCGCGGCGCGAGCGGCTGACGCTGCGCGACAAACTGGAGGGGCGCGAGCTCGACCTGAGCCTCTGCGGCCTCGCTGAGGCGCCCGTGCGCGAGCTGGTACGGTGTGTGGGGTGTGGGGGGTGAGGGGATCTGGGAGGGTGAGGGGATCTGGGGGGGGGGGAAGTCACGTCGTGTGAGGTTGAGACGGAGGCTGACCCAGAAACGTGTCCGGGTTTGGTCTGTGGCGGGAGAATTGGCGCCGCCACTCGACAGTGCGGAGCCGAGTCCACGCGCCGATGTCCCCGCCGTTCTCCACTTTGCACATCCGCCGAGCTATGTCCGTGCCGAGCGCGGCACCAATCCCCCATTGACTCGGGTTGCGTTTTTCCACTGCACGAGTCGAGCCGTGCCCCTGACGTCACACGCGGCCTAAACGCGATTTGTTCGTTAACTTTACGTTGAGTTGGTGGACGTTTGTATATTTTGTAACATTGTTTGCTGTGTGTGTATGTGCACGCTATTAATCTTATTAAGATTACCTTTTTTTATCGCAGGCAGAGTTGCCGAAAGCAACGGTCCTGGACCTGTCCTGTAATCTACTGACATCACTGCAGGTGAAACATCTCTAGATCTAATTGACAATCTCTGGTACTAATTGACATGCGCCGGATCGGATTACTAAGCTATTGGTGTAATTGACAATGCTATTAATTTATGATCTGGTGGCAACGCAACAGGGAGTAACCACTGATCGACACCGTAGAAGGGTGACCTTTAACCCTCACTCGCGTGACCCAGAGGCCGTCTTTGGAAGAGTAAATATTATCTCTTGACCTCACAATGAATGCGTTTAGTTTTTTGTCCTCCTCCCGCACCTCCGATTAGCGCGGTTGGCTACATACGGTGCAAAAGAAGTTCAACGTACAGTATGTGCAAAATAAATACGAGCCATATTGTCTGTAAATAATGTTACTACTTAAATTCTCCACAACGCTAATATAATTAACGCAAAGAGGCATATTGCCTGTGAATAATGTTACTATGTTACTACTGATTCTCCACAATAACGCTAACGCTTTAACGTTACATTCGAACAGCTAAAGTGTTTATGCTTGTTGCGCTGTGTGGTGGTGTTAATTGTCGTCTTGCAGCCAGAGTTCAGCAGGCTGACGCATCTGGTTAAGCTGGACCTGAGCAAGAACCAGCTGAGGGAGCTTCCCGCCGAGTTTGGGGAGCTCGTGTGGTTGCACCACCTCGACCTATTTCAGAACAAGCTGCAGTCACTGCCCACCAGCTTCGCTCAGCTCAAGGTGACAAGCTGCCCATACGGGGGGCGACGTTGTCGTCATCGGCCCTCGTCAGTTCATTGCTGATGCAGATACCCTGATGATGCACAAGTGGAAAATAAAAAAAACTCTCCAGGAGTAGTGTGCGACCGTGGTCATCCAGAACAGACCGTAACAACGCATAACGATGCAATGCCCCGATCCACAAATATGAAGGAGACATTGAGGCGATGATACACGACTCTGCTGCTCCTTGACACAATTGTCTGGCTTAACCACCTGAATGTGAAATTGCAGTTTTTGCTCTGAGTCTATATGTCATACGAAAGAAGGAGTTCACCGCTGGATGAATGGGGCTCCATGGTGGCAAGATGTTAACTACCTCGCCTGGGATGAAGGATGTTGTGGGTTCGATCCCGACCGTGATGCCTGCTCTATATTTGGAGTTGGCTTGTTTGTTCTCCCACAGACTCAACATGCGTTGAGACTATTTGGCTGCTGCTATAAATTTCCATGTGATATACCACTTTGTCGAGCTTAGTCGCTAAGTTCTGAAAAAACAGCTGCATAGCTCAGTGGGGCCTTAACCTGGTAAAATAAAACTAGTTAAGATAGTTAAGTTAGTTGTCCATAAGGTAAAAACAACCCTGTGAATCTTGTGTTATATCCTGATGCTTTAATGTAAGTAACCAACTTGTGTTGCACTGTCTTGCAGAGTCTGAAATGGTTGGATCTGAAGGACAATCCCCTAGAGCCAGCTCTTGCCAAGGTGACCACGGACTGCCTCGATGAGAAGCAGTGCAAGCTGTGTGCAGTCCAGGTGAGACCTCGCCCTATGTAGAGTGTTGAGCTTAAATTTGAGTGGCTAAGTGGTGCGCTAGTAATGTTGAACTTCTTCTGCGCCATACGTAGAGCCCCTTCACTGAAGGCACTTTATTACATAGCTTACAAAACGGTGACATGGAATGAAGAAGTTGACAGGAGCGTGCTACAAGGTATTGAGGAATGAGTGACGGTGATGGAGGGGTACTTGTGGATCACGAAAGGGCTATTGGCATACCTGTCAACCCACACGTTTTACCCGTATTCTGATACAGAGAAACTGAGTTTTCAAGTCCACACGGCGTATATCTGTTTCAATACGGGAAACAAAAATGTTTCTATTTGTTTGTGTTTCTCCCTTGTCATGGGATTTTGTAAGATGAACGTTGAGATTTACAAGGGCACGCGGTGAACAATAAGGTCTGAATTAGTCTGTAATAAGATAGGCACTGATAAGGGTATGACAGGTTTGTATTGGGGAGGGACGGGAAGCAGTGGAGGGGCGGAGGGGAGAGAATGGGAAAGTAAAAAAAACAGCTTGTGTCTCACTGCAAAAATAAGTTCCTGGGTTCGATGACTAGCTCATTCTTTGTTGAGTTTGTTCTCCTGTTCTGCATTAATTTATTCTGTGTTGTCAGGTTTCTTCCCATAGCGAACAAAACATAATGTAACTGGTATTGGCCAAACCTCCCAATGTCTAAAAAATACCTGCAAGTTAATCATTGCAAAAACTTGGCCAGGCCCTCTTGAAGATAATTCTTGAGACTGGCTTTTTTGTGGTATTTTCTTGCTGTGGGTTTCACACCTGATGATGATTGCTTGTGTTGCAGTCGAAACGTCGTAATAATTGTTTTATATTTTTATTTTGTTTCCATTCTACGTGACTTTACCGAAAGAACCAAGAATATGAATCCCTGCAGTCACGAAAGCTTTAAATCAAAATTTAAGTTTAGTATCGTTCATATAGCCATGCTTGATGCTGTTAAAACAGATTTGCTGTGTTAATCAACATTTTGGACACCCTTGTAAATTAGATGTTCCATCTCAAGTGATTATCCAGGTGAAATATTTATTAAAAACACATTTAAACTGTAAATGTCACCATTATAGTGGTTTATCAGTAAAGTCACCTGTGTGTTTAAACAGTGAAATTCACTTGCAACACAGTGGTTGTGTAGGTTCACAACAAATCATCCAATTGACCTCTAAAGTAATATTGCTAAACGGAATAAATAATAACCCATTACACAAAGCACGCTGTTGTTTTCTTATCTTATATTTTTAAATAGCGCCTTTATCCAAGGCACTTTACAAGGGTTATGAGTGGTACAGTGAGGGTAGCTAAAGTTGATATTGGTGTAGAGGGATGGGGTCTGGGAAGGCAGGTTTAGTGGGTACGGCAATTACGAGACTACCTAGGGATGGAGGGAAGGATGCGCCAGGGAGAAGAGGTGGGTCTTGAGGGAGGAGCAGAAATTAGACAGGGAGGGTGTTTTATTTCGTTATTGGTGAGTGGACACATTGCGTGGATGGATCATGACCACTGGACAAGACTCGTGACAGAATAGCAGCCAAATTGGAGAATGTGCCAGCGTAGAGCTGTGATGAGTTTCGTTCATGTGCAAGAGCAAGATATGTATGCGTGTATGATGAACTTCTTTCACGCCCTACGTAACCATCCGTGCTAATCGGAGGTGCTAATTGGAGGATGGATTGCAGAGATGGTGATGGCATGGGGAAGCCTTCATCCATATAAAAAAGAAACCTGTTACCCATCAGTGGATAGACAATGATCGGTATAATAATGATTCACCACATTTCAGTGTTCCGTTTGACAATGTTCCATCCCCTGCCAGGTGGTGGAGTATATGAAGCAGATGCAGGCGGAAGAGGAGAAGGCCCAGCAACAACGTCTGGAGAAAGAGCGATGTAAGAGTGTGGCTTGTGAATTGGATAGAGAATCGTACTTAACCATTTCCCGTTCCGATGACGTACACTTACTCTTTGGTTCTATTCGGTAAAGTCACGTGACTTTACCGAATAGAACCAAAGAGTATGGATCCTTGCAGTCACGAAAGCTTCAAATCTAGACGTACACTTAGTTTTACTTGCGATTCCGAATATAATCACAAGTCAAAGGCCACGCGGGAGGGCGTGTGGCAGTTTGGCACCAGCTATCGTACACAGCGGTCGTGTCGCTACAGTTCTCTGCGGTGATTACAGTACATTGTCTTTTAAAAAAGCAGCGCCACGCCTCTAAATAAAATTAACGCTAAAATGCGTCCCTTTCGTAAATCGAGGGATATCTGTAAATGTATATTGCATTGTTACCCACAACGCACTGGGGGGGGGGGGGGGGGGGGGGGGGGGGGGGCCCGAAGCCCTGTAGTACCAGCAGGGTGAGTTCACGCTTTGGGGCGCCATGTTGGTGAGATCTTAACTCCCTCGCCTGGTATGCAGGTCGTGGAATCGATCCCGACCCTGATGCATGCTGTATTTTTGGAGTTTGTATGTTCTCCCTGTGCTTGTGTATATTTTTCTCCGGTTTTTCTCTCCACATTTAGAATCAACATATATTACGGTTATTTGGTTGCTATAAATTTCCACGTGGTGATAAGCCACTTCATTTAGCGACCATTTGTGGCCAGGTCTTTTCTGAAAAAGAGCTACATAGCTCAGTGGGCCTTACCTGGTCGAAATACAAAGTTCATAGTTTTTTTTTATAGTTTACTGTGTCCACGCGTGCAGCTAAGCAGGCGCGCAAGGAGGCCGAGCTTCTGCGACAGGAGGAGGCCAAGCGGGAGCTGCGTAAGCAGCAGAAGGCGATGGAGAAGGAGAAGAGGCGGCGCGAGTACGAGGAGGCACAGGCTCAGCTCCGGCAGCGGAACGAGACCCCGGCTCCCAAACCCAGCGTGGCCCCGCATGGTGAGACTCTTGGGCGCGGCCCACACAGTCGCAGTGTCCGTGAGGGTGGAGTCGGTGTCCAGGTGCATGGGGTGTATTTGAAAGTAGATCAACGACTCTATAAGTATACAACTATAGAATTTTGTGCAACTGTTCATATTTTGTGGGTGGCTGGGCAATTCGGTGGGTCGGTGGAGCTCGCTGCGAGGGCTCGTTTTAAGAGTTGAAAGTTGCTGCTGCGCGTTTGGTCGAGCGTTGCCGATGCCCCGGGAGTGTTTAGCGCGTGTTCACCAGGATGCGCATGTGTGCCGGTAGACGCTGTGGTTGGCGAGCGGCGGCGGCGGCGGCGGGCCAGTGCTGGTCGCTGGTCGTGCCGCAGGGTCCCAGCGCTGCTCTTCCTGGTTCTTGTGCTTGGAGGTCTGATGGCGGGCCTCGTTCTCTACTGTCAGGGCCAAGGCCCAGCGTCGCCAGGTCCCTGTGATCACGTCAACAGGGTCTATGCGGGAATACTCAACGCTCTGCGTCAAAACTTAATCTTCCAATATTTTCTGGAAATATGTCACATGCATGCGTAACGATTTATACCTTGCGGAAAATAAATATTCCCGTGGAATTGGAATGTGTTGAAGGTTTTCCAACATAAGTAGAATGACACGTTTAAATTGACGTCTGCAATATGCTGCATTAACATTAAATGAATTAGTTTCATGATGCAATTCATATGCTGGAGTAATACTTTTGTTATATTTATCTTGATAGTAAAATAAAAGGGCAGCCACAATGTTTTTACTCTACGTGGTAGGTCTAACAAGCCAAGTCATAATTTTTTGCAAGCTACTGCATGCAAATGTCCCTTCCACATGCATGCACAGACTCGCATCCCATGAAGCTCAATGCTGCCAGAATTATCACTGCCCTGTCACTGGGGTTTTCCTCTTGGCTTCGCACGTAGACGTGGTGACAGGCCACAGCATTGTGGCAGAATGTGCAGATATGGTTGGTTTGGGCAGTCCAACGATATTACTCAACCCAGCGGTTTCAACAACTGCCATTGGCCACTAAGTCGCGGTGACATCACCATGTCGCTTGTGCCAGGCTACGTGCACTTTAAGGCCACGTGAAGTGTTGAAGGCTCGCTGGCAGGTGACGGGACAGACCCAGGTTGACTGACCGAGACGACTGGCCGATGCACCATCTGTGACCCCACCACATTTAGAATCAACAACACATGTTTAAGAGCACTTGGCCGCTATAGATTTCCACAAGCTAATTTGTAGAGCTATCATTTGTGGCCAGGTTGATTCTTAAAAAAGATAATAGCTGTGGGTCTTGCCTAGTAAAATTTGAAAGTGTAGGTAGGTTTAAGAAACTTGCTGGTTATTTCAATTGCCTCGCCAGGTCAAAATTGCAGCATCTGGACTGCATGAGCGGCGTGCCGACCATTAACATCACAGCAGCAGCAGCTCTACTTGAGAGTCCAAATATTTATTTTGAGTACCATAACATAATCAACGTCTCTTAATAGTTGCCGTTTTAATCAGAATGCAGCTCAGTCTTTACATAACAAGCCCATTTCCTAAAAAGCAGAAACAATATATGCACATAACGGGTTTCTGCAGTTAAAGCATAACAATGGACGGTTGTGCATTTTAGCTTCATTGAAGACTTTAGGGGCATGTATAACGATCTTTTGCTTTGAATCTTAAACTTAAAATTGATTTAGAAATACCAAAATAGCAACCAAGGAGAAAAAATAAATACTGTATAGGCATAATTAGTTTAATTTTGAAAATACCGATAGGAACTTTGGACATTAAGGAAACATTTGTACAGAGGATTATTCTTAAAAGTATGATGCTTTCGTCCATTTCTGTAAACACGACCTGCCACTTACTTTACAACAGCCTATTATGTGTCTATGTTATCTTGTGATGTACAATAATGCTGTGCAAAGACATAGCTAGACGGGGAACGTGGGGGATATATCATATAGAGAGGCTAGGGCAGTAGACCATGGAAAAGGGCAGGTCATATTTTACGTGTTGTTCCTCCATGGCAGTCTTGTGCACATCTAGGTACCAGTCCACCTTTTCCCTGTTGCAGAAAAAGAGGAGAGAGCAATATATACATTAAAACGACATCTCCCCCATTGCCTTAACAGGATGCTTGGGGCAAGTGCTGTTAGCGAGTTGCACCTATGAAGGCTGGCACGGCACACGAGGGGATGGGTGGCCAGCACCATGCCCGCTACACCAGGTACGCATTTGAGGCCGATTCGACCCAGGGGAGGCCCAGGACCGGTTCAGATAATCGTCACCGATGTTGGCCGTGAGCGGGAATCCAACTTGAGGGTCGTGCAAAGTTTTCACAACAAGGGGGCGATGCCACAATTCTAAATTGTAAACTTATTTATAACTGCTTTTTGTGTTAAGTTTGTTGTCCTTCCCCAACACCTCTGATTAGCGTGGTTGGCTAAGTACAGTGCGAAAGAAGTTCAACATACATACTATGTTGCTATAATGTAATCCCGATTGAGTAATATTCAGGTATTTTTTCAGCATTGGGATGTTTGGCCAATGCCAGTTATATTGTGTTTTCTTAGCTATGGGAGGAGATAACTGGAGAACCTGGTGGAAACCCACACAGAACAGGGGGAACAACATACAAACTCCACAGAAAGATTTCTGTGTCGTAAATTGACCCATAGGCCTTTTTTCTGTGAGATACATGTGTTACCACTCTGCCACCCTGCCAGTCAAACATCCTACAATTGGACGTTTCCCTCAGGGGAAACAGCAATTAGCATGGCTTGTAGGGTGAACAGCTTTCATGCTGTGTAACTTTATACACATTTACACTTCGACCACTGCCTACCGGGGTACAACCGCTCCTCAAGACGCTGAGCACGCAGGGACGGACACTCAAGTCAAAGTATACGTTGTGACGCTACAGCAGCAGCACGGGTGACACGCGCGGTCCACACAGTGATGGCAGCAGTAGGATGTGCAGACTGCACACAGTAGTGGGCAGCTTGAGATTATAAACTATTAAAACCGAGTAGCAGTGGGGAGCAAGCAGCAGTGGGCAGAAATTTTCAGCACGTAATGAGCACAGCAGTAGGCAGCAAAAACGGCAATAGGCAGCACACAGCGATGGGACCGTGTCAGTGGGCAGCACACAGCGATGGGACCGTGTCAGTGGGCAGCACGCAGCAGTGTACGGCAAGTGTCAGTGGGCAGCTTCGCAGCAGTGAGCAGCACGAAGCAGTGGGCAGCACGAAGCAGGCGAGGGAGTACCCCTGAATGGTAGCGCGCCACCACATTCACCTCCGGATGTATAAAATATCCCCCCGCGCACTGCTGCCCGAGCAAGCCATGACATCACCTGGAGGTCAAACGGCCACGTGGCCAATGCCACCGTAGCAAGTCATCGCTTAATTTCCTGTGCTGGATCTCTCAACTAATCTAAACAATTTTTATTTCACCAGGTAAGGCCCACTGAGCTATAAAGCTCATTTTCAGAAGCGACCTGGTTATCACATGACAGCTCAAAGAAGTGGCTTATGAGCTGGGGAAAGGGAAATATCCACCCCCCGTTAGCAACGGCCACCCCTCATGGATTCCACCGTCTGGCTCTACGTCTTCCCCTCGGTCTACGACCTCTGGGTCACACTCCCATTGTCCGTCCCCGCTGGCCTGCCCGACTCCTCCAGCCTGTGCTCGGACGCCAACCCACTTAGCCATTAGCTCTTTTTCCGACATGTCCTGGCCACGAATGGCAGCTCAATAAAGTGGCTTATCGCGTGGAAATGTATAGCAGCAGCCAAATAATCTGAATGCGCGTCGGTTATAAATGTGGAGGGAAAAATCGGAGGATCTGGATAAAAATCCACGTGACCAGAAGGAGAGAGACACCGCAAACTCCAAATATACAACAGGCGTCAGGATCGGGATCAAACCCATGACTGCCTGTATACCTAGTGTGGGCGATAACATCTCGCTCCTGTGGCGTCCTCCTTTCAACTGCACATGTGCCCCAACCACCGTGCGCTCCACTCCCTTATTACCTTCAGAATATACCTTCCATGCTTATATATACCTGTTTGTCTTCCAAGAGGTTAAGAAGCGACCAATTGGAAATAATTGATTTTGAATGAGTAATAAAAAATAAATCCTACCTGCCTCAGGAAGAAGACCCTTCAGTTGAACAATTTCTTTAATTTATTAAAAAATCCCTCCTTCGGCTGCTGCTGCTGCTGCTGCTGCTGCTCAGAGTGCGAGCGAGTGTCCGAGGTATGGCTGGCCTTACTCCTCTCTGCAGGAGACAGGCACACGCGGCGGCGTACTCCCACACACAACCATCTGCAGCCACGCGTCTCGTCGCCGAACGGGAGCCGCCACGCGGGGGGAGGGGAGGGACGCCAACGCGCCCGCGTGACGATTCGTGGCGCTGCCGGGTTTCCTTTTAAAGCAGCAGATTCAACTTGGGCTTTATGTAAAGCGCTTGGGAGGCCTTGTGCGATTTTCGCTTAGAAAAACGAGTTTATTACTATTATATCTGTAACCCGGCCACCTTCAGGACGATGCTTCACGCTGCAGCGACCTCGGTGCGATCACAGTATCGCCCCGATTTACGTCTCTCACCCACTTTTACGTCGTTTTTGCAAAAGACAATGTCGCTTTATTGTTAACACCGCAACCCGATGATTCGCGTTGCCTCGACCCCACACACTCACGTCACCAACAGCATCATCGTCCGTCTTTTATCGTTATCCGTCACCTCTCAGCCTCTTTCGCCTCCGCCACCTCCTGCCCCGTAATCCCCACTTTGATTTCTGCCGTTTCGATATTCGTCGTCATCGCCGCACCTTTCAGAAACGCATCCCCCACCTCACCCCCCCTCCGACGTAAACCGGCGCGCCACTGCCGTACCACAAAAAGCTGCTTGCTTTCGCGAATCGTGGCGTGCGATGCAATAGCGGCGGCGAGCAAGAGAATGGTCGTGCGGCACCTGTGCTCGTGTTGGCGATGCCTGTCACCGTCCCCTCCACGTCACTCTCCTCCTCTGCGTACTCCAGCAGCAATGCTTTCTGGCGCTCCGACAAGCGTCTGGCCCCCGGCAAAGGCAACGTGCATCAGCAACGCACCGCGCGTCCTCGCAACATACCGTACATTATTTATTTGGTATTATTGAAACGAAACTATTTTTTATTTTACCGGGTTAGGCCCCACTGAGCTGTGTAGCTCTTTTTCAGAAGCGACCTGCCTATCAAATGATGGCTCAATGACGTGGCTTATCACGTGGAAATTTCCAGTAGCAGCCAAATACTCTAAACGCACATCGATTCTAAATGTGGAGGGAAAAACTGGAGAAAAATCCACGCAACTAGAGAGAGATAAGACACGCAAACTCCAAATATACATTAGTCAGGGGCGAGATCGAACCCACGACATCCTGTATACCAGGTGAGGGAGTTAACATCTCGCCACTGCGGTGCCCCTTATTATTACTACTCCGCTTGTTTACTCAGGAAAGCCCAACCCGAGTCCCCAAGGACTCTTTTTCAGGAGGGTCCTGCTAGGTTATCGCAGTAAGGGGGGCAGATGCTGCTGGACATCTGTGAAAAAGAGCTTCATAACTCATCGGATTCCTCCTGCAGTCTAAAGATTCTGGTGTAATCCCAACTGAGTTATATGCAGGTAATGTTTCAGCATTGGGATGTTTTTGTCAATTACTGGCTACATTGTGAGCTATGGGAAGAAAGCCACTCGGTAATATGGGGAGAGTTGAACAAACTCCATACAGAAATGCATCCTGCGTCGGGGATCAAACGCAGGAAACTTCTTTCTATGACGCAGCAGATTTACCACTGCGACACCCTGCCGCCCACGCTACGCAGCGATACCCCAGCAGACTGTGGCTGGTGCGCCCATCCAGTCTTAAATCTTTCCTCTTCCAAGACGTCTGCAAGATGCAGGGTGGGGGTCCCGCTGAAACGTGCAAAGGATTAGCGTGCAATTTTATTTAGAGGCGTAGCGCCGCTGTTTTTCAAGACATCGCACTCACCGCGGAGAACTGTAGCAACACAACCGCCACACTCTGAGACCTGGCGCCAAAGTGCCACATGCCCCCCCGCGTGGCCTTTTATTTCCATTCCGATGACGTACCGAATCGAAATAAAAACTGATGACGTACATGTAAGTCATCGGAATGGAAAGGGGTTAAGAGATGGAGGGTGCGGACGATCCCTCGCCACTGAGTCCGTGTGACTCCTGTACGGAACTCCTGTACGGAACTCCTGTACGGAACTCCTGTATGGACCCCCGCGGACCTCCAGATTAGCACGGTTGGCTATGTACAGTACACGTACGTACGTGCGGTGGGGAGCGGACTCACTTGGGGATGCGGATCTTGACGTGGATGTAGTGATCGCCGTAGCCGTAGCTGTTCACGCGGTTGATTCCCTTGCCAGCCATGCGTATCCGGTGGTCCGGCTGGACCCCACTTGGTATCTAAGCAACGCAGAGAGGGCTTTACAATCAACAACCTCGCCAACCCCTAGCTCAACCATAAGCCGTGGTTAACATCAGTGGCCCGATGCTGGACTCCTCCTTTCCCAACTCACACTGACCAGTGCGGTGAAGTATTATCAAACAATATCCATGAGGCTTTATTTCAGCAGAGGGTTGTACACTCACTACCAAAAATGCTCGTCTTAAAGAAAAGGGCTCAACCCTTGGCAGCAACAACACAGGAGGTGTTAAGATGTTCAAACACCAAATAGACACCTATTACAAAGCATCAGGTCTGCATTAACCACACATCATGCTTGTAGTAAAACATGCACACAAATTTCCATTGATAGTAATGCACGCATTGTCCTTGAAACTGATTGGCCTACACCAGAGACAGCCTCCCCTATTGTCTCGCCACCAGTGGCTACTATAAATGTCTACATAAGCCACTTCATTGGGCTATCATTTGTGGCCAGATCACTTCTGAAAAAGAGAAACAGCTCAATGGAGCCTTACCTGGTAAAATACAAAAGTTTAGTTTGAGTGTGTGGACCCATTTTCAACCTTCAAACATTTTGCGGACCACTACACGCTACTACTCGTTATTTGAAATCGTACATTTCCTTTGTGAGGATGATGTTGTCTTTTTTTTATTTTCCGCGGACACACCCTCCGTAGCCGCCTCGCGGACCACCAGGAGGGTCCTCGGTTTAGAGATGTTATTGTAACGAGAGCGCCGTCGCTGTGAGTGTTGGCGTGCGCGGCTCACTGTGATGGTGAAGGAGTCGTAGAGACCCTGTACGCGCGCCGTGCCGCCCAGCAGCGCCTGCGCGACGGAGATGTGGAGGTCCGAGTGAACGTCCGCCCCCTCGCGGCGGAACGTGGCGCTCTTCTGCACCTGCGGGGTTGAGTTGGAACACGCCCCGACGGTCAGGCAGGGCAGTGCAAAGGACGGAGAGATCCCCCCACCGTGTAGCCTCAACGGACTGTTGGGGCAAACGCTGTTGGCAAGTAGCGGCGCCTATGAAGTTCGGCACTGTGGTGCACGAGGGGGGTGGGGTGGTAAAATAAAAAAAATTAGTTCAGTACGTCGTGTTGGAGGTGCGAAGGCGACGTACCCTGAACGTGATGAAGATTTCCTTCTTCCCCACAGGCATGCGAACCGTTTGTCCGTCTTCCACTCCTGAGCACACCGCACATCAATGTCTTTTATCGTTTGAACGTATGTATGTATGTTGAACTTCTTGCGTACAGTTCGTAGCCAACCATGCTTATCAGAGGTGTGGTGCACTGCACGCTGGTGTGTGGTCATCGGGCGCGGCTCGGTACCGGCGGGCACGGGCACCACCACCGTCTTCTTCTGCTTGGTCTCCCCAGAGCCGTGGCACAGCGTGCACGGGTTCGTCATGATGGTGCCCTTGCCGGAGCACCGGCGGCACGTGGACCTCATCACAAAGGGCCCTGTGTTTATCGTTTCCTGCAACACATGCGCCAGGCCGGCATGGGTCCACATGCCTTTGGTGGTGGTTACCCACACAATTGTAAACCCTCTGTTCCAAGATCAATATGTCATCACTGCCAACGTTATTGCCACCGCCACAATTTATTGCCAATGTTTGGTACCATCTGCAGGATCCCGCAGACGCTGCGCTGTCGACACGCGACCTCCAACGTATGCCCTGACAGACTCCCAACACCATCTGGCTTTAGACTCGCACAGAGACCGATAGACTCACAGAGACCTAGACTCACAGAGATCCACAGACTTGCAAAGAGATCTATACTCACACAGAGACGCATAGCCCCATAGATATGCTCTAACAGTATCCTTTGGTTTCCAGCCTCATGGTGACCACTAGAATACCTACCAACACACACCTTCCCATTACAAGTAATAAGATACACCCAGAAGTTACATTCATCTCTACAAATGTTAAGCAACTAAATGTAGAATATTACACATGTCTGCAGCAGAGGTTATTTCTAGATGTTATCTGTCGTGGAACACTCTGCCAAGGAGAACTATATAACACCGCATGGACAGGCGCACTTTGACCAACTACAATAACTCCTTCCAACAAATATGTCTGGCAGACATGAACTCAAAGACGCCAAACTTCACCACAACCCCATTCAAAACATGCTCAGCATCACCGGTTCTGTGAGGCTCACCCACTTAACTGACACATTCACCCGGTCGGCAATGTACGTATGTTGCATATATATTGAACTTCTTTCGCACCGTATGTAGCCAACCGTGCTGGTCGGGAGGCGAGTGGCGCTGTTAGCGAGTGGCGGTGTTGGCGAGCTATCATGTGATGGCTAGGTTGCTTCTGAATCAGAGCTATATAGCTCAGTGGGCCTTCCCTGGTAAAAGAAAACATTGTTTCGTTTATAAAATAAATGAAGAGTTTAGAGTGGCGCCCGTTCTCACCATGCCCGTGCCGTTGCAGTAGTGGCAGCGCTGGAGTTTGGTGCCCGGCTCATTGCCGCGCCCTTCACAGCGCTGACACGTGTCGTTGAGAAACAGAGCAATCTCCTTGTTCACTCCCTTGGCCGCCTGTGTGAAGGTCAGCTCCATGAAGAACTGAGTGGAGAGAGAAAGCAGACGCGCGCATTAGGTCTCTTGTGCGCACACACACACACATCGCAGTGAAACACATGCATCTTTTGACGTTATTTTGCACCGTACGTAGCCAATCGTGCTAATCAGAGGTGCGGGGGAAGGACACCAAACTAAGCACAAAAATAAATGAGTTTTTTATTTAGATTTAAAAGTGCTACAGCTCCAGTGCCTTCCTAATATTGGAAGAGCGTTCCAGACGGTCGCAGAATGGCATGTGAAAGCGCGCGCGATGCGGTGACCACCGTCTTTGTTCGACGGCCAGCCAAAAGCCGCTGCTGCAAGGATGAGCGGAGTTCGCGTGAATATGGTTTAAAGCTCCTTAATGAGATCAGCGTTTTCATTTGTGGCACAAGCGCTTTGCGTGCGTGTGGCGAGCGCGACGATGCCGCCCATGCAACGTGCCCAGCGGAGCCCACCTCTTGAGGCTGGTCAAACATGGAGGAGAAGTCCCCGAAGTTGGACCGCGAGAACTCCCCGAATATCTTGCGGAAGAGCTCCTCGGGGTCCACGGTGGAGCCCGCGCGCCAGTACTGCTGCCCTCCTGTGCCGGCTCCCGAGCCGAAACCGGCATCGAAGCCGGCAGAGCCGTACGTGTCGTACTGCTTGCGCTTGGCGTCGTCGCTCAGCACCTGAGGTGGAGGAGGGGGCGGGGCACTCGGCGTCGGTGACACGCGTGTGCGAGAGAGGTACGCGCGGGTCGTCGCGGCCTCGTCTAATCGGAGCTGACGCTCGCACGAGGTGACCACGGACTGCCTCGATGATGAGAAGCGGAGCAAGAGCTCTGTGTGTGGTCCAGGCGAGACCTCCGCTGTACGTATAGTGCCGAGCTTGAATATATATATTTATAGAGCGCCTTCAATCAAGGTGCTTGATGACGGAGATTACAAAACGGTGACACGGAATGGAATGATGTAGACGGCAGGGGCATGCTACAAGGATTGAGGAATGAGAGACAGCGATAGCGAGGTACTCTGGGATGCTCTACAATTGACTGGCGAGTACCTCTGTCAAAGGAGTAAATTATTTATTGTGTTAAAGTTAAAACGTAGGATTCAGTTTCTTTCTTGAAAAATGTCACATACATGGAAAATTTAGTGAACCATAACTCTCAGATACCCGGCATATTAGATTAACCGGCAGCCTCCGTTCCCCATGGATACCGGACAACAGAGACTTTCCTGTAATTTTAAATGGATGAAGTGTTACACGCGCAGCCGTTGGTACAGGGTGGGCAACACCAACTTTTACCAAGCTGAAGCTGCAAGTGAGCGGTGGTTATCCAAGAGAAACTATCTTTTGCCATAGGAATGGAGAATATCCATCGTTCAGCCAACGTAGTAAACGGAGATATGCACCATCACGTTGTTCATGTTAGCTGTGGAGACGCTGCGACTAATCTGACCGCGTAAATGCACACGACACGTTTTCCACAGTCAATAATGGCATGCGCATATCTGGAGTGTTCACAGCCGTGTTGTTAGACACACGAGGCAGCACGTCAGAGAACGCCCAATAACTGTAACGCTTCGTTAACGGAATAAAGCGACTTGCGAGTGACTTTCAGGTGAATCACCGCAGCGGCCTCTAGTGGCATCACGGCCACAATGTCATCCCCTTTCACCTGCACTCGCAAAGCCATCACACAGACCCGAGGCAGCCAAGGGGTATTATTTTTGCACGGAAACTCCGCCAAGTGCAGCAATAACAAATGGAGATTCCACCTCGTTCATGTAGCATGTGGGTGAGGACTGTTACCTCGTAGGCCTCGGCCAGTTCCGCAAACTTCTCCTTGGCCTTGGGATCGTCCTTATTCGTATCTGGGTGGTACTTCTTTGCGAGCTGTCAAACCACATGAAGCAAACACTTTTCAGGCATGCATCAAAGATTAAAGGGCTCCGATAAACATTTTATTTAAGCAGAATGAGGATCTGTAAGTCTGCCCGAGAAACTCTACCCCCTCCCACCCCGTGATGAATGATAAAAGTGGGCAAACACACTGGACCGGTTTTGACCGCCGTCACTGCAGCTTGACAAGCTTGTCAAGCAAAATAGGGCTAAGTTGTCAAGCGGTCATACGAAAGATATTTAACATCTGCTGTTGGTCTTCAGAAAAGTCAGCACAGGTCAAAGAGCACTTCTTCACAGACAATTAATAAGTAATTCCACAAATTTAATGAGTTATGTTTTATAGTAGTTCAATTATTGCTTTAATTGGTGATAATAAACATAACAAAAGGGTACACAGCCAATTGCTTTGGTCATAGAAATCTTTGGAAGAGCAGTTTACTTTTTAACCTCATTTCAGCACAGAATCGAGAATGAGCCATTCCGTAAACACTAAGCAAGATCAAGTCACGTGATCATATTTCGGATGTCCTTTTAAAGCATGGATCACACAGCGTTAAGGCACAGTGGTGCACTCTACTTATTAATGAACCATTAAACTCTGGGTACAACATCCACACACCAGTCGCGCGGCTTTTACCTTGCAGGCAGAGGGGTTGGCAGAGAAAGAAGTCGTGGTTTATAAGATGAAAAATGAATGTTAAACCAAAAGCCCGTCCCTGTAAATGGTTAGTGCTGGTATGACGTCAAGCTGCATTCTGGGAAATGTACTCAATGCCGCACCTGATAGTAAGACTTCTTGATGTCCTTCTGTGCCACATCCTTTGCCACACCGAGGATCTGGTAGTAGTCCTTCTTCGCTGCCGACGCTGTGGCCGACGTGTGGAAGCCCCTGCCCGGCAGCAGCCTCGAGTGCCCATGCACTGCGGTTGGGGGGAGGGACAGACCGCGGTGAACGTGAGCGCACGCCACTCGGAGGATGCACGGTCTGTGATGGATGCTCCTACGGCGAGAGCCGATTGGTCAAAGTCAACGTGTCATCACCGCCAAAGCCTTTGATGCCACACAACGCGATAACTTATCGTGATTTGCCGGAGTTGTTGGGTTTACATGTCATTCCAAGTCTACTCTCTTTAGGACTTTCCCCCTTGGTCACCAACCTCTGGGTGCCCACTCCAATTCTCATTTTAAGTATCCAGCCCTCCTCTATTCTGCACACGTTCTACCCATTGCAACCTCCTTTGACCGATTATATATCATGTACAATGTCTTGCCATGTTTTATATTAATAAAGAATTAAAGCTTTCGTGACTGCATAAATTACTCATTGTTTTTTTCGGTAAAGTCACGTATGTAAAAATACCATGTAGAAATACCATAAAATGATATTAATCTTTAAAGCTGCTTACGCTGTCCTACACGAAATCACTAGCATCCACTGCGTGCACCTGCATGTAAATGCCATACGCTTATATTCTAGTTGCTTTGCTGAAGACCAACATTCTGCAAATACGGTAACAATGACATCAACTACTGCATCAGACTCCCAAGTTTTAACGTTTGACATCTCTGCTCTTCCACAGTTGGGAGTATGTCGATGATGAAAATGAAACAGCAGGGACCAACTTTAGGTGCCGAGGCTATAACACTAGGGTCTTTAACGTGAGCTCGCCTGCAACGAGACATGGACAACAGTGGTTGGGGATTGGTCCGATGCAGGTGGATGTAGAGAGTGACGTGGTAGCCTGGAACGGCGGTACGTTTAGATAGGGATCTGCATAACAGAAGATTTGAGAATTAAACAGAGACAAGTTTAATAATTATTGATGATAATCAACAAGGGTGGATTGGGTTCATCACTACACAAATCAAGATATGGGTGTCATAGAATAATCTGGAACTGTCACACGCTTTTAGTCATAGTTTGCATATCTGGGTAAGGCATTTTGAACGGGCGTAAATGGCATATAAAGCTGAATTGGCAAAGTCACGGGTCAACGTCTTTATTTTCATTAACATTTGGCGGTGACCACCTCCTATTGTCGATCCCGAGCCAGTCGTGGAAACGTTGCGCACACAACAGGGCTCGATATATCGATGTGCATGCAGCCAGGTTAACGCGATCTAACCCCAAAAACCCTCTAATGGAATGTGCAGCCACCACCACCATCACCACCACCATCAACACCACCACCATCACCACCACCACCATCAACACCACCACCATCACCACCACCACCATCAACACCATCACCACCACCATCACCACCATCACCACCACCATCACCACCACCATCAACACCATCACTACCACCATCAACACCACCACCACCATCAACACCACCACCATCAACAACACCATCACCATCATCACCACCATCATCACCACCATCATCACCACCATCATCACCACCACCACCATCAACACCACCATCAACACCACCACAATCACCACCACCATCATCACCACCACCACCACTCCGGCAGGTGGCGCGCGCGTGGATGACCCCAGAGAGAAGAGGGCGGTGAGGCAGAGGTGAACCAAGACTCACTACATCCCGCATTGGGCAATTTCAACTAAAAACACAAAGAAGACGAATGTGACGGACAATGTTAGGGAGTTTTATCCACGGGGAAAGCCCAGCCGCACGTCAATGCGCATTGTTACCACCCTAACACGAGTCGGAGTGTACACACGCAGGGCTCTTAACACCACGGGCAGCAGAGAAGCCATCAGCAACATGGGGCCTCACACACACACACAAGACCAAACGGACATTTCCCTCGCACCACCCTGTCTCTACGGCGACACCGCCGCCTCCACAAACACCGCCACCGCGACGACACCCGACACCCCCCATGCGTTGCCTCACGCCGGTCACAGCCCGCGCGAGGCCTCTACGGGGCCCTGGCGCCTCTCTGCCACTCACCGCCCTGCGTGGTGGCGGCGCTGCCGCCTCCACCCCGTGGCGCCTCCGCCGCGCGCCACAGCGCGAGGTGGTGGCAGCCGCGGGGTAGCGACGGCGGCAGCGGCGCGAGAACCCCGCGCGGCGCCGCCTCCCACTCGGCCCCGCGAAGCAGCAGAGACAAGCGTGACACCCTGAGCGCCGCCATCTTGCCGCACGCACGTGACTCCGCCCCCCTCCCCCCCCCTTTCCCCGCCCCCCTCCCCCCCCCTTTCCCCGCCCCCCTCCCCCCCCCTTTCCCCGCCCCCCTCCCCCCCCCTTTCCCCGCCCCCCTCCCCCCCCCCTTTCCCCGCCCCCCTCCCCCCCCCTTTCCCCGCCCCCCTCCCCCCCCTTTCCCCGCCCCCCTCCCCCCCCTTTCCCCGCCCCCCTCCCCCCCCTTTCCCCGCCCCCCTCCCCCCCTTTCCCCGCCCCCTCCCCCCCCTTTCCCCGCCCCCCTCCTTCCGCCCCCCCCCCTTTCCCCGCCCCCCTCCTCCCCCCTTCCTCTGCCCCCCCTCCCCTTCCCCCTACCCCAGCGACCGCACCACACGTGACCGGGCGGGACCAAGTCCGAGATAAGAGGGGGGGGGGGGGACCAAGTGCAATGTGATTGAGGGACTGTGCTTGCTGTTGTACTGCTGTCTTGCCCAAGCTTGGGAGTTGATGTACAGTACTTGTGCAATTTGAACTGATATACTGGATCTATTCTACGTATTTATTTTCAGTGACTTGCTTTCCTTTCGTATACTTTGCACTCCGATCGTTTTTTGACCCACCGCTTACTGGACACCTGTAAAAAAAAGAGCTTCATAGCTCATTGTATTTATCCAGGATTAATAAATAAATGCCTGGCTCTACGGCGTCACGTGCCCGGCTTTTCTTGCACGCGGTCGCGTGGCACGCGGAACCGGAAGCGTCTCCCTTCCACCCCCCGCCCCTCCCCTCTCCCCCCGCGCCCCGCCCCTACCCCGCCCCTCGCCGCGCTCAGCACAGAAGCTCAGCGCGCCGGGTCACGACGGCCGGGTCAGGTCAGGTCGGGTCAGGTCGGGTCAAGTGTCTGCAGGGATTGCGGTGACCTGAGCGTCTCAAGGGGTTGGCTTTGTCTGCAGCTGCTGTTACTGTCACGACACCGGTAACCCGTGTGGACTGTATGTGCAGTATATAGACTGTGTGTGTGCAGTATATAGACTGTGTGTGTGTGTGCAGTATATAGACTGTGTGTGTGTGCAGTATATAGACTGTGTGTGTGTGTGCAGTATATAGACTGTGTGTGTGTGCAGTATATAGACTGTGTGTGTGCAGTATATAGACTGTGTGTGTGTGTGCAGTATATAGACTGTTTGTGTGTGTGCAGTATATAGACTGTGTGTGTGCAGTATATAGACTGTGTGTGTGTGTGCAGTATATAGACTGTGTGTGTGTGCAGTATATATACTGTTTGTGTGTGTGCAGTATATAGACTGTGTGTGTGTGTGCAGTATATAGACTGTGTGTGTGTGCAGTATATAGACTATATGTGTGTGCAGTATATAGACTGTGTGTGTGCAGTCGTAGACTGTGTGTGTGCAGTATATAGACTGTGTGTGCAGTATATAGACTGTTTGTGTGTGTGCAGTCTTAGACTGTGTGTGTGCAGTATATAGACTGTGTGAGTGCAGTCGTAGACTGTGTGTGTGCAGTATATAGACTGTGTGTGTGCAGTATATAGACTGTGTGTGCAGTATATAGACTGTGTGTGTGCAGTATATAGACTGTGTGTGTGCAGTATATAGACTGTGTGTGTGCAGTATATAGACTGTGTGTGTGTGCAGTCGTAGACTGTGTGTGTGCAGTATATAGACTGTTTGTGTGTGTGTGCAGTCGTAGACTGTATGTGTGTGCAGTATATATAGACTATGTGTGCGTGCAGTCTTAGACTGTGAGTGTGCAGTATATATAGACTATGTGTGTGTGTAGTCGTAGACTGTGTGTGTGTGCAGTATATAGACTGTTTGTGTGTGTGCAGTCTTAGACTGTGTGTGTGCAGTATATATAGACTGTTTGTGTGTGCAGTCTTAGACTGTGTGTGTGCAGTATATAGACTGTGTGTGCAGTATATAGACTGTGTGTGTGCAGTATATATAGACTGTGTGTGAGTGCAGTCGTAGACTGTGTGTGTGCAGTATATAGACTGTTTGTGTGTGTGTGCAGTCGTAGACTGTGTGCAGTATATAGACTGTGTGTGCAGTATATCGACTGTGTGTGTGTGTGCAGTCGTAGACTGTGTGTGTGCAGTATAAATATAGACTGTTTGTGTGTGTGCTGTGAACAAGCATCGGGTTGTGACTCGGCTTACTTCCGGGTCGATAAATTCGGTACTACGTTGTGTTTCGTATCAAAATGAGTTCAACCCACAGCTTGTCAACTCCGTACCAGTGCTTGCCTTATTACAGATCAATTAAGACCTTGTAGGCCACCACGTGCCCCTTATCACGTTTAACGTTCACCCTACAGAGTCCCATTACAAGGGGAACACGGCTGCCCGCCGCATGGACTTGTAAACTAAATTTCCCAGGACAAGAATACGGGGTTCTAAACCGTGTGGGTTGTTGACACGGTGTGAACCCGGGGCACCTGGGTCTGTGGCCGTGCCCTGGTGACGTTTAGCGGTTAGCGGTTAACGGTTTACGGCGCTTGTTGTTGTTCATCGCCATCACGGTCCATGGGCACATCACCGGGAGGTGTCCACCGCACATTTCGCCATTCGTCTGGCACCGATCTCTCATTGTCGTCATCAAGCAAATCCCTGTGAGGTCTTCCTCTCTCTGTCTCTCTGCCCGCTGCTGTTGCCCTTCCTACACGTGTCCAAGCAGTGCCAGATTCCTTCTCATGTTGTTGTTGTTGTGTAGATCTATGGTTTTGCTGATAACCGATGCTATTTGACACCAATACTAGCACAATCAGGATATATATGTTCTTGGTTCTTTCGGTAAGGTCACGTAGAAGGGAAATAATGAAATAATAATAATAATAAAGCATGATGGAATTCTCACGACGTTTCGGCCACAACGCAAGCAGCCGTCCTCAAGGCAGCGGTCCTAATGGGACGCCGTCTTTCGGGCAGCTCTGTTCTTCACCTGAGGACGGCTGCTTGCATTGTGGCCGAAACGTCGTGAGAATTTTATTTTATTATGTTTTATTTTTTGTTATTGTTTCCCTTCTACGTGACTTTACCGAAAGAACCAAAAATATGAATCCCTGCAGTCACGAAAGCTTTAAATCGAAATCAGGATATAGTTGGGGGAAATAGGCAAAACAAATTGGAACAAACTCGACAAACCTGGGCTCCTCTGTCAAAACTAGACCATGAGTCTGGACTACACGCGCTGAAAATATTCGAATGTGGCTATTTTAAGCCCTGGAGGGAGGAACGGTGGAGGTTACACCACCCCTATGAACCCGTAAAAGTTGAGTTCGATTTCCAACCACAGCTAGCACTGGTGTTGCGTAATATATGAACCGGTCCTGGGCAACCCCCATTTACTAACCTGCACTCACTCGTGTCAGAAAGTACGGCCAAATAACCTCTCTGACTTTCTCAGTGTTGGCCTGATAACTTTAGTCTAAATTGTCTTATGGTTGTTATTGTTTGACTTGCATCACACTGGGATTTTTGCACACAGCGTTGTAATACGGTGTTTTTTTTCTGGAAGATTTGCTGGTTTATCCAGGATGTTTCTGTTGCGCGTCGTCGCTTTAAGATGTTCTGTGTTCATATTTTGTTTCTTGCGGTTGCACCCGACTCAAGAGCCGCATGGCTCACAGGGCTATACCAAATAAATGAAACTTGAAACTTGAAAACTTGAAATGTATTTTCAGTGAGAATCCAGTGGGCCTTTTCAAGAGCAGGATCAGACAACGCTGCGCTTTCCATCATGAACCGATTCCAGGCGTCAAGATTCAGAAACACAACGGCGACCATCGCCCAGAGACAGGTGACGGCGCCGATGCACTATCCTGCTCATTGGCATCGGCTTGGTCCCAGACTCTGGGCTGTAGCCTCTCTCGGGTGCGTTCCGTCAAGGTTGTGGATTCGACCACTGCACAATGCAGCTTCGCCATGCGTCTCTTTACGCGGTATTCGTCCGCACTGCCGCACTTTTGCAATTCCCCCTCCGCCTTGTTCAATTCCAGAGACACGGCCACTCCTATTCTATGACAAACTTTCACAGTGCTATCTTGATTTGAAGCTTTCGTGGCTGCAGGAATCCATACTCTTTGGTTCTTTCGGTAAAGTCACGTGGGTAGAAAAATAGATCACTACGTTTCGATCGCAACACATGCAATCGTCATCACCTGATGACGTCTGATAGTGCTGTTTGCGTGGCGGCATATGCTCAGCAATTGTACGGCCCCAAAAGGGTCTTCTGTTGTCCGCAAATTAGCTTGCCCACAGAGACTCAGGCCCCAGGACTATATTACATGGGAGGGAGGAGTTGTGCAGTACATATGGTCACTGGTGAAACTGCCTTTCATAGACACATTCGGACAATATGAGTAAACTGATCATACGCTTAGCGTCGCATAGCTATTTTGCGATACACATTCCTGTCCAAAGATAGTGTGAAAATCAACATCTTTACTTGGGGTCAGTACAGCGTTCAATTGGATTTGTCCCACATGTATTCGAGTATGGTGCATATTGTCAGTGTTTATATAACCAACTTATGAAAAGAAAAAAAGAAACACCCCAAACGACACATTTCTGGCTCTCTTTGGCTGTTCTGCCTGCCCATGCATGATGACGGCTGCTTGTGGGTACGAATCTGTGCAGCCCAAGGAGCCTTCACACCCACTGCTGAGCCGGTCTGAATTGCGTTGTGGTTTGACTCCCGTCTGCACAGACAAGCACTGGGACAGTGCTTAACTCAGTTTGACTGAAACTAAACTTTTTATTTTATTTTAGCAGATAAGGCCCACTGAGCTTCTATAGCTCCCTGGCCACAAATGATAGTTCAACGAAGTGGCTTGTGTGGACATTTCTAGCAGCCAAATACTATAAATGCACGTTGATTCTAAATGTGGATGGCAAAACCGGAGGACCCAGAGAAAAATCCATGTGGCCACGAGGAGAGGAAAAATGCACACTCCAAATATTCAGCAGGTGACTGGGTCGGGATCGAACCCACGACTTCCTGTACGGTGAAAATGTCACATTCACATGTTGGGGGCCACCCTCTTCAAAGGAGAACCACTGCACCTCCGATTAGCATGATTGGCTGCATACGGTGTGAAAGAAGTTCAACATATGTATATACAACTGATTTTATCGACTGTGATTTGAACGCGCAACTTTCCGGTTGCGAGTCGTACACTATAACAGCAGGCTCCGTGTAATTTCTGCAGGGAATTATCAGTGGAGGTGCCTGCGTTTCGGAAGACGCTGAAGAGACCTTGGAACCAATGTGTGCCACTGTCAAAATGAAAATCAGATTTCAGGATGACAGCATCCACACCCAAAATATAACGCATAACTCGCCTCACATAACCATATCCACCCAGGTCACCCATGCAACCATGGCAAATCTCACTGGGCTGCGACATTGAATAAACAAATATTTAAAAAAATTATACGTAGAAAAAAAATATACATTATAATATATTCTTTACATATATTTTTTATTTCCTTGATGTATTTTTATAATTTAATCCACATGTATAATTATGGGCAATGTTAGCAAGAGTAAGAGTGAAACAAGGCTCTAAGCAGGATTGCAGATGTGGTCTTTGGCCTAAAATCGAAGGCTGCATATTATTTAAGAACCGGCCGCCGAAGACGTGGCGACACTTTGGAGAGATGTGCAATTCACTTTTCCCGTGACGTTGCAGCATTTGTCAAAAGTTATCTCGCAGTAGCAGTCGGGTAACATTTCGCAAGCAAAATATGATACCGTCCCTGGCAGAGAGCGGGCAGTGATGCTGCACCATTGTCCAGAGAATGATGCTGCAGCCCGTGTTGTATTCAGTGGGGAGCCTCCCCTAGGTCGACCCAGCCTCAAATGAGTACCTGGTGCGGTATGTATGTTGAACTTTTTTTGCACCGTACGTAGCCAACCGTGCTAATTGGGGATCATCATGACGCTGGTGATGATCATGATGGTGGTGATGATATGATCATGATGGAGGTAATGATCATGGAGGTGATGATGGTGGTGATGATCATGATGATGGTGATGATGATCATGACGCTTTGATTCAGGACTGGCTGAGCGAGCTGCACGTGGACGCTGGGCTGTCCTCCGGGCGCCACATCCAGGCCAGCGTCTGCCTCCTCGCGTTCTCCTCCGGAGCGAGCGGTGAGCCAGGAGGGAGCCACTCACGAGTCGCGGTTGCGAGATTTGATCTCCCTCACCTGGTATGCAGGAGGTCAGGGGTTTGATCCTGACCCTGTGACGCCTGTTGTATATTTGGAGTTTTCTCCGGACCCTACAGTTCTTTCTCTCCGCATTTAGAATCAACTTGCGTTTAGAGTATTTGGTTGCTATAAATTTCCACGTGATAAGCCACTTCGTTAAGGTCTAATTTGTGGCCAAGTCGCTTCTGATTTACCACGGTTGGCCATGTATGGTGCGAAAGAAGTTCAACGTACGTACATTCTGAAAAAGAGCTCATAGCTCGGTGGGATTTTTTTAATGGAGCAAGTTTATTATAAGTGCTTGGGAACAAAAAGATGTCATTCCAAAATTGAGCAGTGCAGCCTGGTGAACCTGCAGCGTGGTGAACCTGCAGCTTGGTGAACCTGCAGCGTGGTGAACCTGCAGCCTGGTGAACCTGCAGCGTGGTGAACCTGCAGCGTGGTGAACCTGCAGCGTGGTGAACCTGCAGCGTGGTGAACTCACCGCGCGGTCTGCCGTGACGTGACCCTTGCTGTCCGTGTGCCGCAGGAGCACTTGGGGTGCTGCCCCTCAGCCGATGGGGGCCCGTGAATGGAGGCGTGCCGACTCTGCACTGCCACTCCGGTACGATTCGGCGTGCGGTGTCAACGGTTTATTTATTTAGCGAATGCTTTTACACGCGACTGTCATACAGTTAGCGCTCCAGATACGCTAAATAATTAAAGAATGCATGTTTGTCAATGTTATTTGTGAGTGGATGTCAGCGCACGTAGCCACAGAGCCACGTGACAGGCTTCACAGTGGGGGTGATTGAACACACCACTGCTGTCCCCTGCTCTGTTAATACGATAACGAAATTAGTGGCATTACTTGAAATAAGTGTCAGGATTTATGATGGCAGGGTGGCACCATGCTAACGCTTCTGCCTCAAGGCAAGAAGGGCCAGGGTTTGATTCCCGACTCTGGCGCCTCTCTCTATGGAGTTTGTTCTCTCCCCTGTTCTGCAATGAGTTTTCTCCGGGTTCTCTGGATTTCTTCCCATAGCTGAACAAAAAAAAAGCATACAATGTAATTGGCATGGGCCAACACTTCTCAGTGCTAAAATAAATCACAGTAATCTTGATTAGAAGCTTTCGTGACTGCAGGAATTCATCCTCTTTGGTTCTTTCGGTAAAGTCGCTTAGGTAGAAAAATAAACTAAGAAGATGGATGCAAAATTTAGCAATCTTTGGAAGGACGTTGATCAAGCAGGTAAAGTGTTAACTGTTGTGTTAGCCGACTCTCCGAGTTGCATTACATTACTACATTTTGTTAAGTTTGATATCAAAGCTTCCTTTTCCTTTTTTCTCTCTTTCACCTAAGCCCTCTTTGAATTTCACCCCCACCCTCTCGCCCGTTATGGTCTCCCCTCCCTCCCCCCTCTCCGATGTATACGATGCCTCGTCACAACGGCATGCTTCTCTCTCTCACCTGAAGACGATTGCTTGTTGTTGCGATTGAAACGTCGTGATCTATTATTTATTTTTCTATCTATGTGACTTTACCGAAAGAACCAAAGAGTAGAAATTACAGTACTTGCAACTCACTCAATTGGGATTACACACACAGCAGCAGCAGCACCCCATAACTGCAAAATCTTGGCAGGACCCTCCAGTAAAAGTGAGGTTTTCCTGGGTAAAGAAGCGTAACAATAAAAATAACTATAACGACATTTGCATGCCTGAACGTTAATAGTGGTCCTGAAATAAGGTCTTCATTGGTAATTATCCAAATATCAAAATAAGTAATAATTACAAAGACGGATCAGTAAACTTGGATGTACGTCCAAATGTGTGAATGCTGCATTATTTATTGTTGCGAGATGAGGCGATGTTGGGTGCTGTGTAAATCCATATTGAACGTGAACGTGCCACGCTCACCACGATAACCTGTGTTCACTTTCTTCCTGCAGACATCATCACGGATTTTGGTTTCTCTCCGTTTGATGATTTGCTGCTGGGCACCTGCTCTACTGACCACACGGTAGAGACTCCGTGGCTCGTCTTTGGGCCACAAAGGCCTCGTCAGCTGTGCCTCCTATTCAAGAGATTGGATTTTTCTGTGGATTCAGTGGGAATGGCTAAGCCTTTGGGACTCATAATTTGGCCTCATAGTTTAGGGCAGTGTTCTGCATTGATTTTCAGAGGGGGGTCACTTTCGCCAATAAGACATCATCAGTGCGAGGGCCGCCACACATTTCAAAACCATTGAGGGTTTGACAGCAGCAGCAGCACGATGACGATGGGGGGGGGGGTGTTCTCATTGTTTGTGGGGGGCTGCACTAAAGGCCACCAGGGGTCGCTAGTGGCCTGCGGTGGCCTTGCAATGTTGGACACTGCTTTCTTGCAAGGACTTTCAATGATGCATCCTAGTAAGTGATATATATTCTTTAGGTCTTTCGGTAAAGTCACGTAGATGGGTTAAAAATAATAATTACAAAAAACTATTTTGTAACCTATACGAGACTTTACCGAAAGACGCAAAGAATATGAATTCCTGCATTCACGAAAGATTTAAGTCAAGATTTAAGTGATAAATGTTTTATAGATACACGCAGTAGTAACAATTGTGCTTCGCAGCAAGAAAGGCCTAGGTTTGATTCCCTACTCGGGCACCTTTCTGTGTGCAGTTTGTATTCTCTCCCCCTGTTCAGATTGGGTTTCCTCTGTGATCTCCGATTTCTTCCCATCGAAAAAAAAAATACAATGTAACTGATATTGGCCAAACGTACCAATGTTGAAATTTACCTGCAAATGACTTGATTCGGATGTATGTATGTATGTATGTTGGACTTCTTTCAAACCGAACGTAGCCGTGTGTTTTAAATCGGAGGTACGGGATCACACGCACACAGAAAAATAACGTTGCTCCCTGCTGTGAAAACTTATCATAACACCCTCCTGAATACGAGTCTTGAGACTCAGTGAGGCAGGCATTCATGGGTAAACAAGCATAGTAATATTGATAACAAAAGTAGAATTCTACCTTCAAAATGAAACCCTAGACATATAATTGGGAGAGTAAGATGCTAACTGTTTACTGCGTTACTATTAAACTGAACTAAAACGAAACTTTGTATTTACCAGGTAAGGCCCACTGAGTTATATAACTCTTTTTCAGAAGCGACCTGGCCACAAATGATAGGTCAATAAAGCAGCAAATTTATATCAGCCAAATATTCTAAATGTACGTTGATTCTGAAAACCGGAGGACCCGGAGAAAAATCCATGCGACCACGGGGAGATAGAGCGAAACACGCAAACCCCAAATAAACAAAAGGCACGGTAAGGGTCCGGATGGAACCCACGACCTCCTGTATACCAGGCGAGATAGTTAACATCTCCTAGCCACTGTGGCACCACGGTGCCCGTGCGGTGTGGACCCGGCGGTTGTGACAACCTCCACCGTTGGCGCTCGTGGCTCCAGGTGAGGCTGTGGCGGCTGCCCGAGGGCGGGGTGGACAACGCGGCGTCGCCCCCGTCGCTCGTCCTGCCCTCGGCCCAATCGAGCGTGGAGCTGCTGCGCTTCCACCCGGCGGCCGACGGCGTCCTGGCCAGCGCGAGCGGCGACGCCATCACCGTGTGGGACGTGCTGGAGAAAGCGCCCTTGGCAGGTGGGGGTCACGGTAGTTGAACAGTGCCATTCTCGGTAAACCGAGCTACATTGTGCGAAACGTCGCTGATTGTCTTATTGTTTTAAGGCAGTGTTGTTGATTCGTCTGTGCGCGAGTTTTTTTTAATTAACTGTGCTTGTGCACCATTGCCAGCGCAGCATTAACCACCATAGAATGTAATTAATGCGTGAGAATTGAGCCATGTGCTGTTTGTATTATTTGTGGTATTTTTAAAGGACTTATTATTTGGAGGCATTGTTTTAGTTTACCAGAACGAAAGCAGTGCGTACACTAACCGTGGGTTTGCGCTGTGTGGTTGGTGTGCAGTTCTAGCAGATCATTCTGGCCAGGTCCAAGACTTCTCTTGGCAGCAGGGTGGGGTGCTGCTCACCTCCACCTGCAAGGTAATTGTGTGGAGCGCAGAGCCAGCGTACGCACTCCTCGCTGTGCGGCATCTTTACCCGAGCTTGTCAAAAGTCTGTGCGCACGGTTCATACGTTGAATCTAAAATAATCACCGTCGTCGTGGTGGAGAATGCAAGTAACAAATAACAAATTAAATAAGCAGCAGCTCTGCATGTACATCAGCCGTACGAAAGAAGAAGAGCAGATAACAACATCGTCTTCTCCTTATCTGTCCCTCCACTGTAAACATAAAAAAAAAGTATTTTTACACATCCCATCGAGCCTACGGCCTCTTGGGAATACATCTAATTACACAGCATTGGTTCATGGCAAAGTCTGGAACCGGTTTTGACTCACCAGGCTAGCTTGAATTTTATATTTAAAAGTTTCTCGAAAATTGTGATTTTATGAACAACCAGAATAAATATATATATCTGGAAGGAAACTGAAGTCACTGCATTCAAAGCAGAGTGTGTTTACGCACGGTGCGTCTTCTGCTGAAAGGTGTTCTTCACGATCGAACCTGCGTGCGTAAGACCTGTCCACCTCCACAGTGAACCGTGCAGCAGCACTCGTGTTGCCCGTGTGGTGAATGCAGGACAAGAAACTGAGAGTGTTCGATCCCCGACTGCAGCTCACAGCTGTGCAGGTAAGGTCCTCGCCACAGACAACCAATCCAAGGTTGATCTAAAAAAAGTGGAAAATTTAAAGCAAAGCATCGATTGACCCCCCGCCAAAATATCCATGCGGTCCTTGACTCAGCAGAGTGTACGGCATGGTGTGCAGAGAAGCTCGCTATTTAACTACATTCCTTAATTATTAAAATGTTTTATACAGTGAGGGAAAAAAGTATTTTTCCCCTGCTGATTTTGTACGTTTGCCCACTGACAAAGAAATGATGTCTATAATTTTAATGGTAGGTTTATTTGCACATTGAGAGACTGAATAACAACAACAAAATCCAGAAAAACGCATGTCAAAAATGTTATAAATTGATTTGCATTTTAATGAGGGAAATAAGTATTTGACCCCCTCTCAATCAGAAAGATTTCTGGCTCCCAGGTGTCTTTTATACAGGTAACAAGCTGAGATTAGGAGCACTCCTTTAAGAGTGTGCTCCTAATCTCAGCTCGGGTACCTGTATAAAAGACACCTGTCCACAGAAGCAATCAATCAATCAGATTCCAAACTCTCCACCGTGGCCAAGATCAAACAGCTCTCCAAGGATGTCAGGGACAAGATTGTAGACCTACACAAGGCTGGAATGGGCTACAAGACCATTGCCAAGCAGCTTGGTGAGAAGGTGACAACAGTTGGTACGATTATTCGCAAATGGAAGAAACACAAAAGAACTGTCAATCTCCCTCAGCCTGGGGCTCCATGCAAGATCTCACCTCGTGGAGTTGCAATGATCATGAGAACGGTGAGGAATCAGCCCAGAACTACACGGGAGGATCTTGTCAATGATCTCAAGGCAGCTGGGACTATAGTCACCAAGAAAACAATTGGTAACACACTACGCCATGAAGGACTGAAATCCTGCAGCGCCCGCAAGGTCCCCCTGCTCAAGAAAGCACATATACATGCCCGTCTGAAGTTTGCCAATGAACATCTGAATGATTCAGAGGACAACTGGGTGAAAGTTTTGTGGTTAGATGAGACCAAAATGGAGCTCTTTGGCATCAACTCAACTCGCCGTGTTTGGAGGAGGAGGAATGCTGCCTATGACCCCAAGAACACCATCCTCACCGTCAAACATGGAGGTAGAAACATGCTTTGGGGGTGTTTTTCTGCTAAGGGGACAGGACAACTTCACCGCATCAAAGGGACGATGGACGGGACCATGTACCATCAAATCTTGGGTGTGAACCTCCTTCCCTCAGCCAGGGCATTGAAAATGGGTCGTGGATGGGTATTCCAGCATGACAATGACCCAAAACACACGGCCAAGGCAACAAAGGAGTGGCTCAAGAAGAAGCACATTAGGGTCCTGGAATGGCCTAGCCAGTCTCCATACCTTAATCCCATAGAAAATCTGTGGAGGGAGCTGGAGGTTCGAGTTGCCAAACGTCAGCCTCGAAACCTTAATGACTTGGAGAAGATCTGCAAAGAGGAGTGGGACAAAATCCCTCCTGAGATGTGTGCAAACCTGGTGGCCAACTACAAGAAACGTCTGACCTCTGTGATTGCTAACAAGGGTTTTGCCACCATGTACTAAGTCATGTTTTGCAGAGGGGTCAAATACTTATTTCCCTCATTAAAATGCAAATCAATTTATGACATTTTTTACATGCGTTTTTCTGGATTTTGTTGTTGTTATTCTGTCTCTCACTGTTCAAATAAACCTACCATTAAAATTATAGACTGATCATTTCTTTGTCAGTGGGCAAACGTACAAAATCAGTAGGGGATCAAATACTTTTTTCCCTCACTGTATATATTCGTTTATAAAACTGTAGGAAAGACCCACAATGCTCTGCAAGCCCTTACATAACACATACCAAATTATAGAAATACATTTTCACATGGCTGAAATTTCACTGTCAATTGCAGCGAAGGTAACCAATTCACTTGTTCACTACTAACCAACTGAAACACTGGTGATCGTCTCCTATGGCATGGTGCCACGTAGGCCACTGTAATCTTCACATCAGGTGCTGCTCATTGAACGGCCTCTGGTCCGCACAATAGGGGGCAGCACTATTCCACCTGCTTTGCTTATGAGAGTAATGTTCGTCTAATGTGTGTACGTATGTTCAACTTCTTTTTCACCGTACTTAGTCAACCGTGCTAATCGAAGGTGCAGGGGAAGGACAACAAACGAAACAGAAAAATAAGTTCTAAAGAAATTAGTTTTCAATCTAGATTATTAAAAGTGCAAAGCTCCAAGAGCATTCCAGACTGCCGCAGAAGCGCATTAGAAAGCGGCTTTTGCGACCAATATTCATGTACAAATTACGACAATGTATTGAATCACGATATGTCTCGTAAGCATATAGTTTTTACAGATAAGTGTGCACAGCACATCTGCACATCTTCTATGTGTGTTCATAACTCATAAATTAATATTTAATAGCCTTCGATGCTTGCATGCGCTTATTAGTATATGTATATTAATGTGTCTGTGTGTGTCCACAGGCTGTTAAAGGGCATGCCAATGACAAGGATTCTCGTGTGCTGTGGCTTGGCAACCAAAACTTAATCGTGTCCACAGGATTCAGCCAGGTAAGGCCCATTGGCAAACAAAGACGGTGGTCACCTTTTGTATGCGCTTCTACAACCGTCTGGAACGGTCTTCCTTCCATCCGCTCCCTCACCCACTCATCCATCCACTCACCCACTCATCCATCCACTCACCTACTCATCCCTCCTTTTTCCCACTCATCCATCCGCTGCCTCACCCACTCATCCATCGACTCACCCACTCATCCATCCACTCACTCACCCACTCATCCATCCACTCACCCACTCATCCATCTACTCACTCACCCACTCATCCATCCACTCACCCACTCATCCATCTGCTCCCTCACCCACTCATCCATCCACTCACCCACTCATCCACCCACTCACTCACCACACTGCAGGTTACAACACTTGGACTGTTCCACTTATAAATCCCTTCCATCATTTTTTCCCCTCCGCAACCTCATAGCAACCTTGCTTAATTCGAGAAACGTATGAACTTTGATCGACTACACCAAGGATAGTGCTCTTCGTTGCTCGCCGCTTGATGTTTTGGGCTTTTTGGCGTGTGGTCAGCTCCTGTGTTTACAAAAAAAAGGTGAATTGTGCACTTACACACATCTGTGTTGTGTGCACCTAGCCTGGCACAAGCACCGTGGTGATGCGTTGTTCAACTTCTTTCGTGCCGTACGTATGTAGAACTTCTTTTTCACCGTACGTAGCCAACCGTTCTAATCGGAGGCGAATGGCGGCTGCTGCTGTTGTGAGCAATGAACAGCGAGGATCGGCCGTCTTGTGTGTCTGGTCAGGTGAGAGAGAGAGAAGTGAAGCTCTGGGACGTGCGGAAACTCACCGGCTCCGTGTGCACCGAGACGCTCAACTCGTCCACAGGGTGAGGCTCCCACTCTGTCTGGCCCTGCGCGTTGTTATGACGGGACGCTCGCCCAATTCACGCACGGTACGTGCATGCGTGCTTGCGTACACATGTTGAACTTCTTTTTCACCATACGTAGCCAACCGTGCCAATCGGAGGTGTGGTGCAGCGCTTGCCAAGCCCTGCCGTTGTATGTCAGAAGTTGGGATAGTTCGGAAGTTTATAACCGAATAAAGCCCGGAGAAGGAAGGAGGGCGACTAGGCCAGGCAGACAACAATCGAAGCACCCCCCAATTACAGATCCAGTAAAACAAACAAACTTAATAAGAGCAATTACGTTGTAAAATTACATTCACTCTTAAACTGTAGTGATTTTCAGAGTCTGTTTAAATGAAGGGGAGAGATGGCTGGATGGAGATGCCAAGAGACGCAACTAGAATGGTGTTCATAATAAAGGTTTTTGGGTTAGATCGCGTTTATTTATAAATGTGTCGTAACCCTCCACCACCCGACACGGCCAATCAGCAAAGAAAAGTGTCACGTTGACAAAAGACAAATAATTCACTACTTCAGCCCACCGGTGTGTTGAAGAGTTAATCCACATTTACAGTTTGAGTACGACGTTTCGCTGGTAAATACTTCCAGCATCATCGGGCAATTCGCCAGAATGGTAAAGCCCTCGCTTGCTCCCGGTTTTATATAGAGCAGAAGAGTGACGTCATCACTTAACTCATCAGGTGCAGTGATTAGAGGCGGAGGGGGGGGTAATGTAATTATATAATCGATTAGTAATCAGTCATTGGTTATGATTAGTAATGAGTTGTAGATTAGTAATTCTTTAAATCAAAATGTAATGTGTATTATTTAATAATACGCTTCCAGGCCGCACTGAGCCGGTAGCTGTCAGAGCGATTAAAGTTATTCTTGTTCCTCTCAATTTCAATGGATTCTCTAATTAGTCTTTGCCAGTAATAATTAGTTTTACACACCACTGCAACATTGTCAAAATCAATTGAGTGTCCTTGTTGACAAGCATGTTCTGCCACTGCCGACAGTTGTGTTTGAGATAATTTAATATTTCTCTGATGTTCTTTTAGTCTTACGCTGATGTTACGTCCCGTCTGCCCAATGTAGCAGCTGCCACATGAACAATTAATCCGATATACACCTTCTGTTGATAGTTTAGGTAATGCGTCTTTAGTGCAAGATACTAGTTTTTGAATTTTGTGTACTGTACCAAATCTTACTGTAATGTTTTGCTTTTGCAAAACGCGGGCTAATTTGTCAGTTACTCCTGAGATATATGGAATTTTTATTGTTGCACTAAAGACGCATTACCTAAACTATCAACAGAAGGTGTATATCGGATTAATTGTTCATGTGGCAGCTGCTACATTGGGCAGACGGGACGTAACATCAGCGTAAGACTAAAAGAACATCAGAGAAATATTAAATTATCTCAAACACAACTGTCGGCAGTGGCAGAACATGCTTGTCAACAAGGACACTCAATTGATTTTGACAATGTTGCAGTGGTGTGTAAAACTAATTATTACTGGCAAAGACTAATTAGAGAATCCATTGAAATTGAGAGGAACAAGAATAACTTTAATCGCTCTGACAGCTACCGGCTCAGTGCGGCCTGGAAGCGTATTATTAAATAATACACATTACATTTTGATTTAAAGAATTACTAATCTACAACTCATTACTAATCATAACCAATGACTGATTACTAATCGATTATATAATTACATTACCCCCCCCTCCGCCTCTAATCACTGCACCTGATGAGTTAAGTGATGACGTCACTCTTCTGCTCTATATAAAACCGGGAGCAAGCGAGGGCTTTACCATTCTGGCGAATTGCCCGATGATGCTGGAAGTATTTACCAGCGAAACGTCGTACTCAAACTGTAAATGTGGATTAACTCTTCAACACACCGGTGGGCTGAAGTAGTGAATTATTTGTCTTTTGTCAACGTGACACTTTTCTTTGCTGATTGGCCGTGTCGGGTGGTGGAGGGTTACGACACATTTATAAATAAACGCGATCTAACCCAAAAACCTTTATTATGAATAATATTGGTCGCGAAAGCCTACGTGTTAAACTAGAATGGTGTTACAATCACCTTGGGGCTGTAGCTACGTTGAATGCTTTCGATCCACATTGTGTGGAAAGTCTCGTCAGTTATCAAAGTATCGATTCGTTAATTCAGATCCGCTCTTGCTCTCTCAAACAAGGGTGGCCAGGGTGGAGCGGTGCAGTGGTAGCTCCTGCCTCACAGCAAGAAGCTCCTGGGTTCGATTCCCGACTCGGGCGCCTTTGTGTGCCCTGTCCGGCATCTCCGTTTCCCTCCCATAGTTGCTAAACAAAACAAAAAGGAAATTACAGCGTTGCGGGAATTGGCCGAACATCCCAATGTTTGAAATGTTACCTGCAGTTTACTCGGTTTGGGATCACACGCAGCAGCAGCATTGCCCCCGACTGCGAAAATTTGGTAGTACCCTCCTGAAAAATAATCTTGACTCGGTGACGTTTTTTAATTGGTAAATAATCGTAAGTATAAAACAATAAAAAAAAATATATCGCATGTTGCTAAAAGTGGATAATATACCACACCAAGTAGGCCCCTTTATGCTGAAATAAGTGTGCTGTCGCAAGACCATTCCCGGCGACCGCGGGGATGGCAACCTGCGGCTCCGCAGGCACACTCGGCGGCTCTTCAAGCGCGGCTCCGCGACCCTGTTTATTAAGCAGCGCCACCGTCTCCTATTCACAACTGGTATTGCGGCTCTTGACACATTTAGTTTTTTTTTTACCGAATTCGAAACAAAAAAATATCTCCTTGTCACTTTGGTTGCCGATCCCTGGCCAAGGCTATGTGAACAATTCTGGGCCCTGTGTATTTTAGTTTTCGTTTGCGTTACTTCCCGCGTTCCCGCTCACGCGTGGCGTGGTGGTAAATGGCGTGTGGCTCGTCATGTTCCTTCACGCGTTCCCGGTTGGGCCACGCGATTGTGCTCGTGTTCCTGTTGTGGCTCTCAAGTTGTCTGATCGTAGCATTCAATTGTTGTTACAGAATCCTGCTTCCGCTCTACGATGCCGATTCAGGACTGCTCTTTCTGGCTGGAAAGGTAACACGCCTTTGCGTTCTATAACGTGACAAGAAATTTGTACCAATTTAATTGTATTTATAGGGGACGTGAAATGAGTGGACTAAGACAGAAGTATTTTGACGTATGCTCACACCCTTTCATGTAGGGGGGTGAGTGGTTTAGTTAAACTATACAACTAAACTATTTATATCTTACCATGTAAGGCCCACTGAGCTACACAGCTCTTTTTCAGAAGCAACCTGGCCACATGTGATGATAGCCCAACGAAGTGGCTTATCACGTGGAAATTTATAACAGCCAAATGCTCTTAGAGGACCCGGAGAAAAAACCACGCAAACACGGAGAGAACATGCAAACTCCAAATACACATCAGGCATCATCAGGGTTTGGATCGAACCCACGACCTCCTGCATACCAGGATGAGGTAGCTAACACCTCGCCATGGTGGTGAGACGTTAAGTCGGTGCCACTACAGCCCCGAGTTCGGTGTCACCAGACTAAGGGTGACGTTCTCCAGCAGAGGGGCAGAACAAGACGTGCAGAGGAAGAACGTATTTAGAACTTCTTTCGCACCGCACGTAGCCAAGCGTGCTCATCGAAGTCGTAGTTAAGGTGGCACTCATATTCTTGGTTCTTTTGGTCAAGTCACATAGATATAGAAAACTAAAATCTCTAAAGCAAAAAAGCCACGACGTTTCGATCGCAACACAAGCGGTCTTCTCCAGGTAGCCCCCCCCTCTCCACCTGAAGAAGACCGCCCGCTCCCCCCTCCCTCTCCACCTGAAGAAGACCGCCCGCTCCCCCCTCCCTCTCCACCTGAAGAAGACCGCCCCCTCCCCCCTCCCCCCCCCCTCTCCACCTGAAGAAGACCGCCCCCTCCCCCCCCCCTCTCTCCACCTGAAGAAGACCGCCCCCCCCCTCTCTCTCCACCTGAAGAAGACCGCCCCCCCCCCTCTCTCTCCACCTGAAGAAGACCGCCCCCTCCCCCCCCCTCTCTCTCCACCAGAAGAAGACCGCCCCCTCCCCTCTCTCCACCTGAAGAAGACCGCCCCCTCCCCCCCCCCTCTCTCTCCACCAGAAGAAGACCGCCCCCTCCCCTCTCTCCACCTGAAGAAGACCGCCCCCTCCCCCCCCCTCTCCACCTGAAGAAGACCGCCCCCCCGCCCCCCCCCTCTCTCCACCTGAAGAAGACCGCCCCCTCCCCTCCCCCCCCCCCTCTCTCTCCACCTGAAGAAGACCGCCCCCTCCCCCCCCCCCCTCTCTCCACCTGAAGAAGACCGCCCCCCCGCCCCCCCCCTCTCTCCACCTGAAGAAGACCGCCCCCTCCCCCCCCCCCTCTCCACCTGAAGAAGGCCGCCCCCCCCCCTCTCTCCACCTGAAGAAGGCCGCTTGTGTTGCGATCGAAACGTCGTAGCTTTTTTGCTTAAAATTTTAGTTTTCTATCTGCGTTACTTTACAGAAAGAACCAAGAATATGAATTCCTGCAGTCACGAAAGTTTTAAGTCTAAATTTAAGGTGGCACTGTTAGGTAATGGTCGCGATGTTAGTGGAGGGATACCTCCCGTGAGGAGAGGTGGGAAATGGACAATGAGTGAGGAGAAAAATTGTGTACTGATGAAATTTTAACTTATACACTTTATTTATTTGTAGTGATGTGCTGACCTTTCCTATACCTTGCACTCCTATCGTGTTTCTGTATTGTTTGTTCTTGTAACTTTCTGACCTGCCCCTACTGGACATCTGTGGAAAAAAGCTTCATAGCTCATCGGATTTCTCTAGGATAAATAAATATTCCGATTCACGTGTTCCACCACCACACTGCAGGTCACAACACTCCTCTCTCGCTCTCTCTCGGCCCCTTCGCTAGCACCGCTCCACTTTCCAATTCCTTCCCATCGCCTCTTTTTGCAAAGCTCTTCTATAATAACCCTTGCCGAGTTCAAGAAACACGTGGACTCTTATCTATTACAACTTTAGCAGTGCTGTTTGTGTGCTGGCTGCCTTACATTTTGGGCTTTTGTGTAAAGTAAAAAAAACCTGGCGTTTTTGAGTCCCTTTCCAACAAAAGGACGTGTGGCTAATGAAGCGTGCTTGTGGCACCCCTCATTCTGTCTCTCTCTCTCTCTCATTCAGGGAGACAACGTCGTGTACTGCATGGAAGTGTCCGAGTCTCAGCCCACTCTCAGCCAAGGTACACAGCATGCGTAACACTTCGGCTTGCACAGCGGGTGGCAAGTTTGTTTAAGCTTGTTTGACCAGGCGAGAAACTCAAGGGACCCGGATAGTCTTAATTTGCATAAGTGGTATACTTCTTACAATGCCAGCGGTTGGCTCTATCACAACCGCGCAGCTGAACTTTTAAGGTTCTTCGTTTAAGTCCTTCCATTTTCCTTGTGAAATTCCATTCAAGTGGCTTTTAGAATTGTGTGTTCGTGTGTGTGTGTGTGCGAGCGTTCTGCAAAGCCGCGACGTTACCTACGGTTTATTTGTCCTTGCTTACTTAACATTGGGAGAGAGAGCGATGGAGTCGCACCCCGTGTGTGCTGTCCTGTTTGTACTGTCCTGTGTGTGCTGTTCCGTGTGTGCTGTTCGTGTGTGCTGTTCGTGTGTGCTGTTCGTGTGTGCTATCCGTGCTGTTCCGTGTGTGCTGTTCGTGTGTGCTATCCGTGCTGTTCCGTGTGTGCTGTTCCGTGTGTGCTGTTCGTGTGTGCTATCCGTGCTGTTCCGTGTGTGCTGTCCTGTGTGTGCTGTTCTGTGTGCTGTTCCGTGTGTGCTGTTGCGTGTGTGCTGTTCTGTGTGTGCTATCCGTGCTGTTCTGTGTGCTGTTCCGTGTGTGCTGTTCCATGTGTGCTGTTCTGTGTGTGCTATCCGTGCTGTTCCGTGTGTGCTGTTTTGTGTGTGCTGTTCTGTGTGTGCTATCCGTGCTGTTCCGTGTGTGCTGTTCCATGTGTGCTGTTCGTGTGTGCTGTCCGTGCTGTTCCGTGTGTGCTGTCCGTGCTGTTCCGTGTGTGCTGTCCGTGCTGCCACGTGCATTAACGCTGAGGTGCCATGCAGGCGTCTCGGTTTTACCGTGACCTCAGACCCCTCGATAAAATCAAATCGATGCAGCGAACACGGGTAACTTGTTGCAACGTGAATACGTTTTGTTGAAGGGTTGAATTTTTCCTGCAGGATAAATCCGGACACATTTCACTTTCAGCCTGGATCTACCAGACTGTGCACACTTTACTGTAATAAAGTTCAATGCAAGGTCTCGCTACAAATACATGTCTGCCACCCTGACCATAGTTGCCAATTCCGGGCCCTCTGGGTCTAACCCGTCTGAGTCAGACCCGGACAGGTGGCAACCCAAGTGGGATCCTTGGACTCCTACGTTTCTTTACCTGTGAAAGCAATGAAGTGAATCCTAAAACCTCCACATCTCCTCTGCAACATCATGACCTGGAGACATGCATTGCCATGTGATTTAGTCGTATGGGCCGTAGTGTTATCACTTATCACTGAAGGTTGTTAAAATCGTTCTTTTGCACTGCTAATAATGGTAACAAAAAAATGGCTAACCGCACATTCATAACTTTTCATTTCAGTGTCTTGAAGTTACTTGTTGCTCTGTTGTCGTTGTGTGTTCATGTGTTGGGGTCCAGAGTTGGCACAGTTGGCACAGCTGGTGCATCTGCCAGTCATCTCAATCGGTCAAACCCATGGCACCTGCTGGGTCTGTCTCGCGACCTGTCAGCGAGCCTTCGACACTTCACGTGATAGCCTCAAAGCGCACCTGGCCTGACACGGGCGCTGTGGTGACGTCACCGTGACTTAGTGGCGAATGGCGGCTGTTGGTGTTGGTGCAGAGTTGGCTCACATTGCAGCCATTCGGGTTCTCTCTCCCCAAACTGCTTCGCGAGCTCCTCCGGCGAACCATCGCCGCCACGCGCACTCGCAGCCACGCACCTATCCTGGCGCGGGCAATGTACACGTGGATGCGAACTTCATTTCCGAAGGTCGTCGTTGGCGTTTGGCCAATCGATATTTAACCATTGGCACGTGCCCCCCCCCCCCACACCCCCTGCCGACCCCCCGGGGGGCAGTGTGCCAGTGCGTGACGGACGCGGTGACGCGTGGCGTGGCCCTGCTGCCCAAGCGGGCGCTGGACGTGATGGGCTGCGAGGTGGCGAGGCTGCTGCAGCTGACGAGCACAACCATCGTGCCCGTGCGGTACACGGTGCCGAGAAAGGTGACCGCGAACCTCTAGGCAGACGGCAGGGAAGTGACCTCACTTTTGATTCTGCTCGTGATTATTACCCAGGGAAGCGTCGCCCCGTTTCAACTCTTTATCGGGAGGGTCCTGCCAGGTTTTTCGCAGTAAAAGGGTGATGCTGCTGCTGCTGGTGTGATGCCAGTTGAGTAATTTGTGGGTAATTTTTGTTTAGTATTGGGATGTTTTAGCCCGATACCGGTTAAGTTATCAGAGCATGGTTATTTGCATGTTTTGCCACAAATGTGTGGTAATGCAGACTTTTGATGCCTTGCAAAAGGTTTCTCTTTGGTGTTTGAACATCTTAACACCTCCCGTTTTATTGCAGAAAGGGTAGAACCTATTCTTATTTTTCATCACCGGTTTGGTTGGATGTTTTTTATTTGTTAGCTTTGGGAGGGAAGGGAGACAACCCAGAGGAAACCCCGAACAGAAAAGCGGGGGGGAGTGAGAGAGAACTTACAAACTCCACGCAATAAAAGTGCCCGGGTTGGGTATCGAACCCAGGACCTTCTTGCTGTGAGGCACGACCGCTACCACCCAAAACATCAATTGCTGTGTGCGCAATTTTTCCCCCTCTTTCAGAACACGTTTCAGTTCCATGCAGACTTGTTTGTGGACACGGCGGGAGACGTCGCTGCCATGCTGGGCTCCGAGTGGTGGACGGGGCAGAACCGTGCGGTGAGCCAATCGTGGCGGTGAGCCAATCGTGAAGCTTTGCCATCTGGAATGCTCCGTTAGAACCACCGGCATTTGTCACAGATGGCAAACACCAATCTTCCTTCACGTTGTTCCGGAAACAAAAATTCCGACAGCCGTCCGTACATCTTGCCGTGCTCTTATCGGGCGTGGAGCTGGCATACCCACCCCGTCGGGCGCCATGCCGGCCTTCACAGTTGCTACTTCGCGAACAGCACTGGCGCCAAATAGTCGGTTAAGGCTCTACGGGGGGTCTTTGTCTTTGTTGCCTGTGTGTGCTGGTGGGAGAGCGCTAGTGTCGCGATTAGCGCACTGCGCTACGAACCCGGCAACCTGAGTTAAATTCCTGTTCACGGCCACCAACACCAGTGATGATTATCGGAACTGATCCTGGGCCTCAAATGAGTACCTCGTGCAGTGTGTAAACAACCCCACTTGGGAGACAAATGCGGCCGGGAGTGGTGCTGGCCACCCACACGCCCCCTCATGTGCCACTGTGCCAGTCTCCGTAGGTGCTGCTCCTCGCCAGCAGCACTCGCCCCAAACAGTCTGTTAAGGCTACGCGGGGGGTGGTGGTGGGGGGGGTGGCATCTTTGTATTTGCAGGTGGAGAAGGTGAGCTTAGATCCAAAAAATAGACAGGAAGGCAGGAACGCTTCGGCGATCCTGAAAGCGGCACAGCAGCCCAAGTGCAGCACGACTCCCAGCGCGCCGCACGCGGACAACGCGAAGAAGCCACTGGCGGAGAAGAGCACTGGCGGCGTCACGGAGGTGAGCGACGTTTGCATCTTTTTAAAAGTTGGAGCTGTGAACTAATGTTGATCCGTGCAGTATTCAGAATTAGATTTTTACAGTAGAGTAATCACCTCGATATGCGTATGTTCAAGCAACAAAGTTTCGCTCTAACGAAGTTATTACCGTAGTTTTGCACAGAAAGCTAAAAGATAAAGACACTCAAATGAATAAATAATGCTTTTATTGATCTGCAGTACTATATAAATACATTTATTTATGTCAGTTTTTTTTATTTTAACACCATGCAGTATAAAATGTTATTTTCACTTTTGTCTTTGTTTAAAATATGAATGGTAAGTTACGTACGGTGCGAGAGAAGTTCAGCAAAGACAAACATACGTCATACATGACTACTGAGCCTCTGTGATGACCAAGAGACCATTCTGTTCATAATTCCACACCGCCGTAGGAAGCGGTCTTTCTCGGACTAGATTCAGTGAGATTATTTTCGTGTTGAATCTGGCCGATACCCACCATGATGTTTTAAGTTCTCCGTTGGGATCTCGTCATTGCAGTGCCTCACAACCGAGGTGACTTTTATGCCTGGGAGAGGCTATGGGTGGTGTTGTATACATGACCTATGCATGTACGTATGTTGAACTTCTTTCGTGCCCTACTTGGCCAACTGTGCTGATCGGAGGCAACGGCCGACCTTGCCGTAGTCGCCCCCGTTGCTCCGTGAAGCGAACCGTCGTCTCCGTGTCTTGCAGAAGCCCGAGACCGGCGGAGAGGACAGCAGCGGCAAGCCGGCAGGGAAGGCCCGCAGCCCGGGTGGCGCGAAGCGTCCAGCAGCTTACAGCATTGTGGGTGAGGCCCGACGCACTCGCCCACCTCCGGAGGGGACGGTGGGCTGACTCAACCGGCGATCCACGATACGGACTCTTAGCCTCGCGTTTGCGAGCGGCTCGCTCCCGCCCGGAGTCAACCTGGCCGCACCTGTAACGTGGGCACTGCCGTGGCGAGATGTTAACTACCTCGCGTGGTATACAGGAGGTCATCGGTTCGATCCCGACCCTGACGATGCCTGTTGTATATTTCGTGTCTGCATGTCTCTCTCTCCCCGTGGCCGTGTGTATTTTTCTCCGGGTCCTCCAAATTTATTATCAACGTGCATTCAGGGTATTTGTCTGATATAAATTTCCACGTGTTAAACCACTTTGTTGAGCTATCATTTGTGGCCAGGTCACTTCTGATTTACCACGGTTGGCTACGTACGGTGCGAAAGAAGTTCAATGTACGTACATTCTTAAAAAGAGCAAAAAAAAAAAGGCCAGGTCGCTTCCGAAAGAGTGGGCCTCACCCGGTAAAAATAAAAAATAGTTTAGTCGTTCGTGACAAGAAACCAATGCAGCTCAGCGAGCACCGGACTGACACGGTCGGATCTTGCGGTACCCGTCGCGACACGCGCGGCAAAGACTTGCGTACATGTGGCAGCTCGTTAACGCCTTTTTTTTTGTTTTAGCCAGACACCTCGTGTGGTGGCGAGTTGCGATGATGGTATGCTCATGGCCGTGTGCTTTTCAAACACAGGTGTGACGTCCAAATTCCGTCACATGCGCGGCGTGGTGCTCCACCGCGACACTCACATCGGCAACCTGCGCAACGTGAGCCTGACGACGCCCGGGGAGTGCGATGGCATGGCAGCCAACCACCGCTTCATCGCCGTGCCCCTCGCCACCTCTGGCGGGCAACTCGCCGTGCTGCCGGTACTGCGGCAGCGCCGTCGCCTTCTCTGCACGCTTTCATTTCAATCGCACAAAAGTGAGCGCCCGTTCAAGCAAAGCCTGGCCAGCTGGATTGTCGCAAGCCGGTTTCAAAGTTCGTTCGTGTTGAACCAACACCGCTGAAATTGTGCCCTCGCAGATGGCCGCCGCGTAGCCGATGGGATGTGTAAAACACGTGCGGTTTTTTTGTGTGGAGGTACAAATATGCGGAGGAGACACGTTCCCTTATTATTGATTTGTTCGTCGAATCATTGCTAAACATGACCAAATGCTTCACTATAAATAGGCTGACAAAACGTCTCCCTCATATGTCTGTCCCTGCACAATTAAATAATCTTGAGAACCACAGTGCACAAGCGCCATGAGTTCCCACGCTTAGGCAATTGTGCTGTTGGAGGCCGAGTGTTGTTGTTAAAGCCATGATTTTGTACGAATAATTTATTTCTCACCTTACGTAGCCAACCGTGCTCACCAGAGGTGCGGGGGAAGCTCCCGTTGCTTCCTTATATCGGGCGGAAGAGCTTTCCAGACGGCCGCGAAGAATGCGGTGATCGTCTTTGTTCGATGGCGAGCCAAGAGCCGCCGCTGCTGCTGCTGCTGCTGCTGCTGCTGCTGCTGCTGCTGCTGCTGCTGCTGCTGCTGCTGCTGCTGCTGCTGCTGCTGCTGCTGCTGCTGCTGCTGCTGCTGCTGCTGCTGCTGCTGCTGCTGCTGCTGCTGCTGCTGCTGCTGCTGCTGCTGCTGCTGCTGCTGCTGCTGCTGCTGCTGCTGCTGCTGCTGCTGCTGCTGCTGCTGCTGCTGCTGCTGCTGCTGCTGCTGCTGCTGCTGCTGCTGCTGCTGCTGCTGCTGCTGCTGCTGCTGCTGCTGCTGCTGCTGCTGCTGCTGCTGCTGCTGCTGCTGCTGCTGCTGCTGCTGCTGCTGCTGCTGCTGCTGCTGCTGCTGCTGCTGCTGCTGCTGCTGCTGCTGCTGCTGCTGCTGCTGCTGCTGCTGCTGCTGCTGCTGCTGCTGCTGCTGCTGCTGCTGCTGCTGCTGCTGCTGCTGCTGCTGCTGCTGCTGCTGCTGCTGCTGCTGCTGCTGCTGCTGCTGCTGCTGCTGCTGCTGCTGCTGCTGCTGCTGCTGCTGCTGCTGCTGCTGCTGCTGCTGCTGCTGCTGCTGCTGCTGCTGCTGCTGCTGCTGCTGCTGCTGCTGCTGCTGCTGCTGCTGCTGCTGCTGCTGCTGCTGCTGCTGCTGCTGCTGCTGCTGCTGCTGCTGCTGCTGCTGCTGCTGCTGCTGCTGCTGCTGCTGCTGCTGCTGCTGCTGCTGCTGCTGCTGCTGCTGCTGCTGCTGCTGCTGCTGCTGCTGCTGCTGCTGCTGCTGCTGCTGCTGCTGCTGCTGCTGCTGCTGCTGCTGCTGCTGCTGCTGCTGCTGCTGCTGCTGCTGCTGCTGCTGCTGCTGCTGCTGCTGCTGCTGCTGCTGCTGCTGCTGCTGCTGCTGCTGCTGCTGCTGCTGCTGCTGCTGCTGCTGCTGCTGCTGCTGCTGCTGCTGCTGCTGCTGCTGCTGCTGCTGCTGCTGCTGCTGCTGCTGCTGCTGCTGCTGCTGCTGCTGCTGCTGCTGCTGCTGCTGCTGCTGCTGCTGCTGCTGCTGCTGCTGCTGCTGCTGCTGCTGCTGCTGCTGCTGCTGCTGCTGCTGCTGCTGCTGCTGCTGCTGCTGCTGCTGCTGCTGCTGCTGCTGCTGCTGCTGCTGCTGCTGCTGCTGCTGCTGCTGCTGCTGCTGCTGCTGCTGCTGCTGCTGCTGCTGCTGCTGCTGCTGCTGCTGCTGCTGCTGCTGCTGCTGCTGCTGCTGCTGCTGCTGCTGCTGCTGCTGCTGCTGCTGCTGCTGCTGCTGCTGCTGCTGCTGCTGCTGCTGCTGCTGCTGCTGCTGCTGCTGCTGCTGCTGCTGCTGCTGCTGCTGCTGCTGCTGCTGCTGCTGCTGCTGCTGCTGCTGCTGCTGCTGCTGCTGCTGCTGCTGCTGCTGCTGCTGCTGCTGCTGCTGCTGCTGCTGCTGCTGCTGCTGCTGCTGCTGCTGCTGCTGCTGCTGCTGCTGCTGCTGCTGCTGCTGCTGCTGCTGCTGCTGCTGCTGCTGCTGCTGCTGCTGCTGCTGCTGCTGCTGCTGCTGCTGCTGCTGCTGCTGCTGCTGCTGCTGCTGCTGCTGCTGCTGCTGCTGCTGCTGCTGCTGCTGCTGCTGCTGCTGCTGCTGCTGCTGCTGCTGCTGCTGCTGCTGCTGCTGCTGCTGCTGCTGCTGCTGCTGCTGCTGCTGCTGCTGCTGCTGCTGCTGCTGCTGCTGCTGCTGCTGCTGCTGCTGCTGCTGCTGCTGCTGCTGCTGCTGCTGCTGCTGCTGCTGCTGCTGCTGCTGCTGCTGCTGCTGCTGCTGCTGCTGCTGCTGCTGCTGCTGCTGCTGCTGCTGCTGCTGCTGCTGCTGCTGCTGCTGCTGCTGCTGCTGCTGCTGCTGCTGCTGCTGCTGCTGCTGCTGCTGCTGCTGCTGCTGCTGCTGCTGCTGCTGCTGCTGCTGCTGCTGCTGCTGCTGCTGCTGCTGCTGCTGCTGCTGCTGCTGCTGCTGCTGCTGCTGCTGCTGCTGCTGCTGCTGCTGCTGCTGCTGCTGCTGCTGCTGCTGCTGCTGCTGCTGCTGCTGCTGCTGCTGCTGCTGCTGCTGCTGCTGCTGCTGCTGCTGCTGCTGCTGCTGCTGCTGCTGCTGCTGCTGCTGCTGCTGCTGCTGCTGCTGCTGCTGCTGCTGCTGCTGCTGCTGCTGCTGCTGCTGCTGCTGCTGCTGCTGCTGCTGCTGCTGCTGCTGCTGCTGCTGCTGCTGCTGCTGCTGCTGCTGCTGCTGCTGCTGCTGCTGCTGCTGCTGCTGCTGCTGCTGCTGCTGCTGCTGCTGCTGCTGCTGCTGCTGCTGCTGCTGCTGCTGCTGCTGCTGCTGCTGCTGCTGCTGCTGCTGCTGCTGCTGCTGCTGCTGCTGCTGCTGCTGCTGCTGCTGCTGCTGCTGCTGCTGCTGCTGCTGCTGCTGCTGCTGCTGCTGCTGCTGCTGCTGCTGCTGCTGCTGCTGCTGCTGCTGCTGCTGCTGCTGCTGCTGCTGCTGCTGCTGCTGCTGCTGCTGCTGCTGCTGCTGCTGCTGCTGCTGCTGCTGCTGCTGCTGCTGCTGCTGCTGCTGCTGCTGCTGCTGCTGCTGCTGCTGCTGCTGCTGCTGCTGCTGCTGCTGCTGCTGCTGCTGCTGCTGCTGCTGCTGCTGCTGCTGCTGCTGCTGCTGCTGCTGCTGCTGCTGCTGCTGCTGCTGCTGCTGCTGCTGCTGCTGCTGCTGCTGCTGCTGCTGCTGCTGCTGCTGCTGCTGCTGCTGCTGCTGCTGCTGCTGCTGCTGCTGCTGCTGCTGCTGCTGCTGCTGCTGCTGCTGCTGCTGCTGCTGCTGCTGCTGCTGCTGCTGCTGCTGCTGCTGCTGCTGCTGCTGCTGCTGCTGCTGCTGCTGCTGCTGCTGCTGCTGCTGCTGCTGCTGCTGCTGCTGCTGCTGCTGCTGCTGCTGCTGCTGCTGCTGCTGCTGCTGCTGCTGCTGCTGCTGCTGCTGCTGCTGCTGCTGCTGCTGCTGCTGCTGCTGCTGCTGCTGCTGCTGCTGCTGCTGCTGCTGCTGCTGCTGCTGCTGCTGCTGCTGCTGCTGCTGCTGCTGCTGCTGCTGCTGCTGCTGCTGCTGCTGCTGCTGCTGCTGCTGCTGCTGCTGCTGCTGCTGCTGCTGCTGCTGCTGCTGCTGCTGCTGCTGCTGCTGCTGCTGCTGCTGCTGCTGCTGCTGCTGCTGCTGCTGCTGCTGCTGCTGCTGCTGCTGCTGCTGCTGCTGCTGCTGCTGCTGCGCTGCTGCTGCTGCTGCTGCTGCTGTGCTGCTGCTGCTGCTGCTGCTGCTGCTGCTGCTGCTGCTGCTGCTGCTGCTGCTGCTGCTGCTGCTGCTGCTGCTGCTGCTGCTGCTGCTGCTGCTGCTGCTGCTGCTGCTGCTGCTGCTGCTGCTGCTGCTGCTGCTGCTGCTGCTGCTGCTGCTGCTGCTGCTGCTGCTGCTGCTGCTGCTGCTGCTGCTGCTGCTGCTGCTGCTGCTGCTGCTGCTGCTGCTGCTGCTGCTGCTGCTGCTGCTGCTGCTGCTGCTGCTGCTGCTGCTGCTGCTGCTGCTGCTGCTGCTGCTGCTGCTGCTGCTGCTGCTGCTGCTGCTGCTGCTGCTGCTGCTGCTGCTGCTGCTGCTGCTGCTGCTGCTGCTGCTGCTGCTGCTGCTGCTGCTGCTGCTGCTGCTGCTGCTGCTGCTGCTGCTGCTGCTGCTGCTGCTGCTGCTGCTGCTGCTGCTGCTGCTGCTGCTGCTGCTGCTGCTGCTGCTGCTGCTGCTGCTGCTGCTGCTGCTGCTGCTGCTGCTGCTGCTGCTGCTGCTGCTGCTGCTGCTGCTGCTGCTGCTGCTGCTGCTGCTGCTGCTGCTGCTGCTGCTGCTGCTGCTGCTGCTGCTGCTGCTGCTGCTGCTGCTGCTGCTGCTGCTGCTGCTGCTGCTGCTGCTGCTGCTGCTGCTGCTGCTGCTGCTGCTGCTGCTGCTGCTGCTGCTGCTGCTGCTGCTGCTGCTGCTGCTGCTGCTGCTGCTGCTGCTGCTGCTGCTGCTGCTGCTGCTGCTGCTGCTGCTGCTGCTGCTGCTGCTGCTGCTGCTGCTGCTGCTGCTGCTGCTGCTGCTGCTGCTGCTGCTGCTGCTGCTGCTGCTGCTGCTGCTGCTGCTGCTGCTGCTGCTGCTGCTGCTGCTGCTGCTGCTGCTGCTGCTGCTGCTGCTGCTGCTGCTGCTGCTGCTGCTGCTGCTGCTGCTGCTGCTGCTGCTGCTGCTGCTGCTGCTGCTGCTGCTGCTGCTGCTGCTGCTCTGCTGCTGCTGCTGCTGCTGCTGCTGCTGCTGCTGCTGCTGCTGCTGCTGCTGCTGCTGCTGCTGCTGCTGCTGCTGCTGCTGCTGCTGCTGCTGCTGCTGCTGCTGCTGCTGCTGCTGCTGCTGCTGCTGCTGCTGCTGCTGCTGCTGCTGCTGCTGCTGCTGCTGCTGCTGCTGCTGCTGCTGCTGCTGCTGCTGCTGCTGCTGCTGCTGCTGCTGCTGCTGCTGCTGCTGCTGCTGCTGCTGCTGCTGCTGCTGCTGCTGCTGCTGCTGCTGCTGCTGCTGCTGCTGCTGCTGCTGCTGCTGCTGCTGCTGCTGCTGCTGCTGCTGCTGCTGCTGCTGCTGCTGCTGCTGCTGCTGCTGCTGCTGCTGCTGCTGCTGCTGCTGCTGCTGCTGCTGCTGCTGCTGCTGCTGCTGCTGCTGCTGCTGCTGCTGCTGCTGCTGCTGCTGCTGCTGCTGCTGCTGCTGCTGCTGCTGCTGCTGCTGCTGCTGCTGCTGCTGCTGCTGCTGCTGCTGCTGCTGCTGCTGCTGCTGCTGCTGCTGCTGCTGCTGCTGCTGCTGCTGCTGCTGCTGCTGCTGCTGCTGCTGCTGCTGCTGCTGCTGCTGCTGCTGCTGCTGCTGCTGCTGCTGCTGCTGCTGCTGCTGCTGCTGCTGCTGCTGCTGCTGCTGCTGCTGCTGCTGCTGCTGCTGCTGCTGCTGCTGCTGCTGCTGCTGCTGCTGCTGCTGCTGCTGCTGCTGCTGCTGCTGCTGCTGCTGCTGCTGCTGCTGCTGCTGCTGCTGCTGCTGCTGCTGCTGCTGCTGCTGCTGCTGCTGCTGCTGCTGCTGCTGCTGCTGCTGCTGCTGCTGCTGCTGCTGCTGCTGCTGCTGCTGCTGCTGCTGCTGCTGCTGCTGCTGCTGCTGCTGCTGCTGCTGCTGCTGCTGCTGCTGCTGCTGCTGCTGCTGCTGCTGCTGCTGCTGCTGCTGCTGCTGCTGCTGCTGCTGCTGCTGCTGCTGCTGCTGCTGCTGCTGCTGCTGCTGCTGCTGCTGCTGCTGCTGCTGCTGCTGCTGCTGCTGCTGCTGCTGCTGCTGCTGCTGCTGCTGCTGCTGCTGCTGCTGCTGCTGCTGCTGCTGCTGCTGCTGCTGCTGCTGCTGCTGCTGCTGCTGCTGCTGCTGCTGCTGCTGCTGCTGCTGCTGCTGCTGCTGCTGCTGCTGCTGCTGCTGCTGCTGCTGCTGCTGCTGCTGCTGCTGCTGCTGCTGCTGCTGCTGCTGCTGCTGCTGCTGCTGCTGCTGCTGCTGCTGCTGCTGCTGCTGCTGCTGCTGCTGCTGCTGCTGCTGCTGCTGCTGCTGCTGCTGCTGCTGCTGCTGCTGCTGCTGCTGCTGCTGCTGCTGCTGCTGCTGCTGCTGCTGCTGCTGCTGCTGCTGCTGCTGCTGCTGCTGCTGCTGCTGCTGCTGCTGCTGCTGCTGCTGCTGCTGCTGCTGCTGCTGCTGCTGCTGCTGCTGCTGCTGCTGGTGCTGCTGCTGCTGCTGCTGCTGCTGCTGCTGCTGCTGCTGCTGCTGCTGCTGCTGCTGCTGCTGCTGCTGCTGCTGCTGCTGCTGCTGCTGCTGCTGCTGCTGCTGCTGCTGCTGCTGCTGCTGCTGCTGCTGCTGCTGCTGCTGCTGCTGCTGCTGCTGCTGCTGCTGCTGCTGCTGCTGCTGCTGCTGCTGCTGCTGCTGCTGCTGCTGCTGCTGCTGCTGCTGCTGCTGCTGCTGCTGCTGCTGCTGCTGCTGCTGCTGCTGCTGCTGCTGCTGCTGCTGCTGCTGCTGCTGCTGCTGCTGCTGCTGCTGCTGCTGCTGCTGCTGCTGCTGCTGCTGCTGCTGCTGCTGCTGCTGCTGCTGCTGCTGCTGCTGCTGCTGCTGCTGCTGCTGCTGCTGCTGCTGCTGCTGCTGCTGCTGCTGCTGCTGCTGCTGCTGCTGCTGCTGCTGCTGCTGCTGCTGCTGCTGCTGCTGCTGCTGCTGCTGCTGCTGCTGCTGCTGCTGCTGCTGCTGCTGCTGCTGCTGCTGCTGCTGCTGCTGCTGCTGCTGCTGCTGCGAGGATAACCAGAGATAGGTGATGTGAAGGCTCCCTGTGTGCGCGTGGGATCTGTGTTCGTGCAGCTCTCACAGACGGGAAAGTTGCAAGACGCCGCCATTCCCACGGTGCAGAACGGCACAGCCATCGCGGACTTCTGCTGGGACCCGTTCAGCCCGTGTCGCCTGGCTGTGGGTAGGCAGCCCTTCCTCCCCCCACCCCCCCCGTACCCTCGTTTAGCGCGGTTGGCTACGTACGGTGTGAAAGACGTTCAACATACACACGTGCATTTCTTGTCTCTCCAAACAATTGCTGGCGGTCGGCTCATCCTGCCACGATGTGTTGCCCACCACAGTGCACAAACGCGCTGCCAAGTGCCAAGCGAAACCTCTGCGTGTCACGTGTGCAGCACCGCGCGCCGAGTTGTTGCCTCTGTGCGATACGTAACACGCATGGCGGGATTTGTAAAAGATGTGTAAAGGAGGCGTGTGGTATGCTCACCTGTGTGGTTGCACGTGCAGCGGGAGAGGACGGGCGAATTCGGCTCTGGATCGTCCCAGAGGAGGGTCTCAGCAGCACGCTCACCGAGCCCCGTGTGGTGCTCTCCGGTGAGCCGCTCCGCTCCATTCTACTCCGCTCTGCACCGCTATGCTCCGCTCCACTCCGCTCCGCTCCGCTCCACACCACTCCACTCCTCTCCGCTGCACACCACTCCGCCCCACTCCACACCGCTCCACACTCCACGCCGTTGCACACCACTCAGCTCCGATCTGCTCTGCTCCTCACCGCTCCATTTTACTCCGCTCCACTCCACACGCTTACATGAGCAACATCACAAGACTGCCAAGGCGACTTGAATTATTCTGTACGACAACTTCACATGCAGTTGTATTTATTATTCCCCTTGTTTACCCCAGAAGGGCTCACCGAGTCTCAAGGCTCTTTTTCAAGAGGGTCCTGCCAAATGTTCACAATATAGGGGGGCGGTCGGGCTTCGTCTCATCCCAAATGAGTCAATTTACGAGTACATTTTCAGCATTGGGATGTTAGGCCAATGCCAGTTACACTGCATGTGCAACTTTAGCTACGGCAGGAAACCGGAGAACCCAGAGGAAACCCATTCAGAGAGAGAGAGAAGATCGTACAAACTCCACACAAAGAGGCCCCAATCGGGATCGTACAAACTCCACGCAGAGAGGCCCCAATCGGGATCGTACAAATTCCATGCAGAGAGGCCCCGATCGGGATCGTACAAACTCCACGCAAAGAGGCCCGAATCGGGAATTGATGGCAAGAGCGTTACCACCGTGCAACGCTGCCGCCCCGCAACATATACTTAAATGCATAAATACTATTCATAATCTTTGAGTCTTTTGGTAAAGTCACGTAGATAGAAAAAATTATAACACGCGTTTTAGTGCATTTGGCTGCTATAAATTTCCACATGATGATAAGCCACTTCGTTGAGCTATCATTTGTGGGCAGGTTGCTTATGAACAAGAGCTACACAGCTCTGTGGGGACTTACCTGGTAAACTAAAAAGTTTAGTTTCAGTTTAGTGTTATGGCTGTACGTATGTTGAACATATTTTTGCACCTTGCGTAGCCCACCGTGCTAATCGTAGGTGGCTTTTACCCTCCCTGGTTAATCTTTAGGCCACACCGAGAAGATTTACTCCATCAAGTTTCATCCCTTGGCTGCCGACGTGCTAGCATCCTCCTCGTACGACATGAGCGTGCGCATCTGGGATCTCAAGTCCAAGAGGCAGCTCATTCAGCTGGAGGGTCACAGTGAGCAGGTAACCCACCCCAACTCGCTTGCCAGGGGAATCATCTCCCAGTCCATTGTGAGGAAACTCAAGCCGTTGAACTCCCAACGACGGAGTGACGTCCATGACAGGAATACGGGCTCGCCACCGTTGAGCCTGTAAGAACTGGAGACACGTTTCTCACAGTTCAACTGGGCCGAATATTTAACTCGCCACGGCTTCATGATTGCAGGCAAAAGCTGTTGAGATTTTAATATCGGTTTCATATCAACACCGCATGTCAGGTGACCGATGTTATTAACATTTACATAACAGACCCTAAAGCACATTTCCAGTTACTCATATGTGCTTTTTATTGTTGTATTCATTATTACTCGGCAGGTTTATTTTTTACTTCAAGCTTCATCAGTCGTTGAGCGTTGACGACCACAGACAGCTGTGTCGCGTATTCCCCATCGCCTTTAGATCCGCCTCGTTGTTTCTGGGAGGCCAAAGAGAATCCACCGACGCTACCACCGCCTGACACATTAAGTGTCTGCAGTGCTGAGGTCACTGTGACGGGGGCCACCTCTGCTTTATCGTCATAAATAAGCAGCCGAAATTCCTCCTTGTCCTCGCATCTGACTCTTGTCGATCAGACGTTCCAGACCTGAATGTAGAAACTGGCCCAGAGTTTGCTTGCGTAGAACCGATGCGGCGGAAATTTGGCTCTCCCAGATGGCTGTGCGGCCAATGGCATGTGTAAATAATACTTTTTAAAATATATAAACATACAGTCGTCCCCGCTTTTTTATGGTCTCCGGTTTACGACGATCCACATACACTGTAACCCTATTTTCCCTACAGACACTAGAAACAGTAGAAACATCACTTGCCAATGTGTTTTTCCTTTTGTTGACCGTATTTAACTGGGTTTAATAGGTTATCCACAAAGTCACTCGAGAATAACAAAAGCTTAACGCCAAGTCAAGTTCGGAAACCAAACCGACCCCGTTCAGTTGCGTTCGGGAGTCGTGTCGGAAGACACGTTCAAAAATCAAGCTTCTGCATCGGTAATTGATCCGTGGTGGCGTTATATAAACATCGTGAATGTGGATCATCATGACTCAGACCGTCGTGAACCTGAGACCGCCTGTACAGACGTATAGGGAGGGACTGAAAATGTGAAGAAGGCGTTTTATCTGCAAAGAAGTTATTTTATTGCTTCACGACCGAGTGGCTGTGAATAACGAGGCATCAACTCCAGACCAAGCGGCTCCACGTCAGTGGCGTTCATTAACGAAGCTTCCGATTCTCCGCTGGCAATGCGCCCGTTTTGTTTTTGTGACCATGTGTCTTCTGCGCGATGTGTAGAGATGGTGGGCTAATGACGGTGGTGACTGTGGATGCACTCCGTCTCATAGATCTTCTCCTTGGCCTGGAGTCCAGACGGGCAGCGGCTGGCCACGGTCAGCAAGGATGGGAAAGTGAGAATCTTCAACCCTCGTCAATCCACCAAACCGATGCAGGTGCGCTCACCTCTGATAATAATAATCACAATGTTTTATGCATGTGTATGTATGTTGAATTTCTTCAACACCGTACGTCGCCAACCATTCTAATTGGACGTGTGAGGGAAGGACAAACTAGACACAAAAAGCAGTTCTAAAGAAATTAGTGTTCAATCTAAATTATTTAAAAGTGCATAGCTCCTGTCACTTGTTAATATCGGAAGGAAGAACGTACCAGATGGCCACAGAAATGCATCTGAAAGAGTGCAATGTGGTGACTGCCTTTGTTCGATGATTAGCCAAAAGCGGCTGCGGCTGCTGCTGCTGCTGCTGCTGCTGCGAGGATGATCGCCGGAGTTTGCGCGCGATGGTGGTTTACGCTCCTGAACGAGCTCCGCAAGGTAGATAGGCAAGGTGTCTGTAAACTCCCGCGTGTGGAGTGGTCACACTCCGCCCGAGTGCCCTGCGCTCCCCCCCGTCTGTCTGGCAGGAGGGACCTGGCCCAGCCGGCAGCAGGGGCGCCAGGGTGGTCTGGGCTTTGCAGGGGACTCGGCTGCTCATCTCGGGGTTTGACAGGTAAGCGATCGGGTGGTTGGAAGCACAGAGCAAGAAGCGCCTGGGTTCGACTCTCCCCAACTCGGGCGCATTTCTGCGTGGAGTTTGTATGTACGTATGTATGTTGAACTTCTTTCGCACCATACGTAGCCAACCATGCTAATCGGAGGTGCGTGGGAAAGACAACAAACTGCACACAAAAAGCAGTTCTAAAAGAATGAGTGCTGCATGGGTTTGCTCTGGATTCTTCAGTTTCTTCTATAAAGAAAACGTCCAATGTAGCTGGTATTGACCGGACTATCCCAATACTGAAAATGTACCTGTAAATTACTTAATTGCAATTTCACTCATCAGTGCACATTACACAGTGCACTGTTGTAATGTGCCGCGACACCTACATTATTGAGGGCGATATTGGCACGTAAAATAAAGATTAATTGAATGATGGAAGTTTACCGGGACCGGCAGCTTCGGGTTTGGTTCCAACCATCCCTGGCAGGCAGTAGGCTAAGCGGTCTTCTTCTTTCGTATGGCTGACGTAGATGCAGAGCCACGACTACAATGTCACGTTCAGGTGGTCAAGCCAGATGGCCACGTCCGGAGCAGCGGAGTAGTGCATCATGGCTGTGATGCCTCCTTCGTATTTGTGGATCGGGTGTTGCGTCGTTATATGCTGTACGGTCTCTGTTCTGGAAACCCCACAGTCGCATGCCGGAGAGTTTTTCATTTTCCATTTGTGCATCGGGTATCACGCATCTACTGCCATGGTGTGTGCAGCGGATGCGGTGTAGGGTGGGCCATGAGTATTTGCCGGCTCTAAATTTCTCCACGATGATGAGCCAATTTGTTGAGCTGTCATTTGTGGCCAGGTCGCTTCTGAAAATGGAGCTACACAGCTCAGTGGGGCCTTGGCCTGGAAAAAAATAAAATAGTAGGAGTAGTCTCTCTGACAAGCCGAGCCGTAATGGAGCACCATGCGGCGTTGTCTCTCTCACAGCGGCAGCGTGCGCCAGGTGTCCCTGCATGACGCCGGCGCCCTGGCTGCCGGGCCCGTGTCCAAAGTGTCGGCCGACGTGTCGCCCTCCACGCTCATCCCCTTCTACGACCCTGACTGCCACCTCGTCTTTCTCACGGGGAAGGTATTGCCGGCCGCCTGCCCCAAAAGCCACGCAGGCGCTGGTGGTGGGTTAATGTGCAGGGAGAAGTATGTAGGTTGATGGCTTGCACGTAGAAGAATAGGGTGATGAAGCAGGCACTGGCACTATTTGGACGCACATGGAGGATGAACAGGGAAATTAAAAGTGTGTTGTTCAGAAAAATGGAAGGAACCGGAAGGAGAGGAAGTCTTAACAGATGACATCAAGAGATTAGTGCCGGGAAAAAATGTGGCCACTTCTTGAGCGAATTGGCACAAGACAGAGAGAAAAGTGGAAACAAAATGTGCAGTGGACACCTTCGGGGCTATCTGCCCATGGATAGTGATGACGATGGTGACGAGGGTGATACAGGCGACACGATGGTGACATTGCGAGCGTTGGTCACGGTGGCATAAGTAGCGATTGGTGACCGTTGACACGTTCGTGGCTGCTCCCCCCCCCCCCCCGTCGCCCTGTGCTAGGGCGACACACGCGTCTTTGTGTACGAGCTCAGCACCGAACCGCCGTACTTCCTCGAGTGCTCGGGCTACAGCTCCTCCGAGCCTCACAAGGTTGTCCCACGCCACGTTTCCCAGCACCGTGCTGCCCAGCGCAACGCTGCCCAGCACCGCGCTTTCCAGCTTGCACTTGCTCTGGGGGGAAGGGGGGGCACCGGGTTACCGAGCTCAGTCAAAATACTGTAGGTGGCGATCGCAGGAGGACCCAAAACCGCCGTGGAAAGCTTAAAAGTTTCGTCCTTTGTGAGATCCGCACTTCCGATTAACACGGTTGGCTACATACGGCGTGAAAAACGTGCAACGTACGTACGTGTACATGCAGATTGAAAACTTGTGAGCATGGCAGTAGTTTTTCCTGACCCTGACGCCTGCTGCTGTATATTTGGAGTTTTGCGTGTCTCTCGCTTTTCCCGTGGTCACGTGGATTTTTCTCCGGGTCCTCCGATTTTTCCCTCCACATTTAGAATCGGCGTTGCGTTTGAGAGTATTTGGCCGCTATAAATGTCCACGTGATGATGACGAGCCACTTCGTTGCACTATCGTCTGTGGTCAGGTTGTTTCTGAAAAAGAGCTACATAGCTCAGTAAGCCTTACCTGGTAAAATAAAAAATAGTTTAGTTTACTTTTATAATTACTAGACTATGTTTGTCTCCTCTGGAAAGCTTCACCGAGTCTCAAGAGACTTTTTCAGAAGAGTCCTGCCAGGTTTTCGCTGTAGGCGGGAGGGGCGACGACGATGTTGCTACTGCTGCTGCATGTTACATACAGACTCTTGTGATTACATTGTATAAATATGGAAACGCGGAAATATAGCCATGTCCAAAATTTGAGATCATCACACTCTCTATGTAAATGTCAATACAGTGTTGCCAAGGACTGTGATGCTTGTGTACACTCGCGTGGCAGGGCGTGGATGTGCTACGTTCTAGCTCGTTGGTTGTGTGCGGCCGCAGGGAATGGCGTTCCTGCGCAAGACGGAGTGTGACGTGCGCGACGTGGAGTTTGCGCGCGCCCTGCGTCTGGGGAACAGCACCATCGAGCCCCTGGCGTTCAGCGTGCCGCGTGTTAAGGTGAGGGAGAGAGAGAGAGAGAGCCGCCTTTTGCACTTGCCCGCGTGAAGGGGGCGGGCGAGTCTCGAGATGCAGATGGGAAGCGATTCGGCCGGTCCGCTGAAGAAGGTGGCGGCCTGCTTGTGGGCCCACGCCGTCGCTAAGTTGACCTTGTTCAGTTTACCCAGGTGAAAACCCAAGAGACAAGGAGGACAGTCTCCTTTGCAAAGGGACCCCACGTGCACCTATCTGTTGCAGGTCGACTCGGCCTCGAATGAGTACCTGACGACATGTTTAAACGTCGCTACTGGGGACACAAAGGCGGCCGGGCGGGCGTGGTGCTGGCCACCGACCCCCTCGTGCGCCGTGCCGACCTTAATGGGTGCTTACTCGCTCACAGCACTTGCCCCTACAGTATGTTAAGGCTACACGGGGGACCTTTGTCTTTGTTTCAGAGGGAGTACTTCCAGGATGACCTGTTCCCCGACACGCTGGTGTGGTGGGAGGCGGCGCTCACGGCAGACGCCTGGTTTGCCGGCACAGACGGCAAACTCAAGAAGCGCAGCTTGTGCCCCGACGATATGCTTCCACGTACGCACTACGTCTCCACAGCACACACAGCACCACGTACACACAGCACACACAACACACACAGCACCACGTATACACTACACAGCACACACAGCACCACGTATACACTACACAGCACACACAACACACACAGCACCACGTATACACTACACAGCACACACAACACCACGTATACACTACACAGCACACACAACACACACAGCACCACGTATACACTACACAGCACACACAACACATACAACACACACAGCACCACGTATACACTACACAGCACCACGTATACACTACACAACACACACAGCACCACGTATACACTACACAGCACCACGTATACACTACACAGCACCACGTATACACTACACAACACACACAGCACCACGTATACACTACACAACACACACAGCACCACGTATACACTACACAGCACACACAACACACACAGCACCATGTATACACTACACAACACACACAACACACACAGCACCACGTATACACTACACAACACACACAACACATAGAACACACACAGCACCACGTATACACTACACAGCACCATGTATACACTACACAACACACACAACACACACAGCACCACGTATACACTACACAGCACACACAACACACACAGCACCACGTATACACTACACAACACACACAGCACCACGTATACACTACACAGCACACACCACCACGTATACACTACACAACACACACAGCACCACGTATACACTACACAGCACACACAAGACATACAACACACACAGCACCACGTATACACTACACAGCACACACAACACACACAGCACCACGTATACACTACACAACACACACAACACACACAGCACCACGTATACACTACACAGCACCACGTATACACTACACAGCACACACAGCACCACGTTTACACCACACAGCACCACGTATGCACAATCGCGCACGTGCACTCGCACGGTCAATGTCACGTGAATGACAGCGCAGAGCCCAATTGGTTAAGGCTCAGTGGGTTGGTGGCATTGGTCCCTGTGGTCCCACAGTGTCGAGCGTCCCGCGAGAGGAGACGACCAGAAAGTACGCCGGTGGCAACTCCTACGCCGAGGAGAAGTCGGACCAGCAGAAGAAAGAGGAGGTGAGAACCACCCCAGGGGAGAGGGTGGCACGGCGGCACCAGTGGCAACGCTCGTGCCGCACGGCAACAAGGTGCCGGGGATCGATCCCTAACCTGGGCGCATTTCAGCGTGGGATTTTTACGTTCTCTCTACCCGCCCCCCCCCCCCCCCCCGTTCTGCTTGGGTTTGATTCATCTGGCCCCTCTCCGGTTTACGGACCGTAGCTAAAAAAAATGTAACAAAGTACAATCCAACTGCCATCTGCCAAAACATCCCAATGCTGAAAATCTGCCTACAAATGACTCGTTTGGGATTATATGTAGCAACATTGCCTCCTCCTGCTGCTACAACCTGACAGGACCCCCCTCCCTCGGAGAAGAGACTTGGTGAGGCTTTCCTGGGTAACCAAGCGTAATAGCAATGAAGCAATGTAGTTTCGCTTGCCGTTTTGTCGTCTGGGAGACGCTCTTTGAGATTTTCTGGGATGCCAGGTGCTGTTCAAGAACACTACCTCGCCTGGTACGGCAGGAGGTCGCGAGTGGTGGTTTCATAAATTCTGTCCTCGGTGTGTCCAAAAAGCTGTGCCGTTAATCTGTTTTTCCCGGTTTAATAATTTCTGGCCTCATGATACGGGAAAGGATGTGGCGAGATGTTAACTACCTCGCTTGGTACGCAGGAGGTCATGGCCCTGATCCTGACCCTGATGCCTGCTGCTGTATATTTTGAGTTTTCACGTCTCTCCCCGTGGTCGCGTAGATTTCTCTCTAGGTCCTCCAGTTTTTCCCTCCACATTTAGAATCAACATCACGCATTTCATAATATTTGTCTGCTATAAATGTCCACACGATGAAAAGCCACTTCGTTGAGCTATCATTTGTGATTTGCCAGGTCGCTTCCGAAAAAGAGCTATATAGCTCAGTGGGACCCTTACCTGGTACAATATAAAAGTTAATAGTTCATACAATGATGGTGATGTGCTTGCATCTCCCTTCCTGCCTCAGCTGCTGAATGCCATGGTCTCGAAGCTCTCCTCGCGGGATGATCCTCTACCTCAAGACGAGATGGAGGGAGTGGATGACGATGAATGGGTAAGCTGATCAATGACATTGCTACGTGTCCCAAGAAGAAGCAAGGCTACAGCTTGAAAATTAACTTGCTACATTACTTCATTTCCTATAACACAGCAAACACAAAATATATACATTGTTCTATTTTATTATATGTTTAATCGTAAAGGTCTTTCGTGATTGCTTGGTAGCTTAGATTAACAACTTTGCTGCAACATCGTGCTGGATTAAATTGTTCAATGCCTAGGCGATGCATCCTCTGTTTTTGTAACATTTGCTCCACAATGACACGTTCGCGTCCGAGTGCTGTGGCATTATTACATTGTTATTCTCTTGTCACGGGCTATCTCTTCGGTGCTGCCGAGCTAACCGGTGCGCGTCTGTGCGCGTCTGTGTGCATCTCTGCGCGTGTGTATGCGTCTGTGTGTGCCTGTCTGCGTCTGCATGCGGCAGGATGATTGACGCTCACGTTGGAGCTGCTGGGTCACAGCCCAGGCCAGCGTGCCCGGCTAGTGACGCCGTCCAGGCGGAGGGCGTCAGGATGTGTCTGGTGGTGGTGGTGATCCAGGAGCACCGTGAATACAGGGTGCTTTGTACGACCTCTTGCTTTTTCTTGCACACGATTCGGAGTGTGTGGTATTTTCCAAAATAACTGATCACCGTGTTGACCACAGTAGATATTGGCCTTTGAAAACCTACATTTTTTATGAATTACCTGAAATCAATAGGTAAATAAGGTATTCAATACTCGTTGGTTATTTCGGTAAAGTCACGTAGATATAAAAGAACCAAAGAGAGTGGATTCCTGCAGTCACGAAAGCTTCAAATCAAGGTATTAAATACATGAAAATTATCATAACACAAAAAAATGTAGAAAGAACCAAGAATACAAAAAAATGTGTTATAATAAAAGAAAGTACAAAGTATTAAATAATAGTTTATAAATTAACTTGAGCACATCACTTTATCTCTCATCACTTAATCTCGATTCGCAGATAGCCAACATCGGGGATACCAAGTTCGTGCCGTACTTCACTTGAAATGCACGCGAGTTTGTAAAACTTTGATGATTGTAATCCATGTCCACTAACCCGCATTGACCAGCTTGGTGAAGTTTGGCAGAGAGGGCCCCATGTCCAAAACAATGTACGGAGGCCTTCATCCAACAGTGGATTGATAAAGGACTGAAAATTATTGCTTTAACTAATTCTTTTTATATAAATGTAGCTTTACTTAGCCTAAAATACATGCTTTGAATTATCAAACTAAACAAAAACATAACTTGAACAGTTAAAATACTTGTGTAAGTTCTAATGTTGTAAACCTTTGTCAGATGACCGTTTTTTAAAGGCGCTTAAGAACGATCAAGTTGGGACTCTTAACGGACCATGCGTTTGCCTGACACCCCCAATGCATGCTAAGGTGGTGTGTGACCCTTAGATTAAGGGGTGATCTTAAAATTTTACTCAGAATGCATTTTTTTTCCATTTTCGTTGACGAATTAAATTCTTTGGCAAGCTCAAAATGATGGGACCATTTAAAATAAATAAAATACTGTTTGTAGAACATGGGAATGAAGTTCGACTCAAGCAGCACACGTCGTGTGTATGGAAATAATAGCGGGCATTAAACGTGAAGGGGCACCGCAGTGGCGAGAAAAGTGAATGCAAATATTTAAAATAACCAAATATAAACCAGAGCAAATACAAATGAAAGCAAAACCAACCATGAGGTCACTCACTCACCCACAAGAACATTGACCCTCGAGGTTACTCAGCAACTCACTTGGCCAACCAGGCACCCAATAAGCCACGAGCTACGAGGCCACTCGCCCACTCGGCAATTCAGCCCCCCATCAGATCATTCAGCTACCAACCAGTGCACCCACTCACCAACCAAGCCACCCAGCCACCCACGAGGTCACACGGCCTGCCACGAGGCCAGGGGTCAGCAACCTGCATCTCCAGAGCCGCTTGCGGCTCTTTAAGGACAGCTTTGTGACATTTAGTAAGGACCACCATATCGTATTCACACGCATTGTGGCTCTTTAAAGAGGGTTTTTTTTCCGAATTCAAAAAAATGGCTTGTTATTTTGGTAGCCAACCCCTGCACTAGGCCAACCAGCCAACTACTAGGCCAGCCACTCGGTCACAAGGTCATTCACCCACGAAGCCACCCACTAGATCAAGGTCATTCACCCACGAAGCCACCCAGCCACCCACTAGATCAAGGTCATTCACCCACGAAGCCACCCACTAGATCAAGGTCATTCACCCACGAAGCCACCCACTAGATTAAGGTCATTCACCCACGAAGCCACCCACTAGATCAAGGTCATTCACCCACGAAGCCACCCATTAGATCAAGGTCATTCATCCACTAAGCCACCCACGAGATCAAGGTCATTCACCCACTAGGCCATAAGGCCATTCACCCACGAAGCCACCCAGCCACCCACTAGGTCACAAGGTCATTTATCCACAAAGCCACCCACTAGATCAAGGTCATTCACCCACTAGGTCAAAAGGCCATTCATCCACGAAGCCACTAGATCATCCACCTACGAGGTCACAAGGCCATTCAACCACTAGGCCACAAGGCCATTCACCCACTAAGCCACCCACTAGATCAAGGCCATTCAACCACTAGGCCAGAGAGCCATTCACCCACGAGGCCATTCATCCACCCACAAGGCCACGCATGTGGCAGGCAGGCAGGCGAGGCAGGTCCCATACCGGCAGGTCTCGGCACACGCCAAGCAAGGTGCAGTGAGAGTGTCACCAAGCTGGCAGGGTTCGAAGGACTTGGGTATGGTATTGGTGGTGGGTTGAGGTGGCTGCAACGCCGACACTGCCGAGATCCACCGTCACCGTGACACTTCCGAGGTATTGACATTGATACGAACACCGTGCTGAGATCGTGGTGGGTTTAACGACACATTTATATTTACGCGATCTAACCCCGATAAATCACCATGTGTTCTAGATAGTGCATTGCCCTTGTACTGGCCTGACACTGCTAGTCTAGGCCACGAACAAGGCTGCCGTTTCTGGTGCAGGCCAGATATTTTCAGAGCGTATTTGTGTTTGCATGTTCACCACAAAGTGCTGTGTGTGCTTAATACAGACTGATTCCTTGCAAAAGATGTATATTTGGTGTTTGAACATCTTAACACAACAACTATTGCATAGCCACAAAGGGGTAACACATTCCTATTGTTTCTAGCACGACCAAACAATTTGCTGCAAGCCCGTTTTAGAAGAGCATTCGAAGTAGCCCTCTAACACTTTAAACGTTTTCCCTTTTTTTACATTTAAAAACTTAATTTGTGACATTGTTAAGCAAAGACATAAAACCACTTTTTTGGATGTAAAAAATAAAAGCACGGAATCTTAAACAGCAAATGTTTGTGCTGTTTTGCTTCACCTTCTAACCTATAGCAGGTCCCTGCAGGGTGGGCTGGTAGGAACATTGGAATTTTGCGCAATTTTATGACATTGTTACGCATTCCTGTTACGTGACTTCCAAATGTTGGGTGCAATAAGACATATCAAGTCTCTGCGCTGTCTATTGCTGATTTTACACCCAACAGCACGAGATTTCACTTCGTTAAAGTATTGAAAGGGGACGGACGGACACATTAATCTATTGCAGGCTGGTACACTCAGTTTACAACTTCGTTCCGTAAAAGGCATTTTTGTCTGTCTGTCCATCTGTCTGCGTACGCTCGCTTGCGGGGGATTTGGCTCTCGGACCGTGGGGTTCACGTCGAAAAAAAATTGCCGGGCGGCACGCCCCGGGCCCCGCGGTGGGTATAGACTATTTCGTTCTCCCATCCCTAAACTCTAAAGTGGTTTAATTAACGATTGAGTGCGATTCTTATTTATTTATTTACTTTTGCCACCCGGCTCGCTGCTGCGCATGCGCGAAACGCTGACGCGAGTTGTTGCCCCTGGCAACACACGCCGGAGGCTGGCGGCCATTTCTCATTCGCGTTCAAAATGTGAAAAAATGTACACGCAACGCGGAGGTAAATTCATCAAAGTGTCACGTCCTCTTCTCTCCCCCTCCACCCCAATGTGTGCACTTACTATTATAGGCTCGGTAGATACTAAAATTATAGCGATTAAATAGTATTATTATAGCGATTAAATATTATTGTAGCGCGGAGGGGGGGTGGAGGTGTTGCGGCCCAGCCCCCAGCCTCGGCCGGCCGGGCAATCTAGGCGAGGCCGGGGGCTCTGCACGGGACTAGGCCACATCACAGCACTCTGCCACGTGAGTACTTTGTGCTATAGAGTCGATATATAATGCTAGTAGCGGGAAAATATATATTTTAAAACGTCTGAAAACTTAAAAACATAACTTACAAATACAAATATATAACTCGGTAATTAAATATTAAACCCGAGCGCGCCAAGAATCGATTCTTTAAATCGAGTATAGGGATCGAAGATTGTAGATTCCTTTAGAATCGCCCTATTCCCGTTTTCAAAACTTGCTTGCATGTCGCCAAGTATTAACATTTCGAACAGACACACATTCATTCACAAATTTACCTTTTACATTTAAGATACATAACGTCAGCATGTACTGCTGTCTTCATAGCAGGTGCCACCACAGTCAGTATGTAATGCTGTCTTCATAGCAGGTACAACCACAGTATGTAATGCTGTCTTCATAGCAGGTACCACCACCACAGTATGTACTTCTGTCATCATAGCAGGTACCACCACACTCGGTATGTACTTCTGTCATCATAGCAGGTACCACCACACTCGGAATGTACTTCTGTCATCATAGCAGGATACCACCACAGCAGTTTCCACTGCTGTAGTGAAAGCAGGTCCCACCACAGTCAGTATGCACTGCTGTAATCATAGCAGGTCCCACCACAGTCAGTATGCACTGCTGTAGCCATAGCAGGTACCACCACAGTAAGTATGCACTGCTGTAATCATAGCAGGTACCACCACAGTAAGTATGCACTGCTGTAGCCATAGTAGGTACCACCACAATATGCACTGCTGTAATCATAGGTACCACCACAGCAGTATGCACTGCTGTAATAGCAGGTACCACCACAGTCAGTATGCACTGCTGTAATCATGCTGATGTTGGTCTTTAAGTTCATGCAGCTGCTGCAGCAGCAGGTCGCGCCTGTGCTGTGACGCCGCCTCCTGCGTGTACCACGCGCACCAATCCACCTGACCTAGTCCTTGAACGGCCACGGTGCCGTCGTAATCGCACACCGGGTGCACGATGTTGAGGAGGGCGTAGACGCCGCAGTCGGAGCCGTTCGGTTGCTGCGGCCCACAAGCACCGTGGCGATCGCCACCGGCGTGCTCGCCAGTTCGGCGCGCACGACCCGGGCCACCACCGCGTTGGCGAAGGCCGCGATGCTCTTGGCGTTCCGCGACTGCCACCGCGCAGCCATTGGAGTCGAACAGCATGGCAGTCGACCTTGGTGGGCACGTGGCGTTGACGATGACCAAGATCTGCCAGTGCAGCTGCTCGTGGATCGGTATGATCCACACCAGCCTGGAAGACGCTCCATCGAAGACGCGATTCAAGTCGTCGAGATGGCCCGCCAAGAACTTCGTGTACAGGAACGTGTTGAACAGGTGGACGTCTGCCGCTCGCGGCAGGCAGTAGAACTGCCTGAACAGGTTGATGATGGTGTCGTTCAACCACTGGCCAGGTTGTAAGCAGCGGAAGTCGTTCGGGAACAGCCTTCCGTACCCCGGAACGAAGAAGACGTCGACCGAGACGGGGGGGCGGACGACGTGGAGTGACGGCCGGGCGGAGGCGGGCTTGGTCGCCGCTTCACCGCCACAGCAGACTCTTGCAGCGTCGGAGCTGGCTCCTCCGGCCACGACCGTTTCCTGCGCAGGACGAGCGGATCGGGCGTCTGGGGCGCGGCACCGCGTCGGGCAGCCAACGCGACGCGCGCGTGCTCCAGTCGGACACCAGGCTCTTCGGGCGCCTCGTCCCTTATTGGGCGCCCGCCACCGTACTGTGGCCAGACTGCGAACATCCTCACTATGTCCACACCGCCGATGGTTGCACTGAACGTCGGCGATCGCGACAGAAAACTTTTGCAGTCAAGCAAACTGCAATATGCCAAGACAGTCACTGAACTGCGCAGAGTGCACGACAGACAGACAGACAAATAATCCCTGGTGGGCAGTGTGGAACCTGTTGTTCCTACCTGTAAAATGTGTGTAAATGTACGCAATCTCCACACAACTTTTAAGTACTATGGTTAGGAATGTTTGGAGATGTACCATGGTTTATATGGTATTTTATTGGTGTAAGCAGCGCATGCCAAATCCGAAACCAAGTCTTGCTCACGGGCTCTAAATATGATTTGCGTACGGAGGATATCATACTTTGTTCAAGCTAAAAACAACACTCACCAAATACGGATAAAAATTAGTGCCGAAACTCTGCGGATGGAATTCCGGATATGCACGACAGACAAATAATCCCTGGTGGGCAGCGTGGAATCTGTTGGTCCTACCTGTATGATCGGCACCGTGTGGTGAGATGTTTACTACCTCGCCTGGTATAAAAGGTGGTCAGGGGTTCAATCCCAACCCTGACGCCTGCTGTATATTTGGAGTTTGCATCTCTTTCCATGGTCGCGTGGATTTTTATCTGGGTCCTCCAGGTTTTCCCTCCACATTTAGAAGCAACATCACGCGTTTACATTATTTGGATGCTATACATTTCCACGTGATAAGCCACTTCGTTGAGCAATCATTTGTGGCCAGGTTTCTTCTGAAAAAAGAGCTATATAGCTCAGTGGGCCTTACTTGGTAAAATGATTTTTTTATATATAGTTTAGTTTAAAGTACAGACTCCACCACTGATGAGTCAATTAAAATCACCGCAAAAGTTATAATTCTCATATCATAGAAAACATTTTGTGTCACTTTATGCATTTCCCCATGTGTGTATTTGGGCTTTGTGTGTTTGCACATTTTTTGTATTTCTTAGTGATTTTCTTTAATGAAAATGTGTGTATATTTGGCCATTAAATGTTAATGTTCAGGAAGAATTTCTTGGGTTTCACATTCGACTCGCGCGAGATGTCAGCATCGCAAGCGTGCCACTAGAGGGCATTTTTCGTTCTTCGCACAAGCAGAGCGAAGGTCAAGTGACGAGCCAGTTTAATTAAACTGTCCTTTTTTTTACAAAGAATGAAACGAAAGATTATCTTTGGAAAATACTTTAATATTCTGATATGCTACATTCAACCAACAAGTGTTTATACAATATCTTCTTTAAAATGATCTTATGTACAGTGAAGGCTACAAAAGAGCATCTGCACCCAATAATGTAGTACAGTTCATGCCAGTACATGCAGTGGCATTGTTGAACCTACAGTATATATTACAACCCCTCGATTAAACAAGGGGAAAACAGACCATAGTATTGACCTACCACCATGTGACAAAGTACTCCGATGTTGAATTCAAATGACCCAATGAATCACAGCATGGGACACAAAGGAAAAATCTGCAGGTGCTTTAGACACAACGACATAAAGGTACCATCTGTATGTACATACACAATAAATATAAATACCTTCTTGGTAAAAAATATTTTAAAGTCAGCAGTAAGTTTTACTGTGAATGCATGCACACAAAATACTGAGGTTTGAGGTACAATGAGTTTTGAAACGTACTGGATATAAAGAATACAGCATAGAATACAGTACCAATATATAGAGTGAAGTCTACGCATGAGTAGAAAAATAAACTAAATTATCAAAATGCATGCAGTAGAGGCTCCACGGTATATATTTTTTAATCAAAATAACTCCGGAACCACCGGCACTGCTGTAAATCTGTGATTTTTTTTACAATATATAATCTTTTAAATACAAAATACACAATTTAGTAAACAAATAGTGTCTTATTGGTTCCCTTATTACCCCCAAAACATGCTACATCAGGCCAGTGGATAATCCAAACCAAGAATAAGATGCCATACAAAATAACAACAGCAACAAGAGGATATCTCAATAGTTCATGAAGGTGAATTGTTTCTTCCAGCCTCGCCAGTGCACAAGGTGATGACGGGTTCAAGTTCAATACTGCTTTGCTGCTCTACGCATCCTCCGCGATTGCGGATATACAAGGTCCACGGCGGTTACCAATCGCTATTCGATTCGCTCCACCTTCCCATTGATCTTCTCCTCGTATATCGGAAGAATCGCGTCGTCGTCTTGCACCTCTTCGTAGACAACGCCACAGTCGAAGTCCTCGCTGGCCTTCTTGAAGTAGTATCTGCAAACAACAAAAATGACACGCGCCGCTTAATAGAGGTTCACAACCCGCACTCGGTCGTTAAACTCGGTTTGCCGAACGAATACAAATGATAAGGTCGCGCTTGTTACACACAAAGTGCTCGTCACAAATGAACCACGCTACCTCGCTTATCTCGTCAAGGAGCAATAAACCATCCTAGCAGCAGCAGCGGATTGTGGCCATCGAACAAAGATGGCCACCGCATCGCGCACTTTCAGATGCGCTTCCGTGGCTGTCTGGAACGCTCTTCCTTCCTATGTTAGGGAAGCCACTGGAGCTATGTACTTCAAAATCTAAATTGAAAACGTATTGTTTGTGTTTGGGTTGTTATTCTTCCTCCACACCTCCAATTAGCAGGGTTGGCTACGTACAGTGCAAAATAAGTTCAACATAACAGACATAAATGAGCAAGAATGACCAAAGACATTTTTTTAAGTACATTAATTCATGCCCAATGGCATTTTAAGATTGGTATGGAGGAAATTTGTGTGATATTTTATTTTTGACATGCGAGTAGCTTCACGAATGTCCGAAGTTTTCAACATTTTACGCTAACTTGGTAAACCCTCACCCACCTAAAACCTTATATTTAGTCTACCGTAAAAGATCAGAGCCACACAGGCCAACATGATGCTTGAGACGTTAGGGTACAGTGCTAGATAGCGAGCCAACGCTCTGAAAATAAGCGAGTAGGAGGGGGACAGAAAAAAAACTTAAAAAGAACCATTAAGGGAAAACAAGTTTGACAAATGTAAACAGAATAAGCCTTGCACTGCAGGGCCCTTAAGGGGTTCAATATAAACAATAATGAATAGTGTTGGAGACTGAGCCAAGTTCCCCGAGTAAAGTATGTCACGTATGCCAGCATATCTGAATTTGGCAGTCAGTAATTTCTTCGGCCAGAGGTGAACAAATGTCCTGTTCAGTTCTTAGAGGCTGCAAAGGAAGCGATTCATCCTTGCCCATGACTTGAAATGGGAAGACTCTTGACCCAACGACTCTGATAAAAAAAAAGTTTCTTGGACATTTAGCTTATTGGGCAAACAGTACAATCTTGTTGCTGTACAGGCAGAATCTGCATCGTGTTTAACAGTATTCTGAGCATGTCAAATGTTCCTAAAAAAAAGGGAACTATACCTGGCTATCCTTGGGCCTACACTGGCATGCGAGGACGATTTTTCGCAAGGACATTAACAAGAAATAATTTGCGCAACGTAGCTGATCACGAGCAACACACACACACATAGGTGCCAACACCGCGAAGCATACTTAACTCCAACCACTACGTATGTGCCCCGTTACAAGAGACGATCTGAGAAACTGCCAAAGATCACACGTTTGATGCCAACCGATACAAAAAATAAACAGACGTATATGTTTTTCAAGCTTAAAATGAGATTAGTTTGCCGAAACTAATTGCAAATTGGAGAAGCTTAGAATAGTGTGATGTTACCTCTTACTTCCTCCTATAGCTTAGATGGCTAAAACCAGGTCATCTACATTTTACACTTTATGCCATTACAAACAATGAGTCTGCAAGGCCTGATTAGTGTAGAACTAACAAGGCAGAGTTGATAATACACGACCCCACCCAAAGATCCCCGTATAGCCTTAACAGACTGTTGGGGCAAGTGCTGTGAGCGAGCACCTATCAAGGCTGGCACGGCACATGATGGGGTGGATGACCAGCACCACACCCAGCCGCCTTTGTCTCCCAAGTGGCGACATTTTCCCCTTGCACCAGGTACTCATTTGAGCCCGAGTCGACCTAGGGGAGGCTCGGGGCCAGTTCAGATAATCGTTACAGCCTTGAGCGGAAATCGAACACGGGTCGCCGGGTTCATAGCACAGCGCGCTAAACCGCTGCACTACCGCTCCCCCACCACCCCACCTACACACACAGACACCCACCCATTCTCAGGACTAACAGGATATTTCCTCATAGGGAGTGAACAAACCAAAAAGAGAGCAGCCAAGTTAATGTACAGGGCCTGATCTTCTTCAGTGTGCGAGTCATTCAGCTACGGCTAATGAGCCAAACGAGAATGAAGAGAGGCACACAGTGCAACAAGCAGATATTAAAGGGGTCCTCTGATCCTTAGGCACCTGTCAACGTCAACCTCTTATTAACGTGCCTTGCATTCCTTCCCGCCACTGCCAATAATGGTTCCTCTTTACTGGGCGCCTCATTGCCCAATGACAGAGTGGCTACGGAGCAAGTGAGCGCCACCATCACCACCGCTGCTTCCTGCATTCTCTTGCACCAAGCAGCAGGGTATAGTTAACCGGCCCTCTCTTGGAGAAAGAAAAAATGAAATGTCTCGACACAGACAACTCTAAAATATATATTTTTTCCTCCCTTCCGTCGTGTTTAATACTAAAGTATGTTTAAACAGGAAGCGGTGGTTCTGTACGATGCAAAAAAAAAAGACAAAGTAACGGTAAACTTTCATCAATCATTACAGCAAATATGCAAATTGGCTTGATAGGGCAGCAGCTTGATAGGGCAGCAGCTTGATAGGGCAGCAGCTTGATAGGCTATCTTGAGAAGGTAACTTGATAATTATATCACGGTTTGCAAAATGCTTCCATAAGCTTCTGCAGCAGTGAAAGTGTTACACATCACTGCTCAACAATTCACGGCTTACCAAGCTCTCATGGCTCTTTTAACCGGCGACATTCTGCTTATAACACGATGCTTCTTGGTTATATATCTCGAACACGATAACTCACGTTTCCTCCAGAGCAAGGCTTATTTTACACGAACCTCTCCAATATCTACACATCGTATTTTAATACAGCTGGCGGCGTAAGTTCCTTCTCCCAGCGCTCCATTTTCTCTCGAAATCAATTACAACTCCGGTTCCTAAACTGAAAACCCACTTTCTACATTGAACACTAATTTCTTTAGAACTGCGTGTTGTTGTGTTTAGTGTTGCTGTACTTCAAACGTACCTTCGATTAGCACGGTTGGCCACGTACGGTGTGAAAGAAACTCAACGTACATACATTTAGACCTAAACTTTGCCTTTAACTTCCTCAATAGTTTTTAACAATACTGGATCTTTAACGTGAATTAAAACCAAAGGCGGAACACTGGGGAAATCTTACGAGGGGCAAGACGCATTGTGTGCCGTAAGGCTGCACTCGCATTCTTCAGCGCTGATAGTGCTAGTTAACGGTTAACCTTGCCCTAACGAGGGAGACTGCACAGGGACATCTGGCTCCAATATTGTAATGACAAAAACATTGGTAGTACATTTTTTCTGGTGACTGTCAATAAAGATTGAATTTAACAAAGGCAGCATTCTACAGTTTTCTAAGATAATCCGTTTTAACTAGCCTTGTACCCAAGCTTGCCCACGCATGTGAATAAAGCGACGTACTCCAAAGAGGGTACCAACATTTGCCTTGGTGCCAATTAAATGAAAGGCGAATAAAAAATAAAATATCAATCGCTTTGAGAGTTTTGTAGTTTTTTTTGCCGTGTGGTTTCTCCTTTGCTTCAGCTGTTTCCAGTTCCTACAACTGTCTCACTCTTTTTGTCTCAATTTCACCCTGAATGATTCAAGATGAGCTTTGGGCCAGCTTTCAAAGAGACGGCGAACATTGGGAAAAAATAGCCATGCAGCTCTTGCTAATTGCAAACAGCTGCATCGAAAACGTGTTTCATCTGTGGTACCAGACTCCTGGAGGTCCAATGGCTAAGTCGAGGAATGTTTCAATGCGAGCCCAAAACATTCAACGCAATATGCCATGATCGCTTCCAGAGAAAAGTGGGGGGGGGGGGGGGGGTGGGAGGAAAAAAACACAAACCCCAAAGCTGGCCCCACATTTGAAACTCAATTAAATTATTACACTTTCATTTTCAACAGCAGCAACAACAAAAAACCCGCACCGCCATGAATCTCTTCATTACAGAACTGCATTCTTCATTCGTTGATTCGGTCGAGCTGCCCTCCGAATGCCGTGGGTACAATTAACATTCTCACAGCAACATTCGGGTTTTATATATATAGATAGATAAAGCGGTGGAGTTTTTGTTATTTAGTATCATTGTTATTGTTTTTTGTTTCTATGAAAACTGCGACGTAAAAGAGGTTTTCCAACAATACACATTGATGCCCCACCGGCTTCACATCTGCATTGCATTTTCCTATTGATGCATAGACAGAAAGTCGCCAGCTATTAAACCAGTAAACAAGGCACGGCTACGGACTTGCCCGCTGCGATAAATCACATTCTACACACACACAAAAAAACGTATGATCGGAGGAGCAAGTTTTTTGTTCTAAACGTTTGCAGGCCGTATGAACATTTGAAGGTTGCGTAATAAAGGCGTGGGAGCTCTGCAGTCCGTGGTCCGTATTTCTAAGCCCAACACAAGTGCCATTCTGCGCATCTGAAAAAAGCACGAATTGTAGATTTTTACTTTTACCAAGACCAGGCAAAAAAGGTAGTGGGGGCGGGGGGCTACTTCTGGTCGCTTTGGGCCGGAGAAGCTTTGAAAAAAAGCAAATAAAAATATTTGCCAAGCTACTATTATTTTGTCACGTGTGGGACCCACTTCTACCTCCAACACCCCCCCCCCCATCCAGCACTCAGCAAGCCGGTACCAGCCCCGACGACTTCAAAAGGCCAAGGGGGGGGAGGATTCTCCCTCTGGCAGTGGCACAAGAGGCGCGAGAGGGCAAGCATGGCTGAACCCTCCAACCCCCCATGGGACCTGGTCAAACACGCTGGGCAAATACAGCTCTAACCCCTGACCCCCCTTCAAGGGTTGCAGAGTGCTCAGGATCTGGGATAAGGGCGGGAGAAGCGAGATGATAACCCTGCTGACATTACCATGCTCTCGGACAACCGTAAAACAATCTCAATACAAGTATTCCAATAATCGCTCTCATGTCTTTTACAACGTCCCACAGTTATACCATCTAGTCGAGCAGGCTTTCCAGTCTTTCATACTGTGAAGGGCAGAACATTCTTCTCCAAGTGTGGCATCTGCAACATCCTATTCAATTGCTAAACTGTTTTAAAGTTGGGAATTTTGGATTTGTTTTGCTAGAGATATCGGCATAAAATTCCTCCGCTGATGTTAAGGCATTCTCTCGTGTTCTTCTTCCATCTTTCTCCCCAAGGGATACTGCTTTGGGACTTACCGATCAACAGCTGTGCTGCCTTCGCGCTTCCACTGCTTGCTATGATGTCAATCAAGTGTTGTGTTTTCTGATTTCTTTTCTAATACTTTGCCTACCCTTTGACAGAGTATAATCTCCTATTTTACAGAGTAGAATCTCCTATTTTACAGAGTATAATCTCCTATTTTACAGAGTATAATCTCCTATTTTACAGAGTATAATCTCCTATTTAGCACCTGAACGTATTCTACATATCTCCTCTTCCTCAACATGACTTCTGCTGTTTCAGACAATTTGTCATTTGGTTATTAACCTTTCCCCAAATATAATGCACTAATGATTGCTGTGCTATTTCTAGCATTATTTATGATTGCATCAATTATTTTGGACACACGATCCTTATGGAGGTACCCCGGGGTACCAAATAATACAAAATGGCCGAGGCAATTAAATACTTTATTTCTGGGACACTATTTTTTCTAGAGGTGTACTTCACTCCGCGACTGGGGTACCAATCAATCCGACATCAGTGCTACTCCGCCATGTCGAAACACAGCAAGGACGATTGTGCTGAAACCCCGAACGCTTGTACGCACCGCAGTGCATCGTGAGTACAGCTCGTCGAGATGAGTCGATTGCCGCATCGCTGACCATCAACAGACTAATAAAAATGACCACATCACGGACAATGTGCAAGAGTCGGGGTACTATGGTACCCCAGGGTACCGCCATAAGCTTCACATTTACTCAATGTTTAAAGAAAAATAAAATACCGAATCTAATTTAATATTTATGGAATGATGCCTCAATCATTATTTTCGGAAAAATGTGATAACTCACTTGCACAATTACGAGCTCATTAGGCTGTTATCATACGTATACAAACGGTTCGATACGATCACTGGGAAGACAAGAACAGGACACGGATAAGGCAAACATTACCATGAGCAAGCTGGGTTTCAGGAAAGGTTTTTCTACCATTGAAGAAATTCTCCAAATCCGGTTGTGGAAAAGACAAATGAATCTCCTAAATATGTCGAGCCTTTATAGGTTATGGAAAGGCATTCTAACTCGGTGGAAATTAATGCAGTAGTGCAACTTCTCACAAATGCAAACTCTCTGAAAAAACATTCTTAGAAATGATTTCAAAAGTTAGCCACACTGAGAGGACATGAAGTTACAAAATATAAAATCTGGAGCCAAATAAGAAGATACTCCCGGCAAGGTTATTCTCAGCGGCATTACAACTTGTTTTCTGAATAATTGATTGGGGATAAACAGGATTTTGCACATGAATTGAACAACATCCTAACAGTTCAATATTTGCTCAAGGCAGTCATTAAAAATAACCAATGAAATTCGAGCAAAGGAAATTATTGACCAACTTAATGAAGAAGGTTTGGAGATTCATATTCTTGGTCACGTAGAAGGGAAACAATAAAATAATAAAAATATAAACAATAAATCAAAAGGTTTGGAGAGTTGCCCTCAAGATAATGAGCTAAACCCAATTCAAGAGCAACAAGTTTGCTAAACAACTGCAGACATCTGCTCATGGTGCACAGCTGGAAAACATATCTGGAGTACCAAAGACAGTTAAACTATAAACTAAACGATTTAAAAAAATACGTTACCAGGTAAGAAGGCCCACTGAGCTATGTAGCTCTTTTTCAGAAGCAACCTGGCTATCGCAAGTGATAGCTCAAAAAAGTGGCTTATCATCACGTGGAAATGTATAGCAGTCAAATACTCTAAACGCGTGGCGTTGATTCTAAATGTGGAGGAAAAAACTGAAGCTGGAGAAAAATCCATGGGGAGAGACACAAGCAAACTCCAAATATGCAGCAGGCGTCACGGTCGGGATCAAACCCACGACCCTCCTGTATACCAGGCAGTTAACATCTTATTGAAGGTGGACCAGGATCAAAATGTAAAAGCGGGGATCACAAGAGTAGTTTGTGGAGAGCTTTTGAAAGATTAAATTTAGTAATGAAAAGTAACACGCCAATGTGACTGATGGCACGCCAAGCATGGAGATGGAACGATAAAATCAGCTCGTGTGGCAGCAGCCATACGGACTGTGGCACCGTGAAGTCATCAAAGAGGGCGACAACTTTGGGAGGCTTTCAATCCAGCAGTGGATAGATGGTGGTTGATGACGATGCGTGTTAATTCCTAATTAAACTAATCACTCCATAAACCGCTGCAAACTATACATGTGCACACGTGCTAGTCTGTACACATGACAGTTGTAAATGTATACTCTGCAACTTTACAGAGAGGTTAATGCTTTACAAACTCCAGACCCACAATGGCTGTGGACAGGTGTAAACAGTGATTGCCATCTAGTGATGCTCGCAGTACAAGTTCATAACACTGGAGTTGGATTTCATCCAGAGCCGTGATTTTTTCTTGATATCGGGGCTTATTTTTTCAACGAGTTTAAAAAATAAATGAAAAAAGAGCAAACCTATTTCAGTCTTTCCTCGTGAAATGCATCTAAAAATAACCAGAATTAACCAAACATCATTTTAAACGGTTCTGGAATTCTTGGCACAGCACGATATGCAATTATGTGCCACAACGTGTCTTAAAGAAAACCGAAATTGCTCATCTTGAAATTATTTAAACACTTTCTGCGGTGCTCCAGAAATTAAGAGCCCACCTCATTACAAGCTTTCCAGGAAAAGTTGGATTAAGATAGCAAAGCATCACTACTTAAAAAAAATGACATTCAAAGATTTGTATGTACAGAATTCGATGAAAATTATAGTTCAAGTGTAAATGTAAGCCACAAGCTAGTCAACAAAGAATACTTCTAAGAGTATATCTTGCAGGATTTAATGTGTAAATAACAGCCTTCAGCTGTATGTGAGCAGCACGCTGGTTTAATGTTAAGCTGAGATGCATCGGCTTACGGTTCCTGAATGAATACATTGAGGTTGCACGAATTACACTCAAAGTGCTTGCCACAGATGAACCACAATACCTTGCTGAAAGCATCACGCAAAACATAAACCATCATGCAAACTCCGGTCATCCTCGCAGCGGCTTTTGGCTATCCATCGAACACGGTTGGTTACGTACGTTGCGAAAGAAGTTCTCACATACACACAATTTGTGCCATACCTATAGGTGCCTTTCTTGGTGAGAAGCTCCTTGAAGTGTCCCAGTGTGAGTACGTGGCCACGAACAGAGGTGCGGTAGGGAATGGTTTCACCGCAGAAGTAATATACCACCACCACACTGTCGCTGGCCTCCACTTGGCACGCAGACTTCTTGCCAGCTTTGAGCCTGCAAGAAATGCAGGAAGCACAATTTTGCAAGCGTGAGAATTTCCATAATACAACGCGATAAAAAATGCAGGGGCGACGAGAGCGCTACATTTTCGTTCAAAAAGCGGTGCAAGGACTGGCGACAGCCCGCGGAGCTTCTGGTCAAACCGACCGCGCAGCCTTGTTGCCATGACATACCATTACATTACACATTCAAAAACACAAAAATGTGATCGGTGCACTAGATAGGCCAGATACGTGCCGAGGCTACAAAGTGTGGCGGCAGCGGCAACTGCTGAGCCATCATTAAAGGCAGTAGATCGCACAGCGGAAATACTTTTTACATCGGCACCACCCCGGATGACACAAAAAAGCCTGCTTAATCATACCCCATAATTAACCTAATCTGGATTTTTTTTTACTGCCCTCAAAATGCAGGTTAGGGGGATAGGCTCTTAGAAGCACGCAGAGTTAAAAGGATAATAATGAAAGCTTTACAGCTTGCCCTGTAGGCTGTCATGCCAGATAGAGCGATAGGACTTCAAAGTCTGGCTTAGCAGGTAAGGCTGTTGTATCTAACCAGATATCCAACAAAGCTGTAAATACTAAACACTCTTTAGAAACTCAGGTGACAAAGTACAACACAACTCCTTTCAACTATTTGCTTCATGCTACCAAAACTTTTTGCTTGCAAAAATATATTAAATAAGCCTCATTGCACTGAAAAGTTACCGTAGTGGACCACCCAAACCTGCAAATAAACAGTACGTACAGTACGGATTAATATCACAAAACGCCAAAAAAAACTTACTCTCTGTCTGCATCGAGGTCTATGGAAGGTGATGAATTGGGATTCTGAGACCCTGCTTGTCGTTGAAAAGATCGATTCCTCTGTAGCGTCTCCTGAGTTTGCCTGTGAGATATAAAACAAAAAAGAATATACAAGTCACGCACTAATTGCCAATGCAGCAGAAACAAGAACAGAGCACACGCACTTCTCTCCCTCCCATGAATCATTTTACATCGAGCGAGGCTAAGGCATCACCGCGTTCACACCATTAATCTTTTTATAGCGAGCGAGGCAACAAGATTAGCGTGCGTGCGTGCGCGGTGGAGGGGGTGCGGGCGGAACACGCCTACCTGCTCCTGGGGGGCACGCGAGCGCTCCTCTTCTCCTCCTCCAGAAGCCTTCGCCTCGCCTCCTCCAGCTGAGTCAGGGGGTTCGGGGCAGGCAGAGGGGGCATGCCGGGGTCCTGAACAAAGGGCTGCGAGGGCTGCGTCCCGACCGCGGGGGCCCTCTGAGGAGCCGTGGCCACGCCGGACCACGCGTGGGCGGCCCGCGGCGTCGCCTCGCTCCCCTTCTTTGACGATGGACCGCTGGGCAGAGGAAACGAGACGGGGGGGGGGGGGGGGGGGGGCACCGTTTTACGTCAATCTGATTCGCTGGTAAGTACACACGGCGGGGGGGCGGGCAAAAGCTGCCAGCTCCAGAGGCGCGCACGACTCTTTGAGGACGGCTTCATAACGTTAATCACGTATGCATTGCGGCTCTCGAAATATTGAGGGGTTGTTTTTCTTTATTTTAGCAAATTGGAAAAAGAAATGGCTCTTCCTGTTATTTTAGTCGCCGACCCTTGGATATGTAGAATCATGGTGGTGTTGGCTTGTATGCTTTCCAAAACCCACTGTTGCCCCTGGGATATAAATCTACCTACTTGGTTTAAAATATGAACAATTTTGATTTACAGAGTCTAAATGGAACCACATCTCGAGACAAAATAATGGGACGTGTGCGTAGAGGTCAGCCATTACATAAGGTGTCCAAAAGAGGCAATTTGCGAATTAAAAAACACGAGCAATTCAGTATTTATTAAATCATCTTTGTACATGGTTATATAATCTCAGAATGACACACTTCCATTGCTGTGTATGGGCATGTGCATGCATAGGGCATAATGACACACTACATTGCTGTGTATGGGCATGTGCATGCATAGGGCATGGTTTAAAAATATATATAAATGTGTTTTTCCCCCCCCCTTAAGACTTTACATTTCAAGACTTCAAAGCAAACCACAAGGGTACAGCCCACGGCCTTCTTTTCTCTCTGAGCAAGCACAGCAACAATCCTTGACAAGCCAAAACCCAAAAACAAAACCTTTAAACTCTTTAATAATAATCGGAAGTCACGGTTTACCCACCACACATTTTTGAATCCCAAATAAAAACTCAGACTGGCGGCCGATATGTCAACGTGTAAAATTACATCCATTTTTTTTACGGAGTGACAAATCACCTGGAGGTGGTGGTGGTCTTGGCATGTCTCCCTGCCTCTTTCTCCCCCTGCACCATCCACTGCCATATACGGAAGCGATCGGGCACCTCTTCGAGCACCCGAATGGGTCCCTCCTCCAGTGGTGCCTCCTCTGCCTTGCTGCCACTCTCGCCTTTCGAAGATTTCTTGCCCAGCGTGCCCGGCTTGTTACTGACGGGGTAGAGGGGAGGGGGAAGGAATTGGTGTCATTTATAATGGTTCCATGTACAGGGTTATTGCTTTACATTTTTGTTTTACTCTTTTCTTTGATATTTTACCAGGTAAGGCCCACTGAGCTAAACAGCTATTTTTAAGAAGCAACCTGGCCACAAATTCACTCCTATATAAAGCATATTATGAATTCACGAGAATACAATGTACAGTATATTGCACTCTTCAAGAAATGACAATCCTATGCCAGCAAAGGAAAAAAAACCTAAAATAAATGTGGGCTTTACCGAGTGAGGGGCCATCCATTTGGTACGTACGCATAGGAAACGGGAGGGGGGGGGGGTGAAGCCTCGATAATAATTTGTCTACATTGGACTTCAAATGAGTTAGATAGTCCGGCAGTGGACTGTTTGCTTAAACACGTTAATATGATTTATCCTTGATCGTTTCTGCGTGGATTAAATATCGGCCGTTCTATAGGATTCCGGTGGGGGGGTGCGTCAGGCGAACGTCTGCAGGTGGGGGTGGGGGGGTGTGAAAGGTCCGCGTGCGTACAGGGAGGGGGGGAGGGGTCAAGTTTTGACCAATTTTTGGGTACATACTGAATGGATGGCCCCTGATCCAACTCTCATACCTGATGAGATGAGACAATGTTTTCAAAATGTATAAAAACTTTGAGCTATCTATGGACAATGCAAACACTTTAACGAGACGATCCAAAAGCAACGTAAGAATTTCAACTACTATTTCAACGATTTTTATTTTACCAGGCACGGTCCACTGAGCCATACAGCTCTTTTCAGAAGAGACTGGGCTACAAGTGATAGCTCAACCAAGTGGCTGATCACTTGGAAATTTAGAGCAGCTAAATACTCTATTGATTCTAAATGTGGAGGAGAAAAACCGAAGGACCGGGAGAAAAATTGACACGACCACAGGGAGAAAAAAAGAGACGCAAACTCCAAATATACAGCAGCAGGCGTCAGGGTCGGGATCGAAGCCACAACCTCCTGCATGCCAGGTGAGGTTATTAACATCTCACCACCACAGCGCCCAAACTTGTCGAGACAATTATTCAACAAATGGTTTGTTGTTGTAACTTTCTGACCTGCCCCTACTGGACATCTGTGAAAAAGAGCTTTATAGCTCATCGGATTCCTCCAGGATAAATTAATATTCTGATTGTGGTTCACCTCGTCGGGAGCGTGTTGGTGATGCCGGGCGGCAGGTTCTCTGCGCCGTTGCGCGACTTCGCCGCGTAGGGGAAGGACTCGGCCGTGCCGTTCACGCCGCCGCCGCCGCCGCCGCCGCCGCCGTACACCCTCTGCGCCGCCTCCACCTCCAGCTGCTCGCGGGCCTTCGACGCGGCATGAGCGTGGTGGATGTGGTGATGGTGGTGGTGGTACACCGTGCGGTGGTGGTGTGACTGCGACGCCGACGACGCGCCGCCCGCCGCGGCCGTTCCCGCCTCGCCCTTGATGGCCGCAAGGGCGGCCTGCGGCCTTACGACGCCTGGGTGGGGCCGGCTGTCCGGGGAGCGGGGCCTCCCTGCGCCGCCGCCACCGTGGTGGTGACCTGGCGACTGGCAGCCGGGCGTCTTCATGACGCGCGACACGTGCTCGTCCAGGATGCTCTCGGGATCATCGTCCGGCTCGGGTGACAGGAAGGACACGGGCACCGCGGCCATCTGGCCGCCACCGCCGCAGCCGGCTGCCACCTGCGTCGTCGAGGCCTGGCAAGTCGCCGTGGCGACGGGGCCACCTTCTTCGCCTTCCTCCTCCTGATTTTTTTTCAAAAGAACACAAAAAGAGAGAGAGGGAAGGGGGGCGGCCCTTAATAAAAGCGTGGAAGTGAATCTCGTCACCTTTCCTACGTTAATTATAAACAGACCGCTTTGTTCACTGACATCTGAGGGGTTTTATAAAAGGAGAGGGTGTTCTGGGGAGGGGGGAGGTAGTGGGGGGGGGGGAACAGGGGACACACGGAGGGGGTTTAAGAAAGCTGCCCTCCCCATCCCCCCAAGACAATGAAAGCAATGTAGCAGCAGGGCGCCGAGCAGCCTCACAGGGGCTGAATGGAATGGTGGCGGGAGAGGGGGGGGGGGCAGGGAAACGCAGACAAAGACAAAAAGGGCTGTAAATAAAATGCCAGTGCCACGGGGACCCTTAATCTCCTTACCCCTCCTATTTAATCCGTTGTTTTGCTCTGCATCAGCATTGGCCTCCCTTACTCTTAAACCCCAACACGGTGCTTTAGACTCAATTGGTGTGCATTTGAGTGCATTGGTTGAAATTTGGGGGGGGGGGGAGTTTGTGTTGGCGTTGGTAGGATTTGGGGGGGGGGGGTGGAGGGGGGGAGTGGACGCCGTTAGAGGAGGTGGGGGTCGGGCGGGAGTGGGGTGGGGGTACGGGGAGCAGACAGTCGGGCACCACAGTCATCAGCTCACAAGCGGTGACAGACGGAGCGGCCAAGCGCTCCGAGGCACAGACTTTAACGACAACGGGGGGACGCGAGAGCGGCGCAGCTGCACGGCCGGCGCTGGGAGCCCACGCCGTCGCCGCCGCCGCCGCCGCCGCCGCCGCCCGAGACGCCAGTCCCGACGGCACGCGTATAATCAATTCCACATTCCAGCACGGTGCTGCCTTGAGCCCGCGACCGACGGCGGCACACCAAGCCCCCCCATTCCATCTACCAGCTCCAAAACCAACAACCTAATTTTTTTTATAAATGAAAAAAAATGTGAAGAACAATTATCAGAGAGGGACACGGTAAGCAAACATAATAAAATGATTCCCCACTGTACAAGTTCAGCTTAGTTCACCCGGGCAGTTGCCCGGATTAGAGGGGGTGTATTTTTTTTTAAGAGATCCACAATAACCCCCCCCCCCCTCCAAGCCCACACAGACCCACCAACCAGATCTCCTTTATCGCACACACCCCCCCCACCCTGAGCCAGTGGTGGGGGGCCACAGGGGAGGCGGGCACCACCGTTTTATGTCTTTCAGCAATGAATACCGTATGTGCATAATACCGGCGTATATTCTCGGCAGATTATAATAAAAAATAAACATGCGGTTTTTGTTTGGGGAGGGTAGAATCTTTTATGCTATATACAGCAAAAAAGTATATGTGCGGCAAAACAACCGCAAAAACATTGTCCCTACACGTGTATTTATGCCAGATGTTACGTCTGCAATAAAGTACCGTTGAAGCCGTGTCAAACAAATTTACATTTTTCAACAAATTTAACTCCTATTTGAACACTTAACCCGATAATATTGTCTCAAATAATTGAAATGCATTTGCATTTCTATGCTTGAATCAACAATCGGAAGTTCAAATTCATTGATAAATCAATGAGTTCAGATTACAGACCTTACCTCAAATGTAGGTACATCAAAGACCCTTTCATCTACACAGAACAATTTGACCTAACTGGTGAGCCACAAACGACCAATCTGAATTTGTGCCCACCGATTTGACTAAAACAGTGTAAAAGAAATTGGCTTACAAGGCATGTTCAGTATAAAACTCAACTATTAAACTATTTTTATGTTACCGGTAAGGCCCACTGAGCTATAGAGCTCTTTTTCCGAAGCAACCTGGCCATACATGATCACTCAATAAAGTAGCTTATCACGTGGAAATGTAATGCACGGTGTCGATTCTAAACGTGCAGGGAACAACCGGAGGAACCGGAGAAAAATCCATGCGACCACGGGGAGAGCGAGAAAGAGACGCAAACTTCAAATATACAGCAAGCGTCAGGGTCTGGATCAAACCCACGACCTGCTGTATACCAGGCGAGGTAGTTAACATCATCACCATCAGCCCTGATGATCATCACTGAACTGAACAGATCATTCACAGTGGTCACTCGATGGCACATTCTCTTCTTTGGCTGTCATTGTGTCATCAGTCACATCTATCAGCAATCATCCCTCCCTATGAACCCTGCCCAAGCCCACTTTGTTTAATTAAATTAAATGTCTGTGTTTGTTCTCCGACCCAGGTATTCCTCATTCCATCAGTGTAATTCCAAGCATGTGCATCTACACGTCTGTTACTAACTTTTTAGGGTTTTTTTCATTTTTTAGTTGAAGTATCCAATGTTCCATGCCATAGCAGGTACTTGGCACCTATTGAAAACTTTATTCTTGAGGCACGATGATACGTTGAATTATTTATTTTAATACAATTCAGTTTTGCAAAGCACTCCCATTCTGCTCTCATTTATCTCTTACTGAATCAGTTTTATCCCAGTCCACCTTTAATAAATGACCTAAACATACTTACTCTGTTGTTTTCCAGTTGTACCCCTCCAATTTTTTTTTTTCCAGTGAACAAATTCTACACCATTTTTGCTCTGCTTAAATTAGTCCGATAGTTCATCACCGTTGGTTGTTATAATGACGACACGTCAGCAAATCCGCATCGGCCTATTCTCGCACTCCGATTAAAACTTTCGGAAGGGCATCTCACAAAGTGACCATGAAACAGCCTTGCTGGGAGCATCCCCACGCCGGTCGAGCGAGACGGAGCGACTCACAGCACGGACTCGCCGCAGACGCTCCTCCAACGCCTCCTGGGCGTCCCTCTCCCTCTGCAGCCGTTCCAGCCTCGAGATGAGCTCCGATGCAAACTTCGCCGGCTCCACCACCATGTCCTTCGGCAGCCGAGAGGTCCTCTATGGCGGAGAAGAGATGCCGGACACACGGGGTCATCGCGTGCGCACAAACGGCGACAAAGTTCAGCGATAGAAATAATGGTGTGCCGTTAGAAACACCATCACGCATAATGCTGCACAACTGTGAGGGCATACGTCACGCATATATGGGCGTGCACATGTACGTATGCTGAACTTCTTTCGCACCATACGTAGACAACCGTGATAATCAGAGGTGCGGGGAAAGGACGACAAAATAAGCACGAAAAGCAGTTTTCAACGTAGATGATTTAAAAGTGCACAGCTCCAGTGGCTTCCTAATATCGGAGGAGCGTTCCAGACGGCCGCAGAAGTGCATCTGAATATACGCGATGCAGTCACCGTCTTAAACATTCAATATTCAAATATATTTTCACATCTGAATATGAATGCATTTTTATTTTGAAACCAACTGACATTTTGAACTGGGAAATTTGAATTTCTAAACACCTGCACGGTGTGAACAGAGGGATCTGTAACCACACTCGGACACCTCAGCCCAAAGACCGTTTGCGGAAAGCTAACATACCCCCATCTGTCATGAACTCAAACGTTACGTTTACTACAACTGAACTTACAAAAAAGAACAAAATCAAAACTATTTCCTGATAACAAAATGTATAAATATGTCATTGGTATGTACAGCTGGACTTTTTCGTGGAACCATTAACATTTAATTTATTCCACGGAGGTCACAAATCCTTAAAAACCTTTAACACCATTATATACGGCCTACGAGGACCAACAATACTTTAAAGTGTAGTTACAAAAGCTTATTCTTTAAAATTACAAAAAAACACATTTTGGTTGTAAATCACCACAAATAGGTGAGATGAAGTTCATTAATGCAAAATATACTGGTTGTTTTTTTTTTAGGTGACAGTCACAAATAGGGCAAAAACATATTTTCAAGTTTCCATGTGGCCATTCTTGCTATGTTCAGAAAAATGCTGTATCCTTCAGTGATGTATGTGGCTTATTAAAATTGTGTAAGATGAAATACAGCTGGAGAAGGAATGCACAGCAAGACGTATAATAAAAGCAGAAGACACAAAGAAAAAAAATTAAAATTCTTTTCAAATCTGCTTCCATTCCAATCCAACGATCAAAGATAATTGAGGATTTTGAATCAACTTTTTGCCGATTGGCTTGAGCAAGAAGGCATAAAAGATTTGCTGCAAAGGGCTGCACAAATAATCCATGACCCAAGGAGGCCATATCCTGCCCATAAGAAGATTAAACCCCAGCCAGAAACGTAGCTTAAAAACTTTGGAGGAAGCAAATCAAAGCACAAAAGGAGGGTAAAAAACTATTTAGCCGACCGCAAGATTGAAACTCATGCAAGTGACGCTGGTGGAAAAAAACCTTGCAGTTTTTTTTATCACTCGTCGTAGATTTTCCCGCACACTACGTACGGCGCGAAAGAAGTTCAATGCATGCACGCACGCATGCGCACAGACGCATTTTGTCAAAACGTGAAACGAATGCCACATTCGTGTGTGGTTGCGTGCACCGTCAAAATGCAGCAAAACGTTGCACTCAGCGAATGCACGAATACTTACGGGGATGTGCACCACCTCCGTCCTCCCGCTGTCTTTCGCAGACTGCCGCGTATCTCTCGACGCGCAGCTCCTCAGCCTATATGGTGGGATCCCATCGCTGTGATCACATGCATGGAAGGAGGGGGGGGGGAAACAACAAAAAAGGGAAAGGTTCATACAAAAAAATAACAAAAGTCTTTAAACATTTCTATCGATTCTAACCGAATCAATAGTTTCATACCCTCCAAAAAGGGCCCACAAAGACTCTTTCCCGTTATTTACTGGTCTCCTTCTGATCCTGTGTCGATATCTGCAGCTTCTGCCCTTGGGAGGCTTTGAAATGCATCTTTTTTTTGTTCTCAGAACAAATGTACAAAGTTCCAGCACACTATCAGATGCGCGCTCTTTGTAATGCAATATACAGTTGTAACCATTGCAATGTGACTGATACACGACAGTAACGATAATAAGTTTGCAAAACGCAACGACACACTTTTTAGCGTTTGTGCATTTTTGCCGGTACGTGCGTGCGCGCGTTTCACAATTGTTTGCATCGATTGCTTTTATAAGTCACAGTTTGGGGCTAAATTCTCGCCACCCCCCTCTGCTTAAAAAAAAAACAGCTTCACGGCAACACGTGTTTACTCCTGTTGCTACAAAGTGATAAGTTTCTCATTTCCCTTGCCAAACCTACCCCCCCCCCATTCTCCAAGGGCCAAGAGGAGGAGGAAGGGGGGGGTCCTATTTTTTTGCACAGCTACTCTTTTCGCTCGCTCATCTGTCCTTTCAGAGAGATGTCAGCGTCTGCCGCACACAGCTGCCCGCCCGCCGGGACAGCACCCGCCCACTCCCCCCTCCCTTTGTCCCCCGGACCCCTTTATGAAGGCGGACAAAGCTGTGAAGAAGGGAGAGCCGCCACTCGCCCTCCCCCCACCACCTCTGATCTGCCCCACATCAAATGCAAAGAGAATCAACTCGGGGCGGGGAGGGCCCCCCACCTCCGCCCACCCCCCATCCTCCCCTCTTTTGAACCGTGCTTCCCCCATTCATCTCCTCTCCTCTCCTGTGTCAACAGTAAACTTTTATTTAATATAAAAAAGAAGATAAAAAAGAACCCAACCCCACGTCGGACTCCCTCCTACCCTGACACCCATATTCTCCTTTCCACCAACAGGCGCCCCCCCCCCCACCGGGCCCCCCCCCCATTCCCACTTTCTTTCAAAGCTGCAAAGCCCCTTTTTGCAGTTGTTTTGAGCAATAACATTAAATATGCATTAGAAAGCCCTCTTCCTTCCTTGGGACTTAGGGATCATCAACTCTATTTCACTTGCGCACCATAAAAACCTTCCACCACAAAAAAAAAACAGGTTGTTTGCAGTTTAGGGTTCTCGCATTCCACACCCTCCCAGCGCTTTATTTCCACACACAGTTCCGGAAGGATCTCTCGCGGGTAGGGATCGGGTTACGGTGTCCATAGATTAAACACACATTGCATGGGCCTCTCTCTCTCTGTGCCTCTTCGCCTCTCCACTACAAAGTACCAGATACAAAAGCCACAGCTTTTTGTGATGATCTTTTATGTGCAAAGTGAAGGAAATAAGGTTTCTGTTGCCATCTAGTATCCGTGTTACAACATCTTCGGGGGTTTGTAATGTTAAATACAAATACCGAGTATATATTATGTTAAATGAGGAAATCTCAGATCAACTTAAATACTATTGCTGGAAAACAAATTCTGTGTACAAAAGTAGGGTAGGGCTTTCGTATAATTTTATTATTTTATCCGATTAGCGCGGTTGGCGACATACGGTGAGAAAAAAGTTTAACATACACGCATACATTATGTCTTTGCATTTCAAATATCTACTTAGCTTGAAGTCCAACGACATAATTCTATGCACATTTAACACGGGGATGCCAACTCGACCCACAGATACCACCAAAGCATCTATCGTAATGGGAACAAATTTCCAAAAACGTCTTCCCTAAATTTTAAATGCACCGTTCGTTTTTAAGACGTAATGTGAAAAAACAACGGTATTTGCGCATTGTTAAACATTTACTCAACGTGTGAAATCAACTCGACGAATCTACATTTATTTATAGCGATGGCTTAAAATCTGGATGTGCGTGGTGACTACCAAAAAGGAAGAGCAATCTCTTGGACAATTTTTTTTGTCGAGTCGAAACACTTGAACACCTGCCAGATAATTACAGAGAACCCAGAGTTCTTCCACAGGGTACCAGAGGAACGCATCTCATTTACGCTTAGAAACATGCGTTTTAGAGTATTTGGAAGACGTAAATTTCGACGCGATAAGCCATTTTCGTTGAGCTATCATTTGTTGATGGCTAGGCCACGACTGAAAAAAGCTATATAGCTCAGTCGGCCTTAGCTGGTAAAATAGTTTAAAGTTTATGTTTCACCACACAGTTGTCCTCGAGTGGCTTTATGAAAATGTGAATGAAACGCATTCAGGGGGCTACCGTGAGACAAAGGTCCCCCCCTGTAGCCTTAACAGACTGTTGGGGCAAGTGCTGTTAGTGAGTAGCACCTGTGAAGGCCGGCACGGCACACGAGGGTGTGGGTGGCCAGCATCACGCCCAACCGGCCGCCTTTGTCTCCCCAGTGTTGATGTTTACACACCGCATCAGGGAATAATTTGAGGCCAATTCGACCTCGGGGAGGCCTAGGACCAGTTCAAATATTCACCACTGTTATTGGTCGTGAGCGGGAATCAAACTCGGGTCGCCGGGTTCGTGGTGCAGCACACTAACCGCTACACTACCTCTCTCCAACATTGGTATAGAGAGAGAGATGTACGCGCACACACACACACGCGCTCGCAGTGCTGGCATGGCAACTCATCCGCCGCTTTCACGGCTTGAAGCAGTTCCACCTGGCTGTGGAGAGGAGGCACCGAGGGCTTGTCAGTCGCTCGCATTCCTGCGTCACCAGCAGTGATCAAAACCGGCCCATTATCTCTCAGCTGTCACTTCGGACTCCCTGTGGCAGCGGAGGGCTAACCGAGCCTAAAGCTGCCCTTTTTTTCAGATAGCAATCAAAAAGCCACCCAATGACCAAGCCGATGCATACTCTGTCACTACTCCTGGCTAAATGTTGTGTAAAGTGTTATCTAAACGAATGTCTGAAAGTTATTCTGTTACATGTGTTTTAAACATATAAGTTAACCATAACATCTTTACAGACAATGAGGTTTCTTTTGTTCATGTAGGTGGGATTTAAATTACTCTCACCTGTCAATAACTGAGTAAAACATCTTTACAGACAATGAGGTTTCTTTTGTTCATGTAGGTGGGATTTAAATTACTCTCACCTGTCAATAACTGAGTAACTTTTTCATCTGACACTCAACAGCGGGGAAAAAAGGCAAACTTATGTACTGTGCTAGTGACTTCAACAAGAATTCAATTAAAATATTGTAACATCACGCAAGTTACCCTAGACTACGCCAACTACTTCATGAGCACAATGTTCACTCGGGCAATACTGCATATCTGTGAAAAAGAGCTTCATAGCTCATCGGATTTCTCCAGGATAAATACATATCGTGTAATATTCCTGTAATTCACTGTAAATTCACACAAAATGATTCCACTATTGTACATCGTGGGATTTAACGATCCTTGATGAACATTAGATGTGCAATTTTTACAAGTCCTTGGCCTAAATATTCTATACCAATGCTAAATCTGTTATTGAAAGATTTTGTACGTGTGTATGTATGAAGAAAAACCCATCACACCAGCAATTGGTATTGTTTGAAACGTTGCTGGCTATCTGTTTTATGTTTTCACATCCTGGGGAGACAAATGTTTCTGAAAAGTCCTCGTGGCTTTTTCACACCCACAAGTGTGGGGATAAGGTGTCAAAAAAAACCAAAAGCCAGACAATTCAGTGCCACCATTTGTTCAGCTTCCACCAATTTGGCCCTCAACAACCACCCATCCCCCCCCCACCTCCCCCGGCGACCGCCAACCCTTACCAAGAACCTGAGCCCAAGCCCTACAGGAGAGGAAAGATCAACTGTCACCTCCCACCTAGCACTTTGTGTAACTTTGTCTTCTCTTTCAAATCTGGTCATAAGCCTCAACTTGTCTCCATTTCCTTTCTTCTTTCCTCCCCTTTGTGCGCACGCGGTGCGGCGCAAAAACAATGCCGCCGTTACAGGCAGCTAACCCCCCCCCCCCCGGTCCTGCCACCGTCACTCATCTTTCTCACGTGCGGCCCCGTCTGTACGTGCGTGCGGTGGGCATGAATGGAAGGTGGAGGCGCCTCTCCGTGAACTAGAGCCAGACGCTGTGTCAGATAAATGCCATTTATGTTTGTGCGCGCACGTATGTGTGTGTCTCACTTTCATTCATTGTTTGCCCCATTTAACTCCCTTCAGACTGGCTTTTATGTCAGATGTTATAAAATCGCTTCATAAGATAATGACAGTGGGAAGTAGCGAGCACACTTCAAAGGTCCGACATCTGTAACATCTAAAGCAGCCTGAAAAGGAAACTATACCAAAGTGTGTCATACATTAACCAATTATGAAACAAATTAAAATAAAAAAAAATAATCACATTAATAATTCACGTTTAGATAATGTTTCAACCCATCGACAATCCAGTCACGTAATCTCAGCTCAGAAGTTTTACATAGCCAACTAAAATTATTTTTATGCCTATGAAGAACGATAAGTGGCGTGCAATATGGCCTTCAAACTAAAAAAGACACGTGGCCTCAAAGGGCTGAATTCCATGCACGCGCGTGTGCATCATCGGGGCATGTGAGCGCGTGTGCAACCAAGACTTACACACTGCTGTCCGTCATTGACATCGTGTCGTCCGTCATCGCATCGCTGGACAAGCTCTGCTCGCTGTCGTTGGCGCTTGATGCAGGAGCTCGTCCGTAGCCCGAGTTCATGTGGTACGGGTTCACTGGATTCCCTGGCCACAGAGGGTTCCTTTTGGGTAATTGTGGGGTTTGGGGGGGGGGGGGAGGAAGGGGAATAAGAGCATCCGGCTTAATTGTAGAGTTCACAGAATTATCAGTGGGCCGTGTTAAGTGCGTGCCTTGTAAGTGTTTGTGAGAATTATTATCAGTGCCATGCATTGCAGACACGCGTTTGGTTCGTCGATGGAATCCGATATAAAACGTCGAACGCAGAATTCCGAACACATACAACTTTGTGTTTGCTGGGTTCTGCGTCACCTTTGGATCCTGTTAACATGCAAAATAAAATGCTGTTTATTGCATTGCAGCGAGTGATAGATTTAAGATACACGTCCACTCTATGCTTAATATTAACGTGTACAATTTTCAAAATCGCACGTTGCAAGATATCAGAACAAAAATACATTTATCTCTCTTTTCTATCATTCACCTTTGCGGGGAAAACAATATGGGAGATTAAATTCAAAAGCCGGGGTTTTGTCACTTTGCAGGCAGCAAACGATATTAATCACGCTACAGTGCTGCGTAGGCCTTTACTTGCGGGATTAGCCGAATAAAGTTTTCAAACAAAACACCTGCAAAGGCCCCCTTTGCTAGATGTCTAGGGTGGAAAGGAAAAAAAAAATTCTTAAGGGATCACAGCACAAAATTGCTTGGTGGTGTATTAACACCAACACAGATCGAGTAATACCCTCCCCTCACTGCAAGACTCCCCCCCCACCCCCTCTTTCATTTCTTTCCCAGCTTGAGCCTCGATGTGCCACACAAACAACCTTGTCACACTGCCCGCGGAACCTCGCGCCCTCTTGCTGCTTCTGGCATTTCGCTTTAATAATAGGATCAGTGTTTGTAAAGAGTAGGGTTGTAGAGAGGAGAGAGAGGAGGGGGTGGGAAGGAAAAATAAAGGAACGGGGAAAGGCTCCTGCTAGTTTTGTTCAATCCATCCCAATCCACAGAAACAGCAAGGAAGAGACGCAGTGAAGGGGAGTCCCCAGGATCCTTCCATCTCCCACCCCCACCAATCAACACCCTGCCAGACGTAGCGGCCCTCTACTCCAAAAGCCAGGGCCGGGCCTTGGGTGGCAGGAGGAGTTGCGGCCTTATGCAGCAAAGGGCAGGTTAAGTCCCACGACAGCCTTCATTCTACCGTTACTGATACGATTTGGTGGTGACTGGGGGTAGGGCGAGCCGGAGAAAAGGAGGGGTTAGCAAGAGCGGGGCGGGGGGCGGTGTGGGCAGAGGGAGGGATGCGGTTCCTTTTGCAGAAAGCTCACTGGAGTAAATTGGTTCCACATGCTCTTTGATGGGGCACCGGGAAAGGGTGATCTCAGCCACGTTATGATCACATCAGTAATCCGTTTCCTGCGGGCTAAGGAAAAACATTATTTTCTTAATAAATGAAACTGCAGCACTGACAGTTTTATGTAAAACGTTCTAATCAGTTGTTTTCAAAGTGTTCTCAAATCTACTTTAATTTAATTCCATTCATTGTAAAGTACATTCAGAAAGTTTAATCCACAGCTATCCAACCGCGTAGTGTTATTATTCAGATCAAATTCAATACTTTTAGATCGGTGCGGTGAAATATTTTATTTTGGTTGATATTTAGCCAATTTTGAATCACTCTGAACTTCCCTTTAACAGTTTTTTTTTATCATTCCGCTGTCTAAAGAAATCTAAAAGAAGAAAACGTAAACATATTTAATTATATATTCTTGCAAGTATAAATACTTCGACAACACATGTGGAAGAATTTCACTCTTAACACCAATGGAATTTTGTAACGGGGGACAACTGAAAAGTCTTTTAGTGCTCGGGCACTCATTTCAACAGAAAAAAATTCAGCGTGACCAAATTAACGAGTCGTGGGCTCACAAAAGAAATGTCTTTCTGATCGCTAAGCCTACACCGCCAGGGCTCCTGGTTCCCATGTGACTGCAGCGGCCTGCTCATAAAAACCATCCCAGCAGTGAGGGTCCATGACCCAGGAGCCATTGCACCACCCCAAGCAAGACCAACCCCAACCAACCACACATCTCTAAAAATATTCTCATGCCGCATACATGCTGTTCTGTTATCCCTAATTGCATTGTTTTGCGGGCGTTTGCTCTGCACGTAAAACATATGCACAAATCCCATGTGAATAAACATAAAAAGGCACAAGAAAAATACATACCCCGATGTGTATACATATTAACAATATTCGTGGACGACATACACAAGAAGTTAATGCCACTTTGGACATTTACGATTGCACAAAAACATGTGTGTGTGTGTGTGGTTCCACGGACCTACGATGATGCAAAAAAGTTGCACCACTTATAAGAGTCACTGAGTGTTATGGTACTTTTAAATCATCTAGATTTAAAATCCATTTATTTAGAACTGCTTTTTGAGGTTTAGTTAGTTGTCCTTTCCCTGCCGCACCTCCGAGTTAGCACGGTTGGCTACGTACGGTGCGAAAGAAGTTTAGCGCACATACAAAAAAGCATTCCCATAGTATACATTCCAAACTGACATACACAGATTAAGTCTCTAAAAACCTAAATATTTTGCCATTAAAAACACTACACAGCTTTACCCTGGGATTTCCTCCCCTTTATGTTAAATAAAATGCTCACAAACATGCATTACAACAACATTGTTGTGTTTTTTAAACATTGATTGACTGGACTTCCTTAATGGTTGCAGCAGCTTGGCAAAAAAACTAGCTAATTCCCTGTACACTTCAAAAAAAGTTACAAGGTCAAATACATCATTATTTCCTTTTCCTTAAACCCGCACCACAATTTGTTTGAAAATATATGACCAACTGCCAGGCCAACATTCCCTCGACAGCAAGAATTGCAAGCATAAATTTTGCAGAAGAAACAAAACGCACACCGTAAGGGACTAATGAGTTACTAATTTTCTCGTACCAATCTTTCCAGATTATTGACCACATTAATATCCAGGCGCTGTGTGGATTTATAAAAAAAAACAATTGTTGCTCAGTGTCAATGTACTGGCACAGAAAAAGACACCTTCCTGAGAATCTTAAAGCAGACTTACCGATAACCTTTTTTCCCCTTTTCCGACGGCCTCATCCCCACAGCGCGTGGCGACGCTACGGAGAAGCAGGAACTTCCCCCGGTCGGCCTCATCCCACAGTGCACCTCCGGCCACCTTTTGTGAGTCTGCTGGCTGTCGTAGGACAGCACCTCGTCCTCCTTCACCGTCTGCAGGCCCAAAGGCGAGTCCAGTCCCTTCATGGCCATGAAGCCAGCGGGGAGAGGGTCGGCAAAACACCTGGGGCTCTCTCCACCGCTGCGAGCGTATGCCAGGTACACGTCAGACCTGAGAAACGCCGGGTAGGCATTTTCCTCCATGGCAGTCTGAACTTCTTCCTGGGCCCTGTCGAACATGGTGGAATCGATGCGCTTGCTGGCAATGCACTCCTTCACGCCAGTCCTCGTGATAGATCCAATTTGCCTCAGGACAATGCCCGCGTTATCCTTAATGAACTTCTTGTAAATGGCCTTGGCCAGCTTGGCACGCTTGTCACCATCGGTCTTGCGGAAGCCGCTGCAGGCGAACCAGAAGTCCAGTAGATCCACACAGTCCTCCTGCTCCAGGAAGGCCCTGAAGAGGCTGGTGCCATCCTGGTCCTCCAGCAAGGCAGGTAGCGACTCGGCCCACCGTACGTAAGGAGGCGTGGGCGAGGCGCTTCCCTCTGGCTCGTAACCGAGGTCTCCATCCATCCTCCTGGGCTGCATCATCCTGACGCCGAAGCCATCGCCGCTACCGCCGCCTTTAACTCCATTGGCCCTAGCCAAGCCTGGGTCGTTGCAATGTTCTGGCCATACATTGACCTTTCCCTCTCGCCCAGGGACTGGTGGTCTCCGAGTAATGGCATTTTCTATAATGTGGCTTAGATCCAGTCTTTGCAGTTTCTCAGAAACACTCATTGCCAGCCCTGGGCTCCTATTAAATAAACGTCAGCAGGTTCCTCCAAACTCCCAATTGATGGGTTACTTGAGTAATTCGAGGGATGCAACTCTGAGCCTGCAAAAAAATTAATGCAAACACACAATGTGAATACGTAAACACAACTGTCATTATAGTTTAATTAAGATGATCTCAGTTGTCAACAAAGGAAAAAAAAACTTCACAAACTAAAACAAATATGGTGACCAATATATGTCACGAAAGAATGTTTGCAACGTACACACAAAGCCTTACTTTAATCATTTAACAATAATTGTAACATTAAGTAAATCTTTGGAATCCTATCCAAAGACAGCAGTATTCTCCAAAATGACATTAATTATTAACAGCAAAGCTAATTAAAAACCCAACGGCAAACCCATCCATTCACTCAGTTATCAGATAAACCAACATGTCATCACTGCTTAATAAACATACAGGAGGGGAGATGTTATCATGTACATCCCCTCTCTCGACTTTTCAGATGGGCTTCTGCCAGAGGCTACTAAGTTCAGTGCGTCCTTCCTGGCAGAATGTTATCAAAACATTATACTTTGGCCGTGAGTGCATCGTAATCTTGGTGCAGACATCTAAATGCATCTGCCGCTGCGTCTTGAAGGATTAAGTTATCTGCGGCGGCGTCTTGTAATGGTACTTTAAACGGGAAATTCAGGCCCTTAATTAGAAATGAGTTTGATAGCACTGTAAAACAGTCTGGGATGCAATAAAAGGGCGGCGTTGATAACCTAACAAAAACAGCACTTTGTGCCCAGCTGCCATTTGATGCATCAAACGCATGGGGGCATTTGCTCGGCAGAGAAACACAAACACATCACGTACAGGGAGGGAGGTCAAAGCGCTCCGTCCAAAACGAGCACGAGCGCACAAATGCCGTGCAAACATGAGTGCACGCTGCATACAGCAATACGTGAACGCCAACAAACATAATGTATGAACGAATAGCAAAACAGACAAAGCATTAGCATAAACAAGCCAACAAAAGCATTCTAGCACACGTTCACCACACCATGCAGAGGCATACCAGCCAGTACAAGGGCAACGAAGATATACCACTACACACTTACCTAAAAGACAAAGATCCCCCCCCCCCTATAGCCAGACTGTTGGGGCAAGGGCTGTTAGCAAGAACCTATAAAGGCTGGCACGGCACACGAGGAGGTGGGTGGCCACGACCATGCCCGGCCGCCTTTGTCTCCCTAGTGGCAATGTTTACACACTGCACCAGAGCCGACCTAGGGGAGGTCCAAGGACCGGTTCAGATATTCGTCAATGGTGTTGGCCGTGAGTAGGAATCAAACTCCAGCCGCCGGGTTCGTAGCGCGGCGTGCTAACTGCTACACGACCGCTCCCAAAACGCACACAGACAAAGACCACTAATACACACAGCACTGCCACACGTGTACACATGCACTCAACAAGCACCAACACACAGACAAGTACTACACAGGAGTATGCATCAACACAACCACAAAACTGCATACAGGGGCTGGCTGGGCTGATTTTTTTCACCCCATGGGTCTGCAAAAAAAGGGTTCACAGCAAATTCCCGACACAGGGGTTACTGACTGAAGATGTCCTCTGTAATTCGGCCCAGCTGTGTATTGGAAAGTCTCTGAAGCGCATCCTTGAATTTCAACAAATGGCTAAAGTATGATAAAGGTCAGGGAATAGTTTAAGATTGTATTCTGTATGGGCAGCACAAGAAGCTAGTAAAGCTCCAAGTTGTATTCCATACTTTACCTAATTACAGGAACATCGGAAACTGAACAAAACAATTAGTTCCGAGCCATTACCAGAGAACCACCACCGACTGTTAACACCACCAGACGCAGATTTCCTAACACAACCATCAACAACCACATCACCAATTACCCTACACTATCATCTCTTCTTCTTCCACCCATATGCAGTCAAGGGGTGGATTAAGGGCCGTGCTCTGCCATAACATCTCCAGAAATCATTGCGAATACCATGAATAGCACCCAGTACGAGAACGTTTTAGCACACAATCATCACTAACACCACCAACAACAACCACCACAAAAATGCAAATATCCCCCCCCCATAGCCTTAACAGATTATTGGGGACAGTGCTATTAGCGAGCACCTATGAAGGTCGGAACGGCACGTGAGGGGGTGGGGGTAGGTGGTCAGCACGCCGCCCGACCGGTCGCCTTTGTCTCCCCAGTGGCGATGTTTACTACACACCGGATCAGGTACACATTTGAGGCAGATTCGAATTAGGGAAGGCCCAGGACCGGTTCAGAAAATCGTCACCGGTGGTGGTCGTGAGCGGGAATCGAATTCGGGTTGCTGGGCTCGTATCGTGGCACGCTAACAACCACATCAACACAAACCCCAAACGCCAACAACTTGATCCGTGTTTTTTGGGTTTCAGTAGATTTATGCCAAAATCCTTATCATTATCCCTCCACCACCTCACAAAATTGTCACGTGAACCGACTTTGTATTTACACGTGTCAATCAAGTTGTGACCGAATAAAGCTCCCAAAAAGTTGGATTATATATTAAAACTATTCACGACTGAAATTAACATCAACGTCCGACGTTTCGCTCAATATGCTTATGACCACCGAAAGTTATTGGAGGATCATAATTTCTAACACAGCCATCAAGAACCAAAACATCACCAACTTCAATATCACTGAAACCACCACCCTATAACACAACCACCACTGGGTCTTCCCCACTACCATCATCAGTAACACTATCACCAAGCAATCCTGTACTGAGGCCCTGCTATGCTGTGGCCCTTGCTATGCTGTGGCCCTTGCTATGCTGTGGTCCTGCTATGCTGTGGTCCTGCTATGCTGTGGCCCTGCTATGCCACGTCCCTATGTTGTGGTCCTGCTATGCTCTGGTCCTGCTATTCTGTGGCCCCTGCTATGCTGTGGCCCTGCTATGCTGTGGCCCCTGCTATGCTGTGGCCCCTGCTATGCTGTGGCCCCTGCTATGCTGTGGCCCTGCTATGCTGTAGTGCTGCTATGCTGTGGCCCTGCTTTGCTGTAGTGCTGCTATGCTGTGGCCCTGCTATGCTGTGGCCCTGCTATGCTGTGGCCCTGCTATGCTGTGGTCCTGCTATGCTGTGGCCCTGCTATGCTGTAGTCCTGCTATGCTGTAGTCCTGCTATGCTGTGGTCCTGCTATGCTGTAGTCCTGCTATGCTGTGGCCCTGCTATGCTGTAGTCCTGCTATGCTGTGGCCCTGCTATGCTGTAGTCCTGCTATGCTGTAGTCCTGCTATGCTGTAGTCCTGCTATGCTGTGGTCCTGCTATGCTGTGCTGTGCTATGGAAGCTGGCCCTGCACTTTGCCAAGATCTCTGTTGTGTCCAAGTGCTACTGTCTTCACTGAATCCGTTGCGACGCAGCACGTGTATGGTTTAGTGTGTACACGTGCACGGCAACCCAACACACGTGTATCCCCGCGTCCCTGCCTAGTGTGTACGCGTATCTGCGTCTAAGTGTGCTCAACATGCACTGTGCTCAACATGCACTGTACCGCACGTTATCACCACACAGACAATAGAACGCACACGACTACCCCACGCAGCAGCAGATGCACAGTTGTAATTCACAAGAGTACCACAGACATGACAGCACCCTACAGTGCCGACGCATCACACGTACAGTACCACACCCAAATGCACATACTGTACAGTACTGTACACACAGCAGCAGCATCGCATACAGTAGCATCACAGCACGTGTACTGTAGCACGCGCCCAACACCAGGCCCAGCGTTAACATCCCATGGCACGTGCACAACAACACACAGGAGGGCCATCAAAGCGGGTGGTAGCATCACCTAAATGCAGCTTGTGCCAGGCTAGGTCGTGAAAGATCGTCGTATAAACAATCCGTACTTAAATATTTCTTTAACCGCGGCTCCTTCCACCCTCCGCCCCACCAAGGCAGCAGGAAGGCCAAAGGATCAGCACCCCCCTCTCTCTCTCTCTCGCGTTCTGGGGCGAAGTGACAGACCACGAGAGACAAAAATGACTGTCCGCGCTTCCCCCACTCCTTGCAGCGACTTTAACCTCCCGGCCCCCTCTGCTGCTCGCTCTGTTGTTGTCGTCACCACCCCCCCCCCGCCCCCCCTTGGCACTCCTTTGATGAGCGACTTCGGCTGCCTTCTTCTATCTCTGCCAGCGGCGTTCTTTTAGGAGCCTCCTCCACAGATGCCAACGCTACTGGGTGACCAACAAGCCACACACGACATATTTCAAGCATCCGTGGAGCTACGGACACAATCCAATCTGGATAAATATAGGGGTGGAGGAGCATATGCGGCAGACCAGCTTGAATAGTTTCAAAACTGACACAGGCGTTCGTTGCTCCCGTAACGGGAGTCCACTTTTTGCAAAACAGAGAGTGCATAATTGTTGCCGAGCACAGCCGGAAAGAGCACACGGAGCTAAACAGGCGAGGCAGCTCCCAACATTGCGTTACACCAAGCGAGACCTCCTCTGCAAACCCAGAATTGGTGATGAACAGCACTCACTAACCCAGGTGCAATAATTCCCCTCTCTCTCTCTCTTCAACCAGCGTTAGCCGACAAAGTATCCACGCTCTAGATTCATTATCAGCAGCAGCATCTACAGCTCATCAGCAGCAATTACCAGGTCATCGGCATACCGTGTTGGTCAGATGGAATCCATCCACAAACCGCATTCAGGTCGTCGATTAACCCTCCTACTATATTCATACCAGATGTAAATTCCACCAGTGAAAGAAAACCAAGGAAGAATTCTCAAAATACGTGGTTAAAATGTGTTCAACAGTGTTGGAGCCAGAGGACACCAGTCCTGCAGCTCAAGGTGAATCTGGGAATGATACTACTCCTGGCCATAGCTACACCTGGACGTGTCCACCATCGACGAAGGCCCTCATCAATGACCAGAAGCAGAGGGCCAATACTACAGTAAATACTCTATACAGCACTAATATATGCGCACTATATACGGTCATGCAAATACACAAAACATTAACTGTGTAATACCCACACACATGCTTTTATAATGCACAAGCATAGTACGT